CAGGCAGTCCACACCTGGGATGTCCTGACACCTGCCCCTGCTCCAGGCAGTCCACACCTGGGATGTCCTGACACCTGCCCCTGCACCAGGCAGTCTACACCCACAGGATGTCCTGACACCTGCCCCTGCTCCAGGCAGTCTACACCCACGGGATGTCCTGACACCTGCCCCAGCTCCAGGCAGTCCACACCATGGGATGTCCTGACACCTGCCCCTGCTCCAGGCAGTCCACACCTGGGATGTCCTGACACCTGCCCCTGCACCAGGCAGTCTACACCCACGGGATGTCCTGACACCTGCCCCTGCTCCAAGCAGTCATGCCTTCTGCACTCAGTGTGGGCCCCTCACCCACTCCTGCTGCCACCTGCACGGTGCCTCCATGACCACTGCCACTCAAGCTGATGGAGGCCTAGCTCTGTCCCCTTCTGCAGAGATAATGGCTGAGCAGTACTGTGGGGTGCCCATTATCCAGGGCAACCTCCTGCTCTCACTCTGGGTTCATGACCTCCCCAGCACCCACAGGTGCACACACGACCCCACAGCCGCCTCCTCTGACCTCCTGCAAGCCTCCCCAGTACCCACAGGTGCACAATGACCCCACAGCCGCCTCCTCTGACCTGCACAGCCTCCCCAGCACCCACAGGTGCACAATGACCCCACAGCCACCTCCTCTGACCTCCTGCACAGCCTTCCCAGCACCCACAGGTGCACACACGACCCCACAGCCGCCTCCTCTGACCTCCTGCACAGCCTCCCCAGCACCCACAGGTGCACACACGACCCCACAGCCGCCTCCTCTGACAGCCTCGACAGCCTCCCCAGCTTTCGGCCTCCATCATTTCCCACTCTGAGATCTAGCCCCCTCCTCCTAGAGGTCCCTTCTGGTTGGCAGGGATGATAGTTTCAGTTCCACCCGGCTCCTTCCAGGCCAGTGGAGGTTCCTGCCTGGGGCTTAGAACTCACGAGTCACGGAGGCAGTGCAGACAGACACAGAACTTACCTTCCACAGCAGCCACAAGCTGTTCCCGATGGTGCTGGTCCCGGGCACGCAGCGCAGGGCTCTGCATGTACAGTTCTCCCCCACCACGTGATGAGCCCAACCGGTTCACCAGCTGGCAAAAGGACAGTAAAGGCCCACTAAGAACCCAGGCTCCTCAAGGGGTCTGGACCCTCTCACTAGAACCACTCCGATGGTCTGGTGAGCCTGGGCCACTCCCCTGAATATGTTTTGCACGGGGGAAAGGGTTCCTAGCCCAACCATGAGCTCCCTAGAGACCCATAATGTGGAGTCTGATCTCCTTCTTCCCTGGCCAGGATGTAGCTGCTCAACTGGAGGTGGAGGGCAGGGGCTGGGCACTTGAACAAGAATAGTAGGAACCTAGAGGAGTTAACATTAATTTATTGAAATCATTACATGGCCCCTGGCATCTGTACTATCTAAACCAGAGTACCCTTGCTTCCAGGAAATCTGATGGGAGGCAAGTGCCCTAGGGTTGCAGATGAAGCCATACAGAGGAGGCTGGCTTCAGACAAGAGCCGGACACAGGCCAGGGGACCCAGGCTGGTCTCCACCTCAGATCTGAGGATGAAGAGCACAGAGACAGAGGTTAGCTGTGCCTGGGCAAGGGTGAGCTCTGCGCATGCGATGTCAGACTCACTGGGTAAATGGCACTACATTTTACCTTAGTGAGTGACAACTGAGGTCAGCGCCAGGTCCCTTCCACCAGGCAGATGCCAAGCATCATCTTAAAATGGTAGGGACAATGGCAAGGAACAAGGTAACAGGGCACAGCCTAATGCGACAGGAGACAGGCTACAAGGCAGAGGACAGGTGGCTGGGGATGGATGGTGACAGCAGCCTGATGTCCTCTGGCTGGCCTAGAGCATCTATACCTATACAGTTCCATCAGACCTCTGCGGATGGTTATTGTCCCTCACACACATGCCTCACCTCACACTCATAGTGTCCCAAGTCCTCCTTGTTGGCTGCCCGGATCACCAGCACCAGCACTCCACTGCGAGGCTCATTCAGCATCCGGTACTTGTTGCCCAGGGTTAGCAGGGCACCATCCTTGTACCACCTGGAACCAGTCAGGAGGTCCTGTGAGCTGGTGCCCAGCCAGCGCCATCTTCGTGGTACCCTCAAGATACTCAGGGCACCTCCAGAGAGAGCTACTAGTGCTTAAAACCCCTGCTAGGTTGCCCCAGATCCAGTGCCCCTAGTAAAGTTCCCTTCCTGGAAGCCACAGTTCAGCCATTTCTTCCCAGAGGGAATCACAACCCCATAATACCCACTTTGCAGTGATCAGTGGCCATGGGCGACCTCCCTGGCTTAGGAGATCATGCTGCCCAATCCTCCCGCCGCTGCAGGAGCTGCATTCCCATTTCTGCAGCCCAGGCCTCACCTGATCTGAGGATATGGGGCACCTTCCACAGTGCAGGTGATCTGTGCATCCTCCCCCTCCACAAAGGGCGTGGCCCGCACCTTGTTCACAAATCGTGGGGGCACTGTGGGCAGAGGCAGGCAAGGGCAGGAAAGGCAGAAAGACGTCTGTGATGAAGCTGAGGGAGAGCTGGGGTGGGGACTGCAGTGTCCTCACCTCCAGAAGCGGCCTTCTTCTGGGGGTTTCTGGGAGACCCCAAGTCACTGGGCCTGCTCCATCCTCGGGCTCACCCCACACACCACCCTCCCACACCCTGTATTCTGGGAAGAGTCCACACCACTGACAATGGACTGGTGGGGTGTCCATCACACCAGGAAACCCACCCTGCTGTATTCTGGGCAGAGTCCACACCACTGACAATGGACTGGTGGGGTGTCCATCACACCAGGAAACCCATCCTGCTCACCTTGTACTAGAATCTTCCCCAAGGTGCTGGCATTGCCAGCCGCACTGGCTGCAAAACACATGTACTGGCCAGAGTCTACACCAGTCAGGTTGTCCAAGATGAGGGTACAGGAGCCATCAGGGTCTTCAATGAGGATGTGGTGTGGGTCTACCTCCACCGGTTTCCCATCTGGAAAGCAGGGGCAGGCTCTTATGGAATAAGGTCCCAAAGGGAGAACAAGAGGCTGGGCGCAACCTCCCTCTCCTTTTCTCTCTCCCTCCCCCATCCGAGTGTCTCTCCACAAGGGCTATCAGTCTCAGCTATCTGTCTCTGTCCAACTTCAACATTCTAGAAACAGAGAGTGGTTGAAAGGGTCTGAACTGTCGGGGTGCTGGCTCTTGGTCACCTCCTCGCCTCAATGACTGTACCTCCTCTGGGTACCTTACAAGACAGCAATACCCAGCATACGTGATGTGGACTCCTCTTCTGTCAATCACCTCCACCCTGAAAACCTAACGGCATGAGCCATTCCCTAACGGCCCTTCCTCCTCCTCCTCCCACATCCAACCCTGTCCTACAGCCAGCCATCCCTTGTAGCAAGACAAGCACCCAGGGTTTCCCCCAGAGCAAGTGGAGACCACTCCCAGCAGACAGCTCAGACCTCAGTACCAAGCACCCCTCCCAGGCCACATCCTTGTGCCTTTCCTCCAGAAGGTAAAGTTCCAGCTTCCTCAGTCATGAGCATTCAGAACCTCCCCTCTCCATTTAGGGAAAACGCATCTTCTTCAAGGCTGCCTCCGCTCACCCTAAAGTTAGGCACTCTTGGGCCATCTGCAGCAGACACACCAGACACCTATCTTTTAAATCATCACCTTGGTAAAACATATTGGAAGACTGGCAGTACATTCTGAAACAAGAGTGAAAGCAATGCGTGGCTCGTGATAAAGGATTCGAGGGCTAGATTGGGCAGGGTGGTGCACACCTTCAGTCCCAACACTTGGGAGACAGAGACAGAGACAGGTGGATCTCTGTGAGTTTGAGGTCCACCTGGTCTGCAAAGCAAGTTCCAGGACAGTCAGGGCTGTTACACGGAGAAACCCTGTCTCAAAATGTGTGTGTGTGTGTGTGTGTGTGTGTGTGTGTGTACATGTGCAGGTGCATGTGTAGGCTAAGTCATCATCCACCTAAACATCTCAGGCAACCCAGCTTCCTGGTCCCTTCCCAGATTGGCTGACAGAGACAGCACAAAACCCAGGAGGGAAAAGAGTCCAAGGATCATTGGAGGTCACATCCTCCTTGGTGTCCTTGGATGGTGGCAGGGTGCTAGCTACAGGAGATGGACTGGCTCGGTCAGAGCAAGCACTGCCCATGTGGCTTCCGCTGGTGTGGACATCCTTGGTGAGACTAACAGCTGCTGATGGCCATCTTAGGGACATCAGACTTCCCCATGGGAGGGATTCCCATGAGCACTGCTCTGGGTACAGTGTGGGTCCCCTGAAAGTTCCTGTGGTGGAACCTTGGTCCCCAGTGTTGATACTGAGGAGAACCTTTAGTGGAGGGCTCTAGGTGAAGTATATCAGGCCACGGAGGACAGTGGATTGGGCCGTGAAGGAAGTGGATTAGACCACGGATAAAAGCGCCTTGAGAAGGGACTGATACTGATCTTTAGGTGTAACTCAAATTTTCAAGGGTTATTTGGAGAGCAAGCCCAGATGGAGTCCCTCTTCCTTCCAGTCTACCATGATTGCTCCCTCCAGCTAACATATTCCCATCGTCATGCCCGCAGCCACACTGCACTGCAGACAGACAACAGGAGCCTCACCAGGCGACACTGTGCTTTTAGGCCTTTCAGCCTCCAAACCCTGATATCAAAAAATCTCTTTAGTTTATAAAAAATACAATGTTTTTAGTTTATTAAAAAAAATTCCTAGCCAGGTGGTGGTGGCACACGCCTTTAATCCCAGGACCCGGGAGGCAGAGGCAGGGGGATCTCTGTGAGTTCGAGGCCAGCCTGGTCTACAGAGCTAGTTCCAGAACAGGCACCAAAGCTACAGAGAAACCCTACCTTAAAAAAAATTCCCATTGCTTTGTTACAGCAACAGGAAACAGAAGCCTGAATGCCAGCAGGCTTTTGCATGGTCTTGGGCAAAGTTTAAGTTTCTGAAACTCATCATTTTGCCAACTGGAGACTCTGGCAAAAGAAGCCCCAGCCTGTGGTTTGGATCTGACCTCTTTCCAACATGGCCACTAGGCACGTCACTTCTGAAAACCAACTCTTTGCATGCTGTGGAGCTCTGGTGGAAACCAGACATTTTGTTCAGTGATGCTCTATGCGTCCGTTCTATGCTGAGCCAGTTTGACAGGCATGACAAGCAGTGCCCAGCCAGCTCAATCACTAGATTCACACGAAAAGTGACACCCCTCCCAGGATGGGGTACCCTTCTCATTCTACTCCCAAGGCCGAACTGCTTCGGTTCCCTGAAGGTCTGGACCCATGAATCATTCATCGTCCAGATAAGCAGAAAGTCAGCAGCACACAGACCGAGCGCTGCAGCTGGGCAGAGGTGCCATCCTCTGCTCAGTGGGCAGAGTTCAACGCCATTCTTGTAGCTTTGCCCCATGCTACTCTCCTTAGTGAAGACCATTACAACGTTACCAAGCCAGCTGTTTTGTCATGTAAACAGCTAGTGGCAGGTTAAAGGCGTCCCTCTTTGGGGCCACAAGGCATAAATCAAATAAACACCCGAAAGATTGAGGACACCTAACCTAGACCACCAAAACTCTTGGATGGAGCCACTACAAAACAATATCACTTTGACCCACCACCAGCAAGACAGACACAAAGCTATGCTCACACCAGACAGAAGGCTACTGAGAGATGCTCTCCAAGTCTACAGAGAGCATGGTCACATCACATGGGGTACCTACACCCCACCCTGGCAGGCGGTCCCATGAAATCAGACATATTGTTTCTGATTAATGAATGTGGCCTTGTGGCCAGCATAAGACACATGATGCCATGGGGGCCTCCTGCCATCTGATGACCGTCCACAATAGCCACTCCAGGACCTGGCTGTCCCTCATGCCCTCTGGTCCATGATCCTCAGGAAGGTTTTTTTTGGGTCACTGAAAGTGACTACCCCCTTCTCCCCAAAAGACTGTCTCTTCCCCTCCAGGCTCCTTACTGGGAAAATAGGAAAAAAGGACAGGGGCTAGTCACAAGGCTTCATTTGCCCACTAACAACCCAGCCAAGAGAGATGAGGCACCAGAGGTTCAAACTGACCTCTGACTTGTTTTTATGAAAAGGTGCTTTGCTTCCTATACTTGGCCTCTGAACGTAAGCAGGGGAATGGAGAGATAGGTAAGGGGGCAGGTTCTGCGTAGTTAGCTGTGAAGGGACCTTCCAGTCCCAGGAGCAATGGTCACAAGTGATCTTCTCTAGAGCCAAGAGATGACACCCGGGGCAGCTCTCTCAAGTCACCACCAGGAGCCAGTCCCTCTATTCCCACTACCCAGTGAGAACTAGGCATGTTTCAGGATGCTACTGTCCGCTGTATCACAGGAGCAAAAATGTCTTTGTCCTAGACCTTAGGTCTGTGTGTGCATGCATCTGTGTATGTGTGTAGCATGTCTGTGTACATATATATTTGTGATGTTCATGTATGTGTGCATATGTAAATATGTGGAGCATGTATCTGTGCATATGTATTAGTGAGTCTCTATGCCTGTATCTGTAGTGTGTTTGTATGCATGTGTACTGTCTGTCCATATACCTGTGCAGCATACATGTGAATATATGTTTATATATTTGTGTATGTGTACATGTGCAAGTGTATATCTGGGCATGTATGTGTGTCTAGTGTGTACTTTGTATTATAGTCATACATGTGGCATGATTCAGTATGTATTGATTTAATGTTCAAATTACATATCTGTGTCATGTATATACAAGTATGTTCAGTGTGTATGATCTGTGATGGGGTGATCCACAGGTAGGCAGGAGGACACAGAGGCTTATTTCAGTCTTGAGACTGGCTCTAAGTAATGGTCACTGTCAAGCTGGTCATCGGCCCTCATCCTTGCTGACAGTCTGTCGTCCATCCCCATCCCCCCGACCACACGCACTGTTCCTCACCTCTCCAGACTCTGGAAGTCAGGTGACACATGGGACCACTAATGCCAATGATGAGTCCACGGTACACCTAATATTAACAGTGTCTGTAATGGGCACTCTGGGCTCTGGCAGTGTCAACGTGACTCCAGACTGAGGCTGGCCATGTGAGAAGTCAGGCATGGCCACTGACCCAGACCCAGGTAATATCCTGAACTGGAAGGCTCGAGTAAACTTTCTGGCTAACAGTACTCTGTTCCTCTCTGTATCAGGCACTGATGCTGGGGGACAAGAGAGCTGGCCACATGACACTGAGAGGGATAAACACAAACTTACGCGTGGCGACTCACGGACCCTGCCCAGCTGACTTCAGCCTGGCCCCTTGCACTGCAGTAAAATACAACCCTGAAGAGAACAGCTCTGGGCATTTCAGTGAGTCGATTGTTGAACTGGACGAGGCTCCTGGAACTCTGAGCCTGCAGCTGGTGTTAAGTGAGAGGGCTTTGGGGATTCCCAAATTTGGCACCAGAATTGTGGGTGTTCTTGGAGACCTCTGAACTTGGCATCAGGAAACCAGGTGCTCCCTGAGTGCCAGTCTCTCCAATCAGAGCCACGATGTCTCCCAGGCCCAAACTGCTGCCACGGGCCCGTCTGGGTCTGTGGTCCAGCTATAGCTTGGGTCTGGGTGGATGTCTGTGGCCTGTGTCACCTCAGAAGGCCCTATGAACTATGCAAGATGAAATCAGAGGGCTATGCTGAGCCAGTCCCGCCCTTTGCTGGCCTTGGGAAAGATGGCCTTGCCTCTCGCTGGCCACTACAGCAAAAGAGTTGGTCTCTGTACACTGGAGAGATGGCCCCCACCCCTCACTACAGGTCAGGGTGAACCAATCCTTAGGGCATGCATGTAGGGGAACTGACTCCACCTACTTGCCCGAGGTGGGTGACCCCAGGGGCCCAGACTGACAACCTTGGCTACCATGCAGGCCTACAGCCAGGCATGGCGTTGACCCACCCTAGCATCTACCCCACCTAGGACCTGCTAGAGTTGGGGAAAGGACTAGCCCTATGAAACGACACCCACAAGATCTCCAAGACTCGTGCCAGTCACAGGATACCCCAGAGGAGTTCCTGTGAGGACCCAGTGATGATGGTGCACTGGAGACCAGAGGCCTTGAACCAGACCAGTGACTCACTGCAACTGACATTTGCCAGTAAAACTGATGGGACAAAGAGGAATACTATAAGGCACACTGAAGCCTCCACTGTCACCAGAATGAATGAAGAGGGGTTAAAGAAACGGGAAAGAAGGAGAAGCAAAGAGATTTTTCTAATATGGTTTTTGGTTTTGTTTTGCCTTTTCGTTTTTGTTTTGCTTTTGTTCACTTCCTTGCTTACTCTGATTTGTTTCCTTATGGGGAGGTGGCAGGGCTGAGGGGAGGATGGGGGACCAGAAGGTGAACTGAACTGGGGGTGCATGATGTGAAACTCCTAAAGAGTCAATAAAGAAGTTATTTTTTAAAACAAACAAACAAACAAACAACAACAACAACAAAAACCCCAAGTGCTCTTGAGGACCTTTCAAGCCACAGATATCTCAGGAATAAAGGTTCTAGGGAACCCAAACGTGCAGATGGCATCAGTGGTGAGGTCGGGTAGAGACTGACCCTTTGCAGCTCCTCCCATCACAGCTGAGCGAGGCGTGAGCATCAATCCCAGCACTGTCTCAAGCCCCTCCATCCTCTCCGCTCTGCTTCCTCAAGTGATTGGGTGCTTGTGACATGTGACGTGTTGACCAGAGCTGCTTCTCAGTGTCATGGCTATTGCTTGCTCAGGCCCTCGCGTCTGTCTCTCACTCATGCAGAATTTTCAGACCTGTTATCTCAGAGGGCTGCTTTGCCTTTTGTCATTGCCCCAAGCCACTAGTCCTCTGGGTAGCCACAACACTATCTGGCTTTAGGTTTACTTATCAGTCCATCACCTGTCCCCTACCCTACATCCTCCTCCTCCTGACCATCCTCTTGTCCTGTCTCCTGCCTCTCAGGCCTCACAGACCACTGGGCAGAGCCTACATTCTCAAGAGGTCCTTCCCTGTTGCAGAGCCAGCACCCCACAGTAAGCCTGGAGACCCTCGTCCCTGGGTACCTTTGTACCAGCTGACAACAGGCTTAGGGGTGCCAGTCACTCGGCATGCCAGCTTGACTGTTTCGCCCAGCTCAGCGGTGCAATCAGCCAATTCCTCTTCAAAATCAGGGGGACCTGAGGATACATAAGGAGGTCCTCATGTTATGTGTATAGGCCAGGCCTACCGCCTCAATTGCACACGCCCTGGCAAGTTACCCCACCCAACACTAGGACTCCATGTTCAGCAGTGTGGCTGTTAACCATCTGCAGTCCCAACTTAGAATCAAAGGTGAGAGAGGCAAACTGGATACAGAGTGGGAAGGGGTAGGAACTATAGTAAAAAAATAAAGAGTTTGGGACCTGAGTTTGCATCCCATCATCCACATGAGGCTGTAGCCTCAAGTGCCTGTATTCCTAGCACTGTGGAGGAAGATACAGGCAGATCTCTGGAGCTCATTGGCTAGACAGCCTCCCTCTAAAAAGTAAGCTCCATATTCATGGAGAAATCCTGGCAGAGTAATTGAGCAGAACACCCGATGTCCTTCTCTGGTTCCAGCACATGTACACAGGCCCACATACCAACATACATGTGTACATACATGTATGCACACATGCATATACCACCAAAAGTCAATTAATTCTTTTTCGAGACACGGTTTCTCTGTGTAACAGTTCTGGCTGTCCCGGAACTTACTCTGGAGGCCAGATTGATCTTGAACTCACAGAGATCCATCTGCCTCTGCTTCCCAAGTGCCAGGATTAAAGGTATGCACCATCACCGCTTGGCTAATTAATTTAATTAATTAATTTTTTAAAACGTATGGTTTGGATGATATGTTTTTGGTCTGGCTGAGGAATCTGGTCCAAGTTACAAGATTTCCCCACATCTCGCAGAATCCAGATGGATGCCCTGATCTTAGGGTCTTCGTGTAGGAACTCCAATACGATGTCCCCAAGTGTCCCCTCTCCCTAATTGGGGGTAACCTGATACTCCACCTGGATTTCCCAGTGAGGGTGCAGTTCTTATACCCCACCCAGAGCTGACAGGAGAGAGTGGAGCCCTCTGCTCCCAAAAGCACCCCGTCATGCCCAGTAGGCAAGGGCCAAGGCAGTGCCACCCCACTACCTGAGACTCAGGGTCCCCACAGCCTAGGTGCAGCCCAGCTGGACACCTAGGGTTAAGGGTCATGTCCCCATCCAATCTTGACCACTATGGCCCACCAAAGGACACTCACGCCATACAGGCTGGGCCAGGCGTTGCTGGATGCCACAGATCTCTTTCACCCATGAGTTCTTGATGATGACGGTCCGTGCCTGGAGCAGGTACTTGCGCACAGAGTCCTCCCGCTCGTGCCACACCTCAAAGGCACGGTCATCCCCCTCTACCTGGTCATTCAGGTCGATGCTACTCAGCTGTGGGGAGAGGACATCAGGAGGGAGGATGTGACCACGCTCGGATGATGTGGGATGACCCAGGAGGGGCACACTGACCAAGGGACTAGCCACCAGCATCCACGCCGCAGCCTGAGAGGGAAACGGGACTCCACCCACGGCACAGCCCCTCGGCCTACAGAGCCCTCAGCAGCCCCTGCACACCCAGACCTTCATCATGTTCCGGAACACGTAGCTGAAGGTGTCGGTTCGAGAGTCTCTCCGGGGCTTGCAGATCACCAGGTGGTTTCGGAAGAGGAAGACATGCCGGTTGTGGCCCTTCCAGGGCATCCGGGCCCCCGGTGCCCCCTCCCATACTATGAAGTGGCCCTAGAGGTGTGAATGGACTCTGGTCAACCAAGCCTCCCCGATGACATCCTCGTATCCAGCTCCGCACCGAAACCACGAAGTCATCTACAGGCTCCCACCCCCAAAAGCCTCCTACAGGGCCCCACCCCCAGCATCCCGGGGCATCACCTGGCGGATGGGTTCTCCCAGGGCCTCCAGAGTTCCGGGATAGTTCTCCATGAGTGACACGTGCAGCTTGTTCTCGGCACGCTGCGGCAGGGCAGACACCACGGCATAGGCCTGCTCCAGCAGCGCGCAGTTCTGCCGGTTGCGGGCCTTGTTGCGGATTAGTTCCTGGGGTGAGGGCCAAGAGTCATGGATCCAGGATGCTCGGAACCCAGGAATCCCCCTCCCTCAACAGGTGCAGCCTGCACAAACGAGGCTGGAGCATATCACCTTCAGCAAGGCTTGGTACTTCTGCACCCGCTCCACTGGCTGCTCCAGGTAGTGCTGAAGTGGAGGTGGGGGTGGCTGCGTGGGGTCCTTGGCTGACAGTGTCTCTTCTGCATATTTCTGTAGGAGCCACAAAAGTGGTTTTGTACATGAATGCATGGTCCCTTGGTGGCTAGAGTCACCGCATGGGGTGTCTTAGGCACGGCCCTGAACTCCCCAGGCGCGGCTATGGCCCCTGAGAACTAGAGGAGGATCCCAAGGATGCTGACACACATAGCCCTGCACAAGGGTCACTGGGTCACCATCTCACTGGTGGTGGCATAGGGCTTGGGCAGCTTAAGTCACGACTGAGGAGTGCAGAGTTGTGGGTCCTCCAACTAGTATTTCCCACTAAGCCAGGGTTCAGGCAGGTGGTGGGCAGGCAGTGATGTGGATGAGGAAGACAAGCTTGGGCTGGCCATGTGGACCGTCAGAGCTACACCACAGAGGGCATTTGGGCAAGAGCTAAGGTCTAGGAGCAAGCAGGGTGGGTGGCCTTGTGACAGACAGGAAGCACCTTGTAGAACTCCTGGACCGGGGTGCTGACAACCACGGACTCAGCTTGCACGCGGCCCACCAGGAACTCAAGGTACTTCTCAAAGGCCTCCTGGTTCTTGATGAAGCACATGGCCACGTCATCGTCAGTGTCACAGGACTGCAGCTCCTTCAAGAAGCTGCCATGAAGGGGACAGTGTCAGCACCTCCCTCCACCTACCAGTCCAGGCCTTCTCTAGAAGGCCAGAATCCTTACTAGGGCCTGAGCCCTGTGAGAGAGTCTGTTGAGTTACATGTGCAAGAAGTGCACAGTTGTGTTCCCATCTGCCCATGCACAAGTATGACATATATCATGTGTGCACATGTACAATAGCATTCATATGTGGGTGCATATATATGCAGATTTTCTAAAAGTATGCATGTCTATACACATAAACATGTACAAATGTGAATATATACATGTACAGACATTGTCTGTGTGCAATGTAGTGTGCACATTTCTGGTATGCATGAATCTCGGTACAAGTGCACACATATATATGCTCATGTGTACTTGTATGCCTTGTGTGACAGTGCACATGTATAGACACCCAAATGTGTGTATATATGTTAGCATGTATGCTGTGAGGCATATATATGTACAGGATGTGAAATGTTATATATATCCTTGAGCAGGGATGTAAGCATGAGTTTGCATGTGTGTGCAAATATGCACATCCACATCAAGCACATGTGCATGCATAATGTGGCAGCTATGCCTACACACATGTATGCATGTGTGTGTGTGTGTGCCTGGACATGAAAATCTACATGCATATGGCTGTGCACACACTTGTCAGAGGCGGGTATACTGCAGGCTTCATCCTGCACGAATCAGATACTCAGAAACGGAAGGTCTGCCTTGTTACACACTAGTACAGGCTCTTCCCTTCCTTCGTTCCTGCACCACCACCACCCCCCACCCCCGCACCGCCATGAGGCCTGGCCTGCAAGTAGGAGCTGGGTGCTCATAGACACGCGTGCCTGTATGCAGTCCCACCCTCCTACCTGCTGTGGAAACGGCTGATGTCCTGCACATTACGAAAGATGACTGTCTTCTGGCTGGCCACCGCTGCAGGCACATGGGGAGATAGGTCCAAGTGTTTCATGTGGTGGCTCTCCAGGAACTGCAGCTCGCCCACAAAAGCCTGCTCTGAGCTCAGCAACTCCTGGATGACAGAGCTGACAGAAGGAGAAGCCATTAGGGGGCACTTGGTGGCTCCAGGGGCCACAGGCTCCTGCCCCCGTCAAGGCCCTGGGAACGGCACTGTTACAGGACTGCCGACTCTCTCGTAGCCCCATTCCCTCAACCGCTAGGTTTGGGTATTTCTTGCTACCAGAACCCCTCTGTCAACTTTTAGAGAGGGAATGAGGGGTACCTGGGAGGAACCACTCCTCCACATGATTACCACGTCCCCCCTCCAGCAATCTGGCATAGCCCATGAGAGGCCAGCTGCGAATCAGCGTCAAAGTGGTGCCCACACTGTTCTTGACCTCCACCCATTCCCAATGTAGAGCAGGCATTCACAGCCTCCCACAAAATGGTCAGAATTCCATTTGGATCCTGAAAGAGGCAGGTAACAGGTCTCCATGGGCAGTGGGCCAGCCAGGGAAGGCTCCACAGAAACTCACCTCAGCCTCATTCTGTACTCATCCTCAGACACGGCCTCCCCGGGAAACTCGGGGGCCTCAGTGGGCCCCCACTCAGGAGACAGCTGGTGAGAAACAGGCGTCTGTCAGAGGCGGGCTGGGCCCTGGCTCCGCCCCTGCGGAGGCTGGGGACTCCTAGTCTCCAAATGGGAACAACAATGCCAGAGTCCTCTGGGCTGGTGACCTGAAGACCCTCTTCCCTGAGTTTCCCAGCCAAGTACCTTGAGCCTCTTGTCCAGGTAGGCAGGCGACACCCAGCCCTGCCTAGAAGGGCTGGATTTGGTGGGCTTGGTGCGTACAAGCCAGCGCAGAGGATGGGCCGAATCAAGGACCTCCACATACTGGCCTTCTCTCAGAATGATGGCATCCTGCTCCGCCCCCAGGGGGAGGTAGTCAGCTGTGACCACGTAGATGTCAAAGATCTGATTGGGCAGAGAGAGGAAATGAGTTGGCGGGGAGGGGGTGGCGGTTGGCAGACCTAGCCTATCAGTACCCCTGGTAGCCACCAGAGAAGGGAAGAGAAGTCTCCCAAAACCCTGGGGAAGAGGCTGAGTCAGGGGTCCCAAGAAGGTATCAGTCAAACCTGTCAAGACCCAGAATGCAGGACAGGAATCTTGGGGACATTTAGTTCAGACACTGGCTCTCAATCCCACACAAACAGCAGGAATGTGGATATTCTCCCTTGTCTTCCCCCAAAGAAAGCACTGCACCCTCAGGGTCTCTAGCTGGGCCTGCCTATACTACTTGTTCACATTCTATTACCTGTCCACCTGCCGCCTGGGACCTAACAAGGTGCCTGCTACACCAGAGGGAGAGAGGGGTGAGAGAAGAAAAGGGAGCAGGGCAGGGGAGAAGGAGTGAGGAGGACTCAGGAGAAGCAGTCTCCAGGGATCCCTGGGGAACGGACCCAGCTCCTCACCAGTTCCTGCCCTCAAGCCAGGAACACACTTCCTGAGGGCCTGTGGTGCACTCGCTTTCCAAGACCTCCTCCCTGGGATTCTGACCCTGTACCTCTCATCCCTATACCTTCCCTCAAGGAGTCCCCTCCCCAGAATGTTCTCCAAGGGTCCTGACCCACTGACCTCACCACGGGAGTCTCCATCTTCTGACTCTGAGGATGACTCCTGAACACTGGAGGAAGGACGAGATCGGCCGTGCCGAGGAGAGGCAGATGGCGTCTTGGACTCCTCGTCGCTGTCGCCTCCAGGCACCTGAAGCTTGGCTAGATGGACACAAGGGTGGTGATGCCCCCCAACAGCCAGTTTCTAGATCATGGAGGCAGGAGAGCCTCCACCCCTGCTCAAGAGCACTTGGCCCCATTACCCCCTTGGGACACGCACTAGCGCCTCACCCTGTGAGATCTTAGCCGACACCATCTCGGTGATCTGTGAGGTGAGCTTCTGCAGGAACTCTTCTGTGCCCACCTCAGCGAGGGACAGGTGACCATGGGCCTCGTCAGCCGCTAGGGACTCCCCTGGGGCGGCAAAAGTGACCCTTAATCAATCATCCTCCCCCAGGTATCTACTGAGTACCCCCTACACTCCAGGCTCAATTTTAGCCCTGAGGGATGCCAGGCACAGGAGACCAGGCTTCCTAATGGTGCTGGGGTCTGAAAAGGAGACTAGTCTCTAGGACAGGGGTGTTGAGGCCGGCCGTTGACAGAAGGCTTGCTGTGGTCTGAGCCAATTTGCAGCCAATGTGGCTGAGAACAAAAGCAAATAAGTCCAGACAGAGGGGACACAGTAGGTGCAGCTGAGGGACACTAAGGGTGGCTAAGGATCAGCAGGGTACCCACTGCGCAGTCAAGGGACAGCAGCCAATTGGGGAATAGACAACACAGCCAGGATCCAGACAGTTACTAGGGATGGTAGGCACAGTTAAGCAGCAGGTAGCTAATGGCCAGTGGATACACTGGCCGCAAGTGGCCAGCATGGCTACAGGGTACAGGGTGAAAAGAAGGGAGGACAAAGCTGCAGAGGCTTCAGACTTCGGCTATCAGGCTGTGGAGGACCTGGAGTATGGCCCATGCCACCTCTTGTTGTTTGGCTTGCTGGCCTCCACAGCCCATTGGATGTGAACCCTGCATCAAGGCTAGACTTCCCTTGGGATCCCATAGGCTCCCAGATCTACAGAGGTCATAGGTGGCTCTGACTCCAACCAAAGCTCAGTCCACAGGAGACCACTGACCCAGCACCATTGCCTGCGCCGTCCCTTTCACCTGGTCTGGCTCAGGGTGAAGGGTGCTCAGCGTGCCCATCCCAGCTGTACCTTTCCTTTGCCCGGCAAGATCAGCAAAACCTGCAGATTCCACCATCTGGGCTGAGACAGCTTGGCTTGTCCTGTGGAGACAGGGGCATCCTGAGAGGCCTGAGGTAGGAGCTACCACCGTCTCCCACCTTCCACTGTTGAGTAGGAGGCAATGGTCTAGGACGCCAGTCATCATCTCCACATCAGAGGGACCCTGGGAGACCCTCACTCTATGCTGGGGAAACTGAGGCATGGGAAGAAAACGGGGGGCCCAAGTGCACACCCTGTGCAGGCCAGAACTGGTCTATTGGCAGGACAGGGCGATCTCCACCAGCATAGCTGTCCTGAGACCAGTTCCCAGACCTATTCTGTGATCTTGGCTCTGGGGCCTTGGATGGCATCCACTCACCCTTGCAAGAAGGAAGAAATGAGGGCTTCTTTTACTCTCTCCTGCTCTTCCTCCTTGGCTACTGTCAAGAGAGCGGAGAGCCATCAGCATAGAGTCCTGGACTCTAAAGTTTCAGGTTCAGACATACTCAGGACATCTGAGCTTCCCCAGGAACCTAGACTCTGTTCTCCGAGCCCTGAGCAGGCACTTTTCTGAAATGGTACTGTCCTGCTCCTGACCATGGTCACCTCAATGGTAACCACGAACATGAGTCTACCCTCAGAATGCCAGCTCACAGGGGACTGAGCAAGGCTCTGGAGCAGAGAGCTCAGCTCACCCTAAAGACCCGTCCCCACAAACAGAGCAGAGCAAGTACTGGACCTGAGAGACTCTGAAGCCCCACACCAAACTCCCCTGCACCCGTGAGGCCAGACATGCTCTGGAGGTGTCCTGATACCATAGAAAGATGAGAAATACAAACGCTGAACATCCACATGCCCTAAGAAGTCCATGAGCCTGCACTGCCCAGCTCTGGGTCCCCTCCCATTCATATGTACCTGCCTTCCCCCGACCCTTCACTCACAGCCAGAGACGTGCAGGCTGGCAGAGCAGAGCGCCTGGCCAGCAGTGTTGGTGGCAATGCACGTGTAGGTGCCCTGGTGCTGTCGGCCCACGTCCAGCAAGACCAGGCTATGCTGCTTGGCAGAGCTGGCCATGGTGTAGCCAGGGGTATTGGGGCCAATCCACAGCACTCCCTTCTCTGCCTCCTCCTTGAGCCAATGCACAGTGGGAGCTGGGTGTCCTGAGGGGCAGAGGGCAGTGAGTCCATCCCTGACAGAGATGACCCCCACCAGGAACTGGGCCCTTCCCCAGGGACAGGCAGTATGTGGCTGTCAGCTTCTCTAGGAGAGCTGCCTCACCTTCCACCTTCACTGAAAAGGTTATGCTGGAGCCCCTCTTCACTTTCTTGGGGGTGAACTTCTCCAGGATCCGGGGTGGCACCAGCCGCTCATGCACATCTGAAATGACATGGCCAACCCATAAGGACCTGACATAAAAGAAACCCATCCCACCCCACTGTCCTAATCCCAGAGGATCCCCTGAATCCTATGCGCACTGACCATCCACACTTCCACAACAGCCAGTCCCAGGTCCATCCGTTCTGGCTTCCTGCCCAGGGTCTACCACCCTCTTGTGCCCATCTGGGGCTATCTCACCTGATGCTGGCTTCTCCTCTGGTTCACTGGGACCTGAAAACACAGAGAGAGTCAGACACTCAGCGCTCATAGGTACTCTGATTTCTAATCCCATACATGGTGCTGAGTTGCCCTGGTAGCTCCACTCCCAAGGCAAAGATACCCAAACCTTTTGAAACCTTAGTCAGAGAGCTGTGGGAGTCACCACTCAGCATGAGGATGGCCACAGGTCACACAGACCTGATAGATAACACACTGTTACCCATTCTTGTGACCCACAGCGTCCCCAGACCTGTGGCCTTGATCTGCAACCAAATGCATGGGCACAGGAATGACCCAGCATCTTAGGGAACCGCATCTTCCAAGATCTGGCAGGAGAGGCCACAGGTAGCACTGGATCCCTCCTAGCAAGATAGGTTTGGTTCAAGTTTGGAATTCACTTCCCGTGTTCAGGAAGAAGGAGCCTCAAGGCCACTATAGCCACCTGTTCCCTGCAGGGCTGACTTCTGGCCACCCGAGTCTCTGCTCACTAAAGCAATAACCTCAGAGCCTTGGACCCAAGTCTGATAGGGCTTGCGGGTCAGTTCCGTCCAGTTGTTCTGGGCACCCACCTCGGACTAGCAGCCGGGCTGATGAATAGGCAGCGCCTATGGCATTGCTGATATAGGCTGCATACTGGCCACTGTCCTCCAGGGTGACTGAGACAATCTCCAAGGTATGCAGGGTCTTTTTGTCAGTCATGCGGATGTGGGCAGATGTGGTCAGCGGCTGGCCATCTTTGAACCAGTACAGTTTGGGGGCTGGATAGCCTGGGGACACAAAGGTCATGATGACGGAAGACCCTGAGCAGAGGTCCCTCAGAGACCAAAGGGTGCTGGCCTCCTTATGCAGAAAGGACACACACATGACCAGCCATGCTGGCTGGGGTCCCCTCCCAACTGTGGCCAGTAGGACTTAGTCTCTGTTAAGTGAGGCAGTGCCACTTCCTCGCCAGCTCCTCACCTTTCACCTTGAGTTGGAATTTGGCCAAGCGTGTGCCAGGGGCCACCTGGAGGTCTTTCAGCTCCTCCAACACCTGGGGAAGCTGCCCCTCATCTGACTCGGTCCCCTCTTGCTCCCGGCTGTCAGGAAGGACAAACAAGGGAGTGCCCATAAAGCAACAAGTCAGAAGGTTTAAGGCAGGAGGGTCCCAGCAGTGATGTCAGACATGGAGGGATCCCGAAGTTTCCTGAACTATAGGACAGAGGAAGCAGAGCCACCAGGGCCTGGTGGAAGTCCCCAACATTTGACTTGTCAGTCCAAGGGCCCTAACCCCCTGCCCCAGGCAGCAGATCATGGCTGCCTCCTCAGAGATCCTGGGACCCCACCTGGACAGGTATCCCTGGGCACTGAAGTACGATGAGGTCTCAGTAGCGTCTGCTGCGGTGTCATAGTCTGTGCTGGTCACTGGAGAAGAAAGCGTGACTCAGGGACAAGGCCTAAAGCACAGTGCGCCAGGGCCGCCTTGGCCATATGAGGCTCTGACTGGACAACCTTGCAGGGAGCTACCGTACTCAGCTTGGAGAAGGGTGACAGGTGTGTGTACCCTCCCGTGACCAGGCCAACACTTCCAGGCTATAACTAACTGCAGGCCTCTTTGACCCAACAAACTACAGGCGTCACACAATTTGCCATCTCCATGACTTACAGCAGCACAGGCAGGACCTCCAGTGCCATCTTACAACACCATGCGGGGTTAAAGGGATACTGGCCTCAAAACCAACAAGCCGAGGACTTTCTAGCCAGGATATAGTAAGAGAGACTAGATTTTTCTATGGTTATGCTGTTATACATCCAATGTTTGTGTCCCACAAATGCACATGTTAAAACATTAATGTTGGTCAGATGACTCGGCAGGTAAAGCTGCTTACGCCGAGCCTACCGACCTGAGTTCAATCCTTGGAACCCTCATGGTGGGAGGAGAGAACCACCTCTCACAAATTGTCCTCTGAATGCCATACAAGTGTCATGGTACACATATAGACACACATATATGCACACGTGCACACACACACGCACACACACACACACACACACACACACACACACACACACATATACAATGTAAAAAAATAACCAGAGCGGTATTGGTATCAGGAGGTAGAGTCTTTGGGGGGTGGTCTGACCACACCCAGGCCACCCGGGAGACACCCAACTCAGTCCTGCACTCACGCTCTACACGAAGCTCAGCCTTGGTGGAGGAGACTCCCACGCTGTTCTCTGCCAGGCAGCGGTAGACACCCATGTCTGCTGGCACCACAGCCATGATGATGAGCTGGTGACCACCCTGTTGGTCCTCGTTGATCATGTAATGGTCATCCTCCTCCAGCATCTTCCCGTCCTTGAACCAGCGCACACTGGGCACAGGCTGGCCTGTTACCACGCAGTCAAAGCTTACGGGGTATCCATCCTGCACTTCTTGGTTCTGCAGCTCGGTCAGGAACACTGGGGCTAGCACAGGCAGGTAGAGGGTACAGAGAGTTAACCCTGGAATGCCCAAACATGCAGATGCCACGTCCAGCAGGCTTTCCTAGAAGAGGGTCCCTAAACTCCACAGCTAGACACCCTGAACTTCCTTCCATCCTTCTCCTAGAAGTTTCTTTTGGTTCCCAGTGAAACAGAGGAGTGCAGAACTGGTAAGGACTGACAGAAAAGGATGCACAGGCTCAAAGTTTAAACCCCAGGTACCCTAAACTAGGGAGAAGTCTCGAGACACAGCACTGAGGGTCATTCATTATAACCTCCTGGTGGCCTGGGAGAGACTCAAGTGCACGGTGAGGTTGTCTTACTTCCAGTAGTTGTCACAGAAACTACCATAAGGAATGGACCTCAACACACACTGCTAGGGAAAGATAAAACTGAGGTTCACAATCAACTGTCTAACCTCAAAGTTGTGGCTTTGCCATGTTCCCCCATAGCCTGGGGGACAACCAGTCAGAGCTCCCTTCTGGTTCTGCCTCATTCAGCCCCCATCCTCTTCTCCCTCTACCCTATCTCAGGCCAAGCCCCGCCACCCTCACCCCAGGCCACTGTAGCCCACGGCTCACCAGCATCTGAAGTCTGCAGGCCAGGTGTCTTTGCTAGCGGCACCGCAGGAGTGACAGTGGGAGCCACCTTGCCAATGCGCATCTCCACTCCCCGGGGTCCCTGCTCTCCCAGGCTGATCTCCACCCCGATGCCCATGGTGGCAAACATGTCTTGGAAGCAGGTGACTGCCCGGCGGGCCTCTTCAAGTGCCTCAAAACGAATGCACACAAAGTTTTCGTCCTCTCGGTATGTCTGCCAGTCTGCGGGCTCCTCTGACTCAGCGGGGCCTTCATCAGCGCTGACGAAGAGTTCCTCCTCTGAAAGCTCAGCCGGGCTCTTGGTACGGAAGAGCCGGTGCAGGCGCCGCGCTGCCCGCCGGAAGGCGTCGTCCAGCTCGCCTCCTGAGGAGCTCTCGGCCTCACTCTCGGTCCCACTGACCACCACGCAGGCACTATGACTCACACGGCCGAACTTGGTGCTCACCTGACAGGTGTACCGGCCAGTGTCGGTGGGGCCCAGACCAGTGACCAGCAGAGAGCAGGTGCCATCCTTGAGCTGGTCTATGTGGTAGTGCCGCCCGTCCATCAACTCTACGCCGTCCTTCAGCCAGCAGGCCCGCATATCAGCCTTGCTGGCCACCACACACTCCAGGCGCAGCACATCCCCAGTCTGTGCCTCTGTGTCCCCAAATGTCCGAGAGAACACAGGCCCTTCCTGCTGCTTTATCTCCTTCCGTACTTTGTAGCCCTTAAAGGCAGCCTGGATCTTCACAGCTGCCTTGTCCAGGGATGGATCCTTCAAGTCGGCTGCACTCAAGTCTCCTGGAAGTGTGCCCACGGGCACTCCTTGCTCCTGCTGCTTTTGTGGCTTCACAGAGGTGGCGACCTGGGCTCCGTGCTGTGGACACAGGACGTGAGATTAGAGCAAGGTGGGAAATGAAGACCAATAACAGTCCAAGCTCAGTAACCCTCCGGCACTCCATCTGCCTCCAGCAGAGTGGTTGCCCAGGTGCTGAACCCCTGCTTCGTCTGCTCCCCGAAGCAAAGGCTCGTCCTAGAAATCCCAGTATGCAGTGACCCAGATGGGGACCAACAGCACTGTGGGGAACACCAGAAAGGCCAGGTCTATCTCTTCAGGAAAAAGCTGTAACTGTTTAGTAAGTAAGCGGGGAGGTGAAAGGTGAATGCAAGAAAAAATAGGCAGGCAGCTGGTTATGAGGTTGAGCGGGTAGTGGGAGGATGGACGGATGGAAGGACAGTTGGGTGGATGGGTGGGGACATAAGTCAGGAGAAAAGTAAATGAGCCGGTGAGCAAATACAGGAGTAATGAGCAAATGAACTGTGGATAGGGGATGGTGAATAAATGGATGAGTGAGGGGAAGAACAAGTGATGCTGGGGGAGTGGACGACGGAGAGATGAATGCCTGGGTAAACAGATGGGAACATAGACAGAAAAACCAGAAAATAAGTCCAGGAGGTATGGAGAGTAGATGCATGGACAGAAGGGTGGGGACAGGCTGACGGGTAAGTGACCAAACTGTTCAACAGGTGCAGGAGTGACAGATGAGTGGACAAATAGGCAGATGGACAGACAGATGTACAGGGGGATGGTTGGATGGGTGGAGAGACTGATATACAAATGGAATGATGGTGAGTAGAGAATGAACAGATGGACAGATGGATAGATGCAAGGATAGTTGGAGAGTGAATGACAGGTCAGTTGATGGATGTTAGGATAGTAAGACTATGCATATACGGGTAGATGGTGTTGAGATGGATGAATAGATGGATAAGTTATGGGATTAAGGCACAGAAATGGATGGGCAATATCTGAGACCTCCCCCAACCCTCTCCTGTGGGCCAACTAGGAGGCTCACCTTGCTGGCCAGGGGTGAGATCCCAGGACCCCCAGCCTTCTTGAGGTAGGTAACTAGGGAAGGGGTGCCAGCCCGGGACTCATCGTCAGAGCTGGTGTGTGAGAGATCAGCCTCTCCTGTGCGCGCCAGCTCGTCAGCTGTGGAGTAGCCCTCAGAGAGATCAGGGGCTGTCTCTTCCGCCTCCTGACGCGGATGCTGCATGCGGCCATCCTCCTCGGGCAGTTCGCTGATGGAGTCCAGTGTGGGCTCCCGACTCATGCGGCGCTTCCGGGCAAGGGCCTCCCAAAGCAAATGCAGGTCACCTTCCTGGGCTGCCTCGGGGGGCAGGCTGGGCCGTGTGGGGACCTCATCCCCAGAGGTCGTGACCACTGAGGAGGGCAACAGGGCAGTCAGTGGGTGAGGTCAGACAGAGCTGCAGCCCCACACCTGCCTTCGCTGATGGATGGGGTACGGCCTGGATGTGGTCTTCTGGACCTCTGTTCTCCATATTGCACCAGGAACCTTATCTGTTTTGAAATGCTCCAAGGCTCAGCTCCCGACCCTCACTTTCGCTCCCCTTCAATCTACCTCCTGCCAGGGGCACACAGTCATTCAGCCAGGACAGGGAATCGCTCAGCAAAATAAAATTAGATGTATTTCCACCTGTTCAGCCCTGCTGCTGGTGCAGATGCCCAGGCTCGCTGGGACATTAGCACTGCATAGAGAGGATATGCTCACAATAGGGCAGGCTCAGAACATGAGAGGAGACCCCAGGACAGCATGTGGCTCAGAAGACAGTGTGTGGAGAAGATATGCAGAACACAGAGGGGCTCTGGGAGGGAGGACTGAGAAGGGATATAGACTCAGCACCAATGGAAGGTCTGGAAGCATGGGACAAGGGACAGGAGACTCAGTGTGGGTAGGACCTCAGGCACAGGGAAGCAGGAGAGGGTCAAAGTGCCTGGTGCAGAGGGAACCTCTCGAGGATGATGCTCAGAGCAGGGGTGGGTCAGAGTGCAGACAGTATTGGTGTGGTGGAGTGCCTTGGAAGGCAGAGTGGACTAAGAAGAGACTACAAGGCGCTTCAGAAAAGGTCTCAGAACTCCTGTGGGCAGGAGTCCCAGGACTTAAGAAATTCACCACCAATCCTACTTGAGGACAGAAGGCTGGCCTACAGCACAGTTCAATCACATGAGACCTGCCTTGCCTGACCAAGCCTTGGTTTCTCTGCACATCGCATGAAGTCTTGGGAAGGATTCAGCCTTGTGTCCAGAGCATATCAAGAAGAAAATCCAAATCAACTCTTCCCCACTCCACAGCATCCAACCCCAGAGCTCAGACTCACCATTAAAAGTGGCTGTCCCTGAGGAGGGCGGGCCCCGGGTGGGACAACAGCGGTACTCCCCTTCGTCTTCTGTCTTAAAACCCTTGATCACTAGCATCTGCCGCTGTCCCTGAGAGAGGATCTCAAAGTGTCCGCTGGGCTGGATGCGCTCTGTTCCCTTGTGCCAGACGACCTCACCAGCATCAGCTGCAACTTCCAACTCCAGACACACATCCTCACCAACCACTGCCTGACGTGTCTCTGGGGATGGGGTTGGGGTTGGGGCTGGGACTGGGGCTGAGGTTGGGGCTGGGACTGGTTCCGTTGGCTCTGCTGAAGGAAAAAAAAACAAACAGTGTTCACAGAAGATTAGCCACATCAGCCACGATGGATTCCAGGGTCACCGGCCAACCCTAAAGAGCTCCCTCCCTCCAGCTCATGGAGCTGGGCACTCTCGTGGACTGAGAGCAGTAACTCACCTAGCTTGACCATCTGGGGCAAATGTACAGGTTCCCCAGCACCTGCAGGACCTACAGCTGCCACTCGGAAGCGGTAGGTCTCCCCGGGGACCAGGCCATCCACCACACACTCTGGCCCAGGCACCAGCTCATGGCACAGCTTCCACTGGCCTGTGGACGCCTCCTTCATCTCCACACGATAACCACACAGACCACCGCCACCATCACTCATGGGAGCCACCCAGGACAGGGTCACAGAGTGGCCACTACGGCCCACCACCTCAGCGTCTTCAGGGGGGTCAGGGAGAGCTGCGTGGAAGAGAGCAGGTTAGCACACACACTGGAGTCTGAAGTCCTTCCGGAAGTCACTGAGGTCCAATACCAAACATGGCATATACTGAAGGGTAGACTCCCTTCAGACCCTGAACCCAGTGGTTCAGACCGTTTTGGGGAGCAAGGGAAGCTGGTGAAGCCTCAATGGGGTTGTGTTTGTGCATCTCGGCACCCACCACTAAGGGCAGGCATTGGGACTGGAGGATCTCATTTCTCTTGGCCCTTCTCCCCAAGAGCTGGGGCTAGATATACACTAGGCAAAGGGAGAGGCTAGAGAAGACTCTCAAGGTGCCCCAGAGAGTGTTCCTGGACCTGCAGCAGGAGATACTGCAGCCACTATCCTCAGGCTCGAGGGTCTAACGGAGCTACACAGAAGCCAGCTCTGAATGGTCGTCCATCTGAGTCGGGGGGATGAGCCAGGTGTGCCCCAGACCAAACTGGAGGCGAGGGACCTCTGCCACCCACTCACCCAACACAGAGAGGCGTGCAGAGGCCACGGCATCACGTGCTGCAAACGTGACCTCTCCTGCGTGTTGGGGTTGGGCGTTGCTCAGCATCAGGGCATGGTGGCTGCCATCTGCGGTGACCGTCCAGTCGGTGTCGTCGGGTTGGACAGCAGCCCCGTTGATGTACCAAGTGGCCTCGCCCACAGGCACCGCCTCACTGAGCGTGCATGTGAAGGAGGCCTGCATGCCAGCTCTCACAGATGCATCTTGTGGGGGCTCTAGGACCTCCAAGCGCCAGCCTGTGGGGAGCAAGATGGATGAGCATTGGCAAAAGGGGTGATCTGGGAGGGAAATGCAAGGACTCTGGCCCTTACAAAGCCCTCCCCCAACTTCTCCTCAAGTTGGAGGTGTCTTAGATTGATCCACCTAATTCTCCTGGCCCAGGAAGGCCTCGTGTTGGGGAGTCCAGGAGGCCAACAGCCCTCACCTGCAGCCCCACTCCCCTGGTAGCCACCAGGGCCTCGGAGATTTCAGGGAGGGCCGGTAGGAGGGTGTCTCCTATTTCCTATGCCACTCCCCAGCCCAGTGCCCCTAAATCCCTGTAGACCAAGGAGGTCCAGCCAATGGGAAGAGTCTGGAGAGCTGACATCTGACTCCCCCAGGCAGGTAGAGCCTTTGTGGAAAGGGCTGTCGTCTTTCTCAATGGAGTCTCCACTCCTGAGGAGCAGCAATAGAATCTCACCCTGCAAATGACTCTCCCACCTGTGGCTCCCATCCCAGACCCCCAGTCCTCTCATCCTACTGAGTTCCACTGAGATAGCAGCCCTGTGGAAGAAACTCAAATCCAACATCCTTCCTGTCCTGCACGGGCTTCGATGGCGAGGCCTCAGAGAACACCACCTTCTAAGATGACCCCCTTCACTACCACCTCTGCCTGAGGCTCAGGCTCCTGGGGGAGAGCCCCATTTACCCAACCACGCCCTCCCTCAGTACCTCTCACGGTGAGGAATGCAGATGTGACCACGTCCCCTGCCAGGAAAGTCACTCGGCAGCTGTCCTGTGGCTTCAGGTTTTTGAGCAACAGCAAGTGCCGCAGGCCGTTCTCAAAGTAGACGACCTCCGTGTTTTCCGAGGTGCGCACCGGCTCATCATCTAACAGCCAGGTGTGGGCGGCCACCTCGGGCTGGGACAGCTGGCACTCAAACAGGGCTTCGCCGCCCTCCAGCGCATCCACGTTCTCCAGGCCACGCACCACCGTGTTCTTGGCTGCGAAGAAAACAGGGCTCAGGGCTTTTCGTACTTCCAATAGTTTTTCACTGCTGTCTCTTGCCATAGCCCCCCAAAACTATAGTAGGCTAAACGGAACAGGACCCCAGCAGCCACTGTAAAGGGAGGCACTCAGGGTCCGCTGGAGGAGGTGTGGTTTCCCAGCCCCACCCATCCCATCACCCTCTCCAGAGGCTTCACATTAGCAGGGGCATCCTGTGTCTCACAGATGAGAAACGCCATAGGTATTCACAGGCCAGAAGCTCACAAGCCCAGACTCAAGCCCACTGGAGATGCAGATCGGTGTCCTTTCCCACAATGGTGCCTAAAGACTCAAGGTGTGGGCTACACCCTTTCCTCAAGACCCCCACCCAGCCCCGCTAGACTTGTCCTGATGCCTGGGATGCTATCTTCAAATCAGTGACAACTGGAGACCTCCCAAGTCCATACCCTGTTTCTCCCCTCCTTCCAGTTATATTAGTCTCTGTTTCTCATAGAAGCCACAAGCCGAGACTGTGTCCTAACCTAGCTGTAGCTCTGCACTGTCACCCACACTGGTGTTCTCACTGTATAGGTCACCTGCGTTGCAAGGCTAGCGGCCACTGCCTGCCTCTCTACCATGAACATGCTAGGCCTGCCTGCCAGGTGGCCTCACCTTGCACTTGGAGCAGTGCCACAACGCGAGTGCCCGCGGCCTCACAAGAATAGATGCCGCTGTCACAGGGCAGGGCTGGCCTGAGGGTCAGCCTGGCTACGGTCCAGTCCTGCTCTATGATGACACGGTTCCCATCGGCGCACACCTCCCGCTCGTTCATCTTCCACGTGGCCTGCACGGGCCGCGAGTACTGGCAGAGGAGCTCAGCCGAGCCACCCTCCTCCACCACCAGGTCCTGCATGGCACTCACCACCTCCACTGTGGGATCTGTCGGCCAACATCCCAGACAAGCATCAGCCCCTGGGGCAGTGCCACCATGGCCCACCCACCTTCTGCTGTCCATGTTAGTTGCTTCAGCGGCTGCAAGCATGGAGCTGTGGTGGGCAATGACTTAGCAATAGGTGCCTGGCATGTGGCCAGGAAGGGGACCCATCACAGCTGCCCAAGAGCCCTACACACCAGACATGCCTCATTGCACCCATGGCAGATGACAATGCCAAGGCAGAGGACAACGTCTGTCTAGGCTGGGCCCCTCTAGCCCAAAGTGAACACCAGGTCCCATCTTAAACACACCTGGACCCCAGATCCTGCAAGTCTGCAGCTGCAGATCGTCTTGTCCCTCTCCGAGGGGGTGGGGATGCTTGCTGACACCCTTAGGGTTCCACCCCAGCCCCACCTGTTGAAATTCTACACAGCCAATAATGGTTCATTCTGGATCTGGTTCTATGAGGCCTTACAGGAGGCCTTAGGCAAAAACACTGGGTGGAAGATTAGAAAGGAGCCATTTAGAGCCCCTGACAACCTGCTGCCCTCCCTATCCAGCCAACACTTCCCCAGAGGAGTGTGCACAGGAAGAGAAGCAGGTGTGCACAGGAGCAAACCAGAACTGGAAGCAGTGGCTTCTCCATCAGGAGCCCAGGAAACCCCCCTTCAGGAAGCTAGCCTTTGGCTGGGATATCTACCCAGTAGGGCAGTAAACAAGAATCAGTGTGTCCCACACGGCAAATGTGCAGGAGGCCAGTCTCCAAACTAAACAGTTCACAGAGACTTACCCTCCCACTCAGGAGGTGAGTGGAAGCCCATCCTCTGCCCTGGGAACACGATAGGCAGAGAGTAATGCCTTAACCATGGCCTTGGGGTCAGAACCTGACACTGTTCAATCCTCTAGGACCCTGCAGGAAGCATGCGGGGACAGCAAGGGCAGAAGCGCCAGCGTGGGGAGGTTCCCCCTTGGCCAATACCTTTGACCAATAACTTGGCTGTGGAGACCAGGGGCCCCGTGCGGAAGGTGATGGTGCCCGAGTCGGCCACGCCCAGGCCCGAGAGCATGAGGGAGTGAACAGTCCCCTCTTGTACAGTGATGACACTCTCAGGGCTGTTCTGAAGCCGGGTGCCATCCAGCCACCAGCGGGCCTCGGGCCCCCCTGCGCGAGATACCTCACAGGAGAACGTAGCCACCTCCCCCGCGAAGACATCCACATTCTGCAAGCCACGTACCAGGCACAGTGCTGCCTCTGTGCAAGAGGGCGAGAAGGAAGTCTGGGCTGGGGCTCCCTGGGGTCTGTGGGAACGGGGCCACACTCGGGGGCAGTGGTGTGGGAACGTGATCCAATAGCCAAATCGGTCTTTGTCCCAGTTCCTAGCATAGAACTTCCTGAGTGTCACAAGTGCTCTTGCACATAGCCAACACCTTCTGATCACATCAGAGGCTTTGCTAATGAGGTGCCAGCTCCAGGAAGGGGCCCAGTCACCAGGAAGACCAAGTGACAAGAGGATTCAAATGTCCAGCCCAACCCACCAGCCTCAGGGAGAGCAGTAAGGCTGGAGATAATTATAAACAAATCTAATGGACTTCAAGGTCTTGGGTACCAAAGGGGTGGAGAATGGCATATAGAAGCAGGGAGGGGTACCTGTCAAATTCCCCCCACACTATGTTAGTCTTTGACTGTTGCTGGGTGGTGTCCTGTGTGACAACCAGTGACAGCAACTGTTTCATGACTTTCAGCTGTCCAAGCAAACTGGTCAAACCCAGGTGGGAAGTGCGAGCCCCCACTCACACCCACCTTGTTAGCAAGGTTAGGTTTGCACCTGACTTTGTTGGGGGAGCGCTCTCTCCTGGGGCTGAGTCTATAAACAATGAATCTGTGCTAACTTGGGTAACGCCAGAATTGAAACCAGCTAGACTACAGCATCTGTTGGAGGATGGCTTGGGGTGGGGGACCCACTGTCCTAGTCAGGTGTCCTGTGCTGTACAGAATGTAGAGAGGACTGGCCGTAAGAATACTGTTCCCTACAACTGGGATCCTAAGTGAATTTACTCGAACAATCTTGAGATTGCCTGGCATGAGCCACATGGAATCTTCTGAGATCAGGCACTACCCAGACCAGAATAGCTTAGACCAAAGGTTCAGAAATCCACCCTAGACAGTTAGCACACCCTATTCAAAGAGAAAAGCACAGAGGTCATCCACACTAGCACATGAAAAGCGTGTGAGCCACTGAGCATCCCACACACCTTCGGAGCACTCCTGGCTTCACCCCCAGGAGGCCAGTGGTACCTATCTGGCATCTTTTACAGAAGGAACAATGAATGTACTCCACATTTGGGGCTCTTCTTGACAATAGGTGCCTCCTCTAATCTAATATGTGCAAGAAGGATGCACCCCAGAACCTGTTGGTCCATGAGTGTGGGGCTCAGTCCACTCCTCAGGGTATAGTAGCAGACAGGAGCAGTCTGTCTAGATATCCTCCGAGATCCTGCCACCCACGGCCTTAATGGCTGGGTACACTGCTCCTCCACCTCACAGTATGCCCCAAGTTGAGGAGCCTCATAGATGTATAAGTGCTCCAATCTGCATCCCATCTACCTTTTGAGGGAAACACAGCAGGTAGAGAGCCCAAGCACTCCAGGTCAGGAATTTTCTCATAGTTGGCTTTCCAACAGCCCAGGACAGACAGGAAAAGACCAGTGGTCTCTTCCACACTTGCCACCTCTTCATACTTGTCAACCTGCAAGGAGGATGACACCCTGCCCCCATGCTTCTCCCTGAGCATTTACCAGATGCCTTTCTGGGAGCAATTGATAAAGTCCAGATGTTTCTGATGCATTTGCTTCTACACCATAGCATGAGGCTAAGAAGTCAGTCAAGAACCATTTGTAGAGACATCAGTACCCAGCAAGATGGGGCAGCCTTGAGGATCACCCCAGAGGATTCCTTTAGAAGTCTGTCCACAACATTCCCCATGGATGCTCCTTTTCCAGCACCAGCTCCCAAGCCTGTCCATAGCAAAGCTACCTGGACAACCATTCCTCCCAAGGCCACCCAAAGTTGTACACAAGCCAGTTCTCTCAGAATGGGAACATCTAGCCTAGAGCAGGACAGAAACCCAGCCTGCAGCTCCATGCTGTCCCCTAGTAAACACAGACCTTTGCTGCCCTGCCCCCTACTCATGACAACTATGAAATTCTTCATCAATCAACATTGGCAGCTGGCAGTCCTTCTCAGCCCCACAGGCCATCATAGAATTGACCATGCCTGACCATCTCTGAAGTTCCAGAACATGGGGTTCAGAACATGTTCTATCCTTCACAACTAGCTCCCCTCAGTAGAACCGAGGGCTCCATCTTGGCAAAGCTGTCTGTATAACCCATCCTGAAATCCTAGACATGAAGGGTAGATCAGAGGTGTTAGCCAATGGTGAATAGATGGCTGGGTGGCAAATAGGGGCTTGACAGATGAATGAATGGATGGTGGGCAGGTGAATGGCTGAGTGGTTGGATGGTAAGCAGATAATAAATGCACAGATGGTAGGATGGGTGGATGGATAGCTAGATGGATGATAGGCAGGTGGATGGACAAATCATGAGTACCTCGATAAGTGGGTCAGTGTGATGTGGAAGATGAATGATAGATGAATGGAAGATTGATGAAGAATGGGCTTAGGTGGGTGACAAGTGGTGACCATAAATGGATGGATGTGTTGTGCATGGCAGACGGATAGAGGATAAATCAGGAAGTGGGTCGATGATGGAGGGGGCAATGGCATCACACTGAGAACCAGGACTAGGCAGCATGGGAAGGTTGCTCAAAGCCAAGCTCTATAGGATGGACCTATTCTGGAGACAAGGTCTACTCTAAACTGAAGATTCCTAGAGCCTTACCTGCGCACTGGAGCCATGTTTACCATGGCCAAATCCATGCCTGTGTCATAGGTATGTGATTGCACCCACATCTCTGAGCCTTTTGAGTAAGCAAATGTACATTGGCATGGACATACATGCATGTGCAAGGACCTAAACCACAGAGCTGGTCCCGTCTCCACTCAAGGCCCAAGCCCGTGCCAGTCAGACCCTCTAGCTCCTCCAGGAGGCAGAATCAATTCTAGCCTGAGATACCACACACTGCAAAATTGACATCCCCAAAGCAAAATCCCAGCTAGAAGTCTGGGGCTCCTGATTCCCCCGAAGAGCTGCAGTGCTAGGAAACACAAGACATCCACGGGCGTGGGCTCGGTGTAGGATAGGGATGCCCACCTGCGACCTTCAGCTGGGCTTCTGAGGAGCATGAGCCCACTTGGAGAGTGATGGTTCCAGTATCCTCCAGGGTCACCTGAGGAGGCAGGAGGTAGATGCTTGCCCTTGCACCTCATCCTGATCAAAAGGGGCGGATCCATCTTCCCAGACCCCATGATAGGGGCTTGTCACCTCCCCAGCCCACCGCCCTGGAGGAGGATCTTCCCTAGTGGACTCTGAACCTACTGAGGCAGAGGACAGGTCCCAGAACCCCACCTTATGCAGAGTGAGTAGGTGGAGCGTGCCCTGCTCCACAGTGATGTCATTCATCTCGTTGGACTGCAAGGGAACCCCTCCCAAAGCCCAGCGGGCCTCCTGGCCCGAGGCCCTTGACAGCCGGCACTGGAAGTGGGCATCCTGGCCCTCGCTGAGCTGCACATCTTTCAGGGGCTCCAGAACGGTCACCTCGGGGACTAGACACAGGAAGCATGGGCATCAGCCTTGGCATCTGGAATGCTCCCTTGAATGGCAGAGCTCTCATATCCCAGAAATCCCATGATACCTCACCCCAATCCCTGAGAGTGAACCCATAGGAGTATGCTACCAGCCCCCTTCTACCTATATCTACATAGATAACACAGCTTGGGCTCTGACCCACTAGGAATCTAGAGGTGGCCTAGGGCTAGGACTGGTACAGTCTGCAGAATGTTCTGAGGGCTGGTGAGTAGGTTCTAAGCACCAACACAGTCTGAGCTTCTGGGAGCCCACTGAACCTGCCTACCAGCCGGATGCACACAGGTTCTCCTCACTACCAGAACCTCACCTCCCCCACAAAGAGTATCTATCATTCCCCAAAATGATCTGAGCCTGAACAGTCTCATCCCAGACGAGGGAAGGCCAGGTCCCCCGGAGCCAGATACCTCGGACTGTGAGCTGAGCAGAAGATGAATGGCTGCCCACGTGGAAGGAGACGGTGCCAGCATCCTCCGGTGTCACAGCCTTCAGTCGGAGTACGTGGGTACGGCCATCTCCAAGAACCGCCACCTCTGTTACTTCATTGCTCTGCAGTGGCAGACCTTGGAGATTCCACCGCACATCTGCAGCTCTTGCCTGCGACACCTCACAAGTAAACTCCACATCCTCATCAGCCTGTACCTCCATGTTAACCAGGCCCCGCACAATGGTCACCTCAGGCTCTGTGGGAAAGGGACAGAGGAGAGAGGCTCTTGATCAGCCTGAGCCAGAATCCTTGAAAGCCTTCCTTGACACTTCAGGGCTCTCCTGTCACCTGGTCTCACGGGCACAGAAGCTGAGCTGGGGCCCTTGCTTCCCCACGGGCCGAGAGAGAGAAACTGGGCATACAATGGTGAGGGCTGTGTTTGGCCCTAATACTGTTGCCAGCCCTATCCTGTCTAGGTCACCGTGAAGCAAATCCTTCTGTAGGAATAAGTCAGGCACAGAGAACACCTCAAAGGCCAGCAATGCTGTTCTGCCTTCTGGGAAAGAGGAGTCAGGGCTGCTTTTGGGGACTGAGGTCTGTCCTGGCTGCTCTGGCCTTTCAGCTGGGGAATCAGACCTGAAAGTAGTGTAGGAAAGACGGAGACAGAATTGTGAGGTGATGGTCCTGGCCCCAATATAAGGTGCACCCAGGAGAGTCCTAAGGGGTAGGCATGACAGGAAGGGTTCAAGTTCTCCTCCTGGAGACTAGCTACTCACCTTTGACTCTGAGAGAGGCCAGGGTTTTCTGGCCACCCACCACACAGGCATACTCTCCTGTGTCCTTAGTCTCCAGCTCATGGATCAGTAGCTCGCACACAGACCCCTGGCACCGCATCTCATACTTGGGGCTAGCATGCAGCTCCACACCCTCCTTGAGCCACTGCACTGGAGCCCCCTGCTCAGTCTCGCTCAGCTGACAACACAGCCGGGCCACGCCCCCTGCTTCCTGCTGTGTGCTCTGAAGGCCAGCCTTGAACTTGGGCTTGGGGGCTGAGGAGCACAAAAAAAAAAAAAAAAAAACTTAAAATTGCAGGTCCCATCCCCCGACTCTGACTAAACAAGATCTCCTGTTCTTAAGAGTAGGAGGGGGGCTACAGGCAGCTCACCTCGGACTGAGAGCCTGGCGATGCTCTGGGCGTGGCCTGCATCGCAGATGTATTCGCCGGCATCCTCCTGCTCCACCTCACGAACCAGCAGTGTGGCAGTGGTGCCCTCCTGCACCATCTGATACTTGGCACAAGGGAAAAGCTGCAGGGAGCCCTTGCGCCACTCCACACTCACGGCCTCCTGGCTCAGCTCACAGTGCAGGTGTGCACTGGTCCCCTCATCCACCTCCTGGGCCTGCAGCTCCCTGAGGAACCGCACAGGAGCAGCTGCAAGGGTGGGGGGCAGCGTGAAAGCAGGTCCCTGAGTCGTGAAGGGAGTTCCTGTCAGGGAACCACCCAGAGTGGATCTGTGGTCAGGATCCACGGGACACGGCCACCAGGAGGAACTAGGGACCTGCACACAGTGGTGAGTGGGGTTGCTGCGCCTGCCCACGAAGCTAGCAGGGTGGGGAGAACGCCTGAAGAAATGACTCTAAGGGCTAGAGAGCAGGAACAGCGAAGGTCACAGAGACATGGCTGTGAAACTGTAGCAGGTGACAGAAAGAACTATGGGGCAGATATGGAGAGTGACAGAGAGCACAAAAAGACTGGAGTGACCTGGCAGGACAGTGGAGAAGCCACCATAGAGGGACAGCATGTGATGGTGGGTCACCTAACAATGACAGAATGAAGGACATGCCCAGGAGAATCTCAGGGACCCAGCTACTGGTGAGGGAGACAGACCTCAGGGCCACTAAGTTAAATGAGTTCTCCTGGCTGGGACCCATGAAACAGGGCTGCAACCGTGGGAGTCAGCATGAAAACTGTACCCACACAGCCAACCCCCAACACTGGAGCTGACCAGCCTGGGATGCCTACCTGTAACCATGAGCGTGGCACCTGTGCTCTGAGAGCCACAGGTACAGCTGTACTCGCCCGCATCCTCGCGGCGCACATCCCTAAGCAGCAGCTCCGCCACACACCCCCGCTGCCGTGACTCTCGGCGCTCATCGGCCTGCAGCTCCAGGCCACCCTTGCTCCAGACCACAGCAGCGTTGGAGATAGACAGCTCACACTGCAGGCTGGCCGTGGAACCTTCCTCTACTTTCAGGTTCTGCAGCGGTTTCTGGAACGCCACCTGTGGGGCTGTGAGAGGATGAGAGGCTAACAGACTCAACTCAAGGTGCACCCCTGAGCACCCGAAGGCAGCCAGACAGGGTCCTAGCGCAGCCCTGGGGTTGATGCTGAATGAGACCATGGGGCTAGGTGGGCTTCAAGGTAAAAGAGCCAATGGGGAGGTTGGGAAAGACCCAAGAGCTGACTCTGGGTGCTTGCCTCCCACTTAGACAGGGCAGTCCCCTACAGGGCTACATCCAAAGGATCCAGGGAGGCACACATGTCAGACTACCCAGAATAGAATCAAGTCTAGTCATGTCCCCACAGACCAGAACCCAGGAAAGGGCTTTGTCCTCCAAGATCACAGCCTCAGACCAGACCTCAGAGCATAGCTTAGCTCTTCCCAGGCTGCTGGAATGGTCCCTCTGATACTAGGGCACAGTGTGTCCCACAGACCCCAGGAAATAGCCAGTCTTCTCAAGATCAGGCAGGGCTCTGGCTTCCATGGTCTGGAGACTTCAAGATACAGCAGTCATTGGGCTTCACAGAGCCACACTAGGAACATGACCCCATTCTGCAGGGTCCAGGACCCTCCAGGGGATCCACATGGCACCTCTAAACACCCAATTTGCCCCAGTCAAAGAGAATATTTGGTTGAGCGTGACACGCAGAACCTGAATGTAGATGGCAAAGGGGAGGATATCTGGGAACACAGAATAACATGCTCGGCCCCAACATGACGGCCGGCAGTGTGAGGGCACAAGTGGTAAGTTACAGACACCAAGACCCTGGAGAATGCCGTGGCTGAGATCAGACAGGACAAACATAGCATCAAAGAAAAGATGAAAGAGGACATTGTGGGGAGAGGTAGAACAGGACAGGATAGGTGGAGAACAGGAACAGAAGTCCAAAATCATCACGTGGCCACAGGAAGCTTTACCTGGGATGCTCAGTGTGGCTGAGGTCTTTTCCTGCCCACACACGCACGAGTACTCCCCAGCATCTTCCACAGCCAGGCCACGGATCAGCAGCTCACACGTCGCCCCTTCCTGCCTGAGGCAGTATCTGTTCCCATCTCTCAGGATCTCAGACCCCTTCCTCCACACCACAGGGGCCTTCTTGCTAAGCTCACACCGCAGTGTGGCTGTTGTACCTTCCAAGGCCTCTTGGTTTCTCAGGCCTTCTATGAATCTGGCCGGCAGGGCTGGGAAGGACCAAGAAGTCACTGAGAACATGAAACTGGAGAACCTTGCACACACAGGACACACAACCCACAAAGAAGGAAAACCACCACAAAGAACAGGTGGAGGGAGATGGAGATGGTGAGGGGAGAACTCCATGAGGAACAGAAAGGGCAGTGAGATGCCTGTGCACATGAAAGTATCTCTTCAGCAAGCAGAATGACTCTAGTTACAAGACAGACGGCCACTGGGTTGCCACGGAGGTTGTGCCACAGGTGCCGTTGGACAGAATAACACAACATGGAGACACCACGCCTCGGGTTCAGGTAGCCACACATGATCTTTACCCTTGACACTCAGTGTGGCTGAGGTCTTCTCCTGCCCACATATGCACAAGTACTCCCCAGCATCTTCCACAGCCAGGCCACGGATCTGCATCTCACATGTGGCCCCTTCCTGCCTCAGGCTGTATTTGTCCCCATCTCTCAGGCTCTCAGACCCCTTCCTCCACTCCACAGAGGCAGCCTTGCTCATCCGGCACCTCAGCATCACCGTGGTGCCTTCCATGGCCTCTTGGCTTCTCAGGTCTTCTATGAATCTGGTGGGCAGGGCTGGGAAGGAGCAAGCATTCACTGAGAACATGAAGCTGGAGAACACGGCACACGGGACACACACTCACAAAGAATGACACACAGTCAAAGGAACACAGCATAAACACGTGATGGAAGGTGCAGATGGTGAGGGAGTGATCTCGTGGGGAACAGAGAGGGCAGTGGCCTGGATGTGAACACAAGAACAACTGGGCACGACATGGAAAGCACAGGTGGAGATGCCAAGATGATTGAAGGGGCAGAATAGATATCACAGGGCCACCCTAGGAAACCACATGTGGAGACAGAAGCATCGATGGGACAGCATGGAGACACCACGTCTCAGGTTCAGGTGGTCACACATGATCTTTACCCTTGACACTCAGTGTGGCTGAGGTTTTCTCCTGCCCACACACGCATGAGTACTCCCCAGCATCTTCCACAGCCAGGCCACAGATCTGCAGCTCACACGTGGCCCCTTCCTGCCTCAGGCTGTATCTGTCCCCATCTCTCAGGCTCTCAGACCCCTTCCTCCACTCCACAGAGGCAGCCTTGCTCATCTGGCACCTCAGTGTCACTGTGGTGCCTTCCGTGGCCTCTTGGCTTCTCAGGTCTTCTATGAATCTGGCAGGCAGAGCTGGGAAGGAGCAAGCAGCGACTGAGATCACGGGACTCTGAAGGGCATGCTGTGCACAACGTGGAATACACAAAGAGACACTCATTCTGGCAAAGGAATTGACAGAAACAGTGAACAGACTGGGAGGAAACAAGAATCCAGGGAGGTGTAGAGAGGGCCGTAGGGTGGCCACGAACATGAGAATATTTCCTCAACAAAAAGAACTAGTAATGTCCAGATGTCCCTAGTTTCATGACAGATAGCCACAGGTCATCACAGAAACTGTGTCACATATGGAGGACAGACATAGCATCAAGATAACACTGAGACACCACAACTCAGGTTCAGGTGACCAAATATGATCTTTACCCTTGACACTCAGTGTGGCTGAGGTCCTTTCTAGCCCACAGAGGCACAAATATTCCCCAGCGTCTTCCATAGCCACACCACGAATCTGCAGCTCACATACAGCCTGGTTCTGCCTCAGACTACATCTGCCTCCATCTCGGAGGGTCTTTGTTCCCTTCTTCCACTCCACTGGGGCTCCTCTGCTCAGCTGGCACCTCAAAGTCACCACGGTTCCTTCTGTGGCTTCTTCATTCTTCAGGCCCTCTGTGAATGTGGTGGGTAGTGCTAGGGAGGTCAGAAAGACACAGGCATGGCCATTCTGTCAGAGTGAGTGAAAGACAGGACACAGATGACACAGAGAAGACACCGAACTCAACCAAAGGACACATGTGAGCGTGCTGAGAACTTGGTGTGGCATTCCTCGGGCTGGACTGTGCATAGGTCCACCTTGCTCCATCTGCAGCTTCCTTGGGTCCTATATCTCATAGGGACCTGGCACGCAGAGTCACAGATGGTCAGAATAGCATGGAGAGCCCCAGATTTCTTAGAGAACTTTGGGGTTCAGGGCATGACAGTGAGAACAAGAGACACAGGATCCAACAACACAAACCCCATACAGCACACAGCAGTGGGGAAGTGGCTGCAGATGCTCTTATCTTCTGGGTAACACAGCCAGGAAGCAGGAATGAATTCCCCGCAGTGATGGGCAGATGACACGCAGACTTGGGTACCACCACACAGGTCTTTACCCTTGATGGTCAGCATGGCTGTGGTCTTTTCCTCCCCACACACGCATGAGTACTCTCCAGCGTCTGCCATGGTCAGGTCATGGATTTGCAGCTCACACATGGTTCCCGTTTGCCGCAGCTTGTATCTGTCTCCATCTCTGAGGGTCTCTGGGCCCTTCTTCCACTCCACAGAGGCCTTTTTGCTGAGTTGACATTGAAGAGTGGCCATGCACCCTTCCATAACCTCCTTGGACTTCAGCTCTTCAATGAACCGTGTGGGCAGGGCTAGGAAGGATCAGGTGGACAGAAGCCATCAAACTCCATGAAAGTTTCGAAGGTCATTTTCTGAGTATCCAGAAAGGAATCAGAAGCAGAAGGGCTAGAGATCATGGGAAGGAGCAGATCAAAGTGTGCGAGCAGAGGTTCCTGTGCTGTGCCTACTGAGATGCAGCTGGACTGGAAGGCGGGTACCATTCCAGACTCGCCTTCCTGTGGTCTTCTCGTCACTAGAAGACATGCCAGGCATCTGAGATCAATCGTGCATGCAAACACATTTCCTGACCGACCTCCACGGCAGGCATCTCCCAATTATGATGCCTTCCAGCCTTATAGATAAGATGCCCACTCACCCAGGGCCTCCATCCGGCACTGTCCATACTTGGACTCGCCCTGACAGCTTATATGAGGCCCTATCTCCTCCACTTCACACTCCTGCCCTGACACTACTAGAACCACACTCCATCCATTGGTGCCACCTCTCTGGCTCGTGTCTCCTGGTCCCTGATAAACTGCAGCTGGGAACTCCTAGGCAGGCCTTTGACCCTTGAATCTGTCCTGCTGTCCTCCCCACTGACTGATGAGAGCTCACCCTGGTTATATTGTAATTGACTCTGCCCCTCCAAATGTATATTAAATGTCTAATTGATACAGCTTCAGAAAATAAGTGTATTTGGAGGTTGGCCCTGGAGAGGAGAAAAATACTAAATGAAGTCATGTAGATAAGAACTTAATCCAGTAGGAATAATGTCCTTATAAGACATCTGGATACAAACAAGACGATTGTGGGGAAAACAGCTGCCTGGGAGCCAGCGAGAGGCCTTGGAAGGGCCAATCCTGCTGGCTGTCTGCTCACAGGCCTCCAGCCTTCTGAACTGGAAGGAAACCAACTTCTAAGAGTACTGATGTACTGTTCTTCAAGATGGTCAAACAACACATATTTGAGGATACTATTATAACAAATACCTAAGAATCTGGAGCTGTCTGGTAGCAGTTAATGGCTAGAGGCTGGGTGGCTTTTGACATATATATCAAAAAAAATCAAGATTACTGGGAATGGTCTGCTAATGGAAATATGGGTATTAATGCCACACCTAGTCAGGCCTCAGACAGAAATGGGGAAATAAAACTAGAAAGAAGGAAGGTGACCCTTCTGTCAGCATCAGTGAGCTTGGCCAAATTCTCTTCTAGTGCCTTGTGGGATACAGAATTTGTAAATTTGAAATTGAATATTTATCTTAGGAGGTTTACAGGGAAAGTGTTCAAGGCATGGTCTGGATTCTTCTTTCTGCTTACAGTAAGAGTGAGAGGATAGGGAGAGATAAACTGAAGAATTAATAAGTAAAATGGAAGAGGAATTGAAGATTTTGAGAATTTATAGCCTACCCATGCTGTTAAAAAAATAATGAGAACGTATGTTCTGAAGAGAACCTTAGGACGTAGTTAACCATGTCATCTCTGCAGAAGTCACAGATAGAGAGAAAAGCTGTGGAGGACCCTTTGGGAATTCACAGGAAAGTAAGGACATTGAGAATGTCAAACCAGTTGGAATACCCCTTAGACTAGAAAAGGATAGAGACCTGAGGGAAGGAAGAAGGCGATCACACCTGATGAGACTACAGAGCCATCATCCATCTGCTACACGTGACCCTTCAGGTAGATGACCATGGCTGGGTGGCTGGCTCATGCCTGTAACCTCAGCACCTGAGAAGCTGAAGCAGGTGATGTCCCACATGTTTTAGGCCAGGCTGCTCTACGCTAACCACTCAGGGTACTCAGGGCTGCATAGCAAACGAGTTTTAAAGAGAGTGACTCAGAAGAGTGGATCAAGATCAACAGAGGTACCACTGCCACCAGGAGCCCCAAGGCCACAGGCCTGGGGAGAAGGCACTCTCCTCCTTGGCCCTAGGCCATCTCCACTCAGGACGATGAGGGCTAGTCTAAAGCCTCTGGCTCAAGCCAGAGATAATTCTCCTGCCTTGAAATCCAGTAGAGTTGCCCTGCTGTTTCAGATTCGTGGAATCCATATCCCATCTCTTCATCCCAATTTCCTCCTCCTTGGGTAAGGACATCTGCTACATGCCCTGTCATTGTCCCAGCCTCCTAATGCTGGGACCGTTAAATCCAGTTCCTCATGTTGTGGTGACCCCCACCATAAAACTGTTCTCACTTCTATTCACAACTGTAACTTTGCTACTGTTATGAATCATAATGTAAATATCTGGTCTATAGCTTATCTGCTATGTGACCTCTGTGAAAGGGGTTTTTGACCCCCAGGTTGAGAATCATTGTTTAGAATCATGGTTCTGCCTGGGTCTGTAGCTTCACAAGTAAGAGGCAAATGCACCTCTGTGTGAATAAAACCTAAAATTTATCATACTTAGAAGAGACAGACATCAGGCTGTAGGAACTGGAGGAATGCATTGTTACATGCCAAAAGAACAAAGGATTTGAGGAGGCCAGGAGGTAGAAAGTTATAGGCTATGGTGGTTTGAATGATACACCCCCTATCGTCTCAGACATTTGAATACTTGGTTCCCAGCTGCTGGCAATGTCTGGGTAGATTTAAAAGGTGCGGTCTTGCTGGAGTTTGTCACCTTGAGAGATTTTGAGAGTCATAAAATTTCTAGTTCACTCTTTTTACTTCATTCTTGCTGCTCAAGATTTGAGCTCCAGACTCCTGCTCCTGCTGCCATGCCCACTGTTTGTTACCACGGTTCTCTTCCATATGGACTCTCATCCCTCTGGAACTGGAAGTCCAAACAAACTCCTTAAGCTGCTTTGGCCATGGCATTTTGTCACAGCAAGAGACAAGTGACTTACACATGAGCTAAACTGTGCCACCTCCTCACACACACATTGAAGCTGCAATTTCCCCAGTGCCCCGGGGAGTCGCTCCACTTTCAAGAATATTTAAATAAATAATGAGTCAAAATGAGGTCAGGCTGGACTCAAGTCCAAAGTGGCTAGTGCGGATATATTACATCAGAGACACAGGGAATGACCATGTGAATAATCTAAGAAAAGAGACATCTTCAGAAAAAAAACAATACTGCCGCTCTCTCAATAAAGGAATTCCAGCCTCCAGAGCAGACTCAGGCAGAAGCCCTTCAGAGCAACAGTTAAACTTCAGCAGTGCTTGCCTGGCTACCTCCAGCCAGGACCACACACTGCTGGGCACGTCCATCAAGGGACAGACATCTGTCAACTCCGGGCCTGGAACCAAAGAACCCAAAGTCTCAGCAGGCCTTAGCAAGATGCAGGTAGCTCGAGCAGATCTGCCATTGGACACTGATGGAATACGCCAGTACCTCCTCTACAACTGCGTACTAGTTTTCCCTGGGATCATGTCCTAGCACAGGCGCTAGACTAGGCTAACCCAGTGTGGTTTGGGAGAATGGATCACACAAACATGTGACTGTGCATGACACGATGACCCTGAGAAGCATAGGAGAACAAAGCTACATGGGAGAGATGAGAGAAAGCAGACCAATCAGGTGGGTACACAAAGTCATTACCATCTACAGTCAGCATGGCTGAGGTCCTCTCTTGCCCACACACGCATGAGTACTCCCCAGCATCTTCCACAGTTAGGCCACGGATCTGCAGCTCACACGTGGCCCCTTCCTGCCTCAGGCTGTATTTGTCCCCATCTCTCAGGCTCTCAGACCCCTTCCTCCACTCCACAGAGGCAGCCTTGCTCATCCGGCACCTCAGCATCACCGTGGTGCCTTCCATGGCCTCTTGGCTTCTCAGGTCTTCTATGAATCTGGTGGGCAGGGCTGGGAAGGAGCAAGCATTCACTGAGAACATGAAGCTGGAGAACACGGCACACGGGACACACACTCACAAAGAATGACACACTGTCAAGAAACACAGCATAAACACGTGATGGAAGGTGCAGACGGTGAGGGAGTGATCTCGTGGGGAACAGAGAGGGCAGTGGCCTGGATGTGAACACAAGAACAACTGGGCACGACATGGAAAGCACAGGTGGAGATGCCAAGATGACTGAAGGGGCAGAATAGATATCACAGGGCCACCATAGGAAACCACATGTGGAGACAGAAGCATCGATGGGACAACATGGAGACACCACGTCTCGTGTTCAGGTGGCCACACATGATCTTTACCCTTGACACTCAGTGTGGCTGAGGTCCTCTCCTGCCCACACACGCATGAGTACTCCCCAGCATCTTCCACAGCCAGGCCACAGATCTGCAGCTCACACGTGGCCCCTTCCTGCCTCAGGTTGTATCTGTCCCCATCTCTCAGGCTCTCAGACCCCTTCCTCCACTCCACAGAGGCAGCCTTGCTCATCTGGCACCTCAGCATCAGTGTGGTGCCTTCCATGGCCTCTTGACTTCTCAGGTCTTCTATGAATCTGGTGGGCAGGGCTGGGAAGGAGCAAGCAGCGACTGAGAACATGGGACTCCGAAGGACATGCTGTGCACAATGTGGAATACACAAAGAATTTGACAGGAACAGTGAACAGACTGGGAGGAAGCAAAAATCAGGGAGGTGTAGAGAGGGTGGTAGGGTGGACATGAACATGAGAATATTTCCTGGACCTGGGAAAAGGAAAGTAGAGAACCCAGATGACTCCAGTTATGGGACAGATGTCACCACGGGAGCTGTGCCATACATGAAAAGCAGACATAGCATCAAGATAACACAGAGACATCAAGTCACAGGTTCAGGGGGCCACACATGACCTTTACCCTTGACACTCAGTGTGGCTGAGGTCTTCTCCTGCCCACACACGCATGAGTACTCCCCAGCATCTTCCACAGCCACATCATATATCTGCAGCTCACACGTGACCCCTTCCTGCCTCAGGATAAATCTGTCTCCATCTTTGAGGGTCTTTTCTCCCTTCCTCCACTCCACTGGGGTAGCCTTGCTCATCTGGCACCTCAGTATGGCCATGGTCCCTTCTGTGGCCTCTTCATTCCTCAGACACTCTGTGAATTTGGCGGGCATGGCTAGGAACACCAGAAAGGCACAGGAATTGTTACATTCAGAGCACACGAAATGGATAAGACATGAACAACACTGAGAATACACAGACCCCTCTGAGGGTGGGCCATGTGCTGCTATGCTGAGAACAGGCCATGAATTTCATGGTGTGTCCTCTTAATGTCAGGACCATGGTCCTTTCCATAGAGCTGGCATGTTGGTCAGAGGGGGCCAGAAACACACAAAGTTGCCACATTCTCTGAAGAACTTTAGCAGGCATGACTCAGCCTGGATGACAACAGGACATGGACTCTACCAGAAAAGTAGTACTTAACTCGTGGTGACACAAGCTGCGTGTGTGATTTTCCCTGTTTCATACAGTTCCCCCAAAAGTTGGGACTCTGTCCAGTTATGAAAGGTGACACACAGACAAAGGGACAGAATATGGGATGTGCCAGATAAGCAGCACATCCATAGACACCAAGACACAGATCTGATCGACCACACATCTTTACCACTAATATGCAGTGTGGCTGAGGTCCTCTCCTGCCCACACACACATGAGTACTCCCCAGTGTCCACCAGGGCCAGGCCACGGATCTGCAGCTCACACACAGCTCCATCCTGTCTCAGGCTGTATCTGTCTCCATCTCTCAGGGTCTCGGACCCCTTCCTCCACTGCACAGGGGCAGCCTTGCTCAGCTCACATCTTAAGATTGCTGTTTCCCCTTCTGTGGCTTTTTGGCTTTTCAAGTCTTCTATAAACTTGGCAGGCAGGCCTGGAAAGGGTCAAGCAACCACTGAGAACATGAAACTCTCCCAAGGTCTCTGCGTGGACATGGAACCCCAAAAGAACCACACACGTTGCTCAAGAGCCACGGCGTAAACGACTGAGCTCATGAACCGATGGTGAGGAAGACAGGGAGCTGGGGAGGGACAGCAACAGGAGGAAGATCCACTTGAGCAAATAAAAAATACTCAAAGGACATCAGCGTGAGGACAGTGGCTAACACAGGGGCTGTGCCACATATGAAGACAGAAGGCAGGACAGGGACAACATGAAGTCGAACCACCCGTCTTTACCCTTGACAGTCAGCGTGGCTGAGGTCTTCTCCTGTGCACACACACATGAGTACTCCCCGGCATCGGCTACGGTCAGGCCCCGGATCTGCAGCCTGCACACAGCTCCATCCTGACTCAGACCATATCTGTCTCCATCCTGCAAGGTCTTCGTTCCTTTCTTCCATACCACAGGAGCTGCCTTGCTCAGTTCACACCTCAGGGTAGCCGTGGTTCCTTCTGTGGCTTCTTCGCTCTTCAGACCGTCTGTGAACTTAGCTGGAAGGGCTAGGGAGGTCAGAAAGACACAGACACAATCACACTCTCTGAGAACATGGAAGACTCTAGATGTGGGCAGACAGGAAAAACAGGAAGCCCGACCGCACACAGGCCACACACCGGGCGTGACAAACACAGCTGAGGAGGGGACTTTGCTTGGTCAAGACTCTGTGTCTCATGGACACAGCCCATTCTGTGATTTCTGCAGGCCTCAGACCATATGAGTTTGGCTTGTGGTGTTGGGGACGACACAAAGATCATCAGGAGTTTGCAGAATGGTGAAGATGGGACGTGACACGTAACAATAAAGCACACCTTGGAGATTGTAAGGGGACACACGTGGGGAAAAGCACAAATGGGGCAGCACATGGACGGGTCATCCTGACCCTGCTGAAGCAGCAAAGTAACAGAGGACTTCAAGATAAGGAGGTGTAGAGAGAGCACCCAGGACCTAGACAGCAGAAGCGTTTACAATATCCCTGGCCCCATGGCTTCTGTGCCCACTGTGCTCCACAAACAAACTCCATGCTCAATGTCTTGACTGTTAGGTCACAGCGTGCCATGGCTGTGAACAACTCCAGTACTCATTGATCTCATTCTGACGATGCTGGGAGAGCTCACAGGGTGTCTGGACCACAGCCCCTCACCATAGCAAACCCCACTTCTCAGAACAGACTGGGAAGAAGGAACAGCTTAGCTGGGTCTCTTCCTGAGCTGTCAGCCTGGAGTAGGTGGCCACAGGGCTCTGCCCCATCTTCACCATGCAGGCAAACTCTCCGGTGTGAGGGAGCAGTGTTGAAGGTTCATCCACGAGTGAACAAAGAGAGGAACGAGTCCTTGGCCGCCATGTGGGAAGGGGTCACAGAGAAGGGGTGATCCGGCTCTTGTTTGCCAACACTGAAGCCTTCCTTTGGCTACCAGGCCATAACTGAGAACTCAGGAACTCTGTGTACTAGGCGCATCCTCAGGATGTTGTGGTCCCCAGGGCTAGCTTTCGAAAATGCAGTACTCTCTAGAAAGGTCCCAGTAAGGTATCCATCATGGCCCAGTCTTTGTTGGGACAAACCCAGTTCTGAAAGCAGCTGGTTGCCAGGACCCTCTACACCTCAGCCATCAACCGTGTGTCCTGGGGATGGGAATAGGGAGAAGGGTTTCCTGTGACCTCTCTCTGACTCTTCAGCCATGGGACAGGCCTCGGATGTATCCTCGGGTGTCATTTCTTGGAATGTTTCAACGTATGACGGCGTCAGGCCTCTGTGTTTTGACATTGATTCATCTACATGGATATTGGTTTTCATTCAAGTGTCTCTAATGCTTGTGATGATGACAGGAGCCACCTGCCACAGCCTGGAAAAAGATGGCTAGGCCTCACCATATCTTCCTTTTCAGCGCCCTCAGTAGTCAGTTCTTCACAGGAGAACAGAGTCCACCAGGCCCAGGGCTTCACACTTGCGGGAGTTTCATTCCATCTTCACTCTCCAAGATGCCCAAGGTCCTCAAACAATGTCTGTGCATTCCATCTGGTTCCCTGCAGGGGGATGCTCAGACCCTCCAAGGACCCCTGACAGAGAGCTGATTCATCCCTAGATCACCAGTTACATCAAGACGTGAATTCCAGTTCTCTGGGCACAACTGTGCCTAAGGAGTATGGTCCTGAAGGCCAGTCACTCTAGGAAGGTCTGTTGCCTCTGTATAGACATAAGGACCCCAGGACCCATGACAGCCAGGCTACAGGGCTCCATATGTCATATCTGCCTCAATCTGTGAGTGCCTCTGTCTGTGATGTCCTAATATCCTGATGTCCACGGAGGTACCTTGCTCTGTTCACACTACAGTGGGACCTTACTCCCTGTAGTGCCCTCCCCAGGCCTCTAACTATCTGTGAAGTACTGTTCACAACTGTGTGTGGGGGGGTACATAGGCACAAAGAAAATCATTAAACTCTATAGTCATGGACAAAAGTGGCCACAGACACTACATATACAACACAGAACACACAGAGTGGCCAGAGGCAGGATTGTTAAACCCTTCTCCAGTGGAAAGACCTGGAACCAACCAGGAAAAGCGCAGGGAGAGCAGTGTCAAGCTCACCCCCACAGACTTGCCTTCACCTCTCCTCACCACCATGGGAGAAACCCTCGCCTCTACCTGACTCCCCATGGGTCAGGTGCCCACCTCTGCCCAATACCCATAGGGTATGCCTTTGTCTTCATTTGACTTATGTATGCTGGACCCTTACCTAAACCCTGACTCCCATAAGGTGGGGCCCCACCTTTATCTGACTCCTAGGGGGTGGGCCCTCAACCTTGCCTGACGCATGGTGAATCTTCACCTTCCCTCAGGCACACATCAAAACTGTCCTTCCTGTATTCCTGCCGGGTGGGCCATTCCTCCATTTCCTGCCTCCCCCTTTTCCTGGTGTGCCCCCAGGACCTATAATTGCATCTTTGTAATTGTTCTCTCTCTCTCTCTCTCTCTCTCTCTCTCTCTCTCTCACACACACACACACACACACACACACACACACACACACACACACACCAACCAGGACATTCCTGGAGTTGGGAAAGACCTGATTCTCCATTGTTTTCTGGCATCTAACGTGGGTCCTATACAACAAGCATGAGAAATACCAGCTAACAGGATAAAGATGAGACACAGAAGATCGGGGAGGTGGGTAGGAGAAGATGCTCAGGCACAGAGCCACCCATGCACAGGGCACCCGCACACAGAAACACACGCGGTCTTTACCCCTGATGGTCAGTGTGGCTGAGGTCTTCTCCTGCCCACACACGCACGAGTACTCCCCAGCATCTTCCACAGCCAGGCTGCGGATCTGCAGCTCGCACACAGCCCCATCCTGCTTCAGGCTGCATTTGTCCCCATCTTTCAGGCTCTTAGACCCTTTCCTCCACTCCACAGGGGCAGCCTTGCTCAGCTCACACTGCAGTGTGGTCGTGCCCCCTTCTGTGGCCTCCTTGTTTCTGAGTCTTCCGATGAAGTGGGCAGGCAGAGCTAGGATGGTAAGACAGATGGGAACATCAGATCTGCTATAGAGTATTGTGGGATAGAACATGACATAGGACAGGATGGGGAACAAGACAGAACACAGCAGAGCAACAGGAAAGAACCTTCCAGGGCTCAAGAGCGGGAAGCCAGCTGCAGATACTCGTATTTCCTGGCTCACATAAAGACCCAAGGAGTAGGGAGGGATGCATGGTGGGAAGAACAGAAGGTGCACAAACATGAGGAGAAAGCACTGGGGGAGCTGGAGCGCCAGGTCAACTCATGGGTAAACCGCTGACCCACATGACCACATGTGTGGCCCTTACCCTTGACAGCCAGTGTGGCTGAGGTCCTCTCCTGTCCGCACACACATATGTATTCCCCTGCATCTGCCACAACCAGGTTACAAATCTGCAGTTCACACACAGCTCCGTCCTGTTTCAGGCTGTATTTGTCCCCGTTCCTCAGGGTCTCTGTCCCCTTCCTCCATTCCACGGGGGCCTCTTTGGTCAGCTCACACCGTAGTGTGGCCATGGTCCCTTCTGTGGCCTCCTTGTTTCTCAGTCTTCCTACGAACTGGGCAGATGTGGCTGCAGCAGGTACAGATAGATACAAAAGATGTCATGATTCACTGTAGTGAGTTTCTCTCTGGAGCCTGAGCACAGGACGGCCAGGCACACTTACGCTTCACTGTGAGTGTGGCTGAAGTTGTCTGGTCCCCAAAGGAGCAGGAATACTGCCCACTGTCCTGGGGCTGCAGGTCTCGGATGACCAGCTCCAGCATAGCACCGTCTTGGCGCAGGCTGTACTTGCTGCTGGACTTCAGGATGTCTTCTCCATGACGCCACTCCACAGGCGCAGCCACGGATGACAGCACACAGCGCAGGGTGGCGGCCCTGCCCTCCGCTACCTCCACATCCTTCAGGGACTCCCTGAAGTGCACTGGTTGAGCTGGGAACAGGTAGACTCAGTTCAGCCTCCTGGAGGAGAACCCCACCTGAGGTCCAGAAGCAGCTCTGGGGCATGGGGCAACTCAATTAGTGGATGCCAGTGGCAAGAACCCAAAGACTCTGGGAAAGATGGGTCTCAAGGTTTATAAATGGAAAGGTGGGTATGGAACAGATTAAAAGCAATTATCACAGTCAGAAATGTATCCCCCCGAAAATTCAGATGCTAAAGCTCTAACTTGGGATCTCAGAATGTGACCGTTTGGCAGTGTGAACTTCAAAGAGATAAAACAGAGTAAGGTTGTTGGAATGAACCCTTACTTCATCAGATTGGTGTCCTTATCTAGGGCACCAGCAGAGAGGAATAAGCATCCGGAGTTACAAAGAAGGTGGCATCTGAGAGCCAAGGAGACAGACCGCAGAAGGCCAGCCAACCTTGATTTCCTACTTCCGGCCTACTCAGTAGGTAGTCAACAGACTTCTACTGTGCAAGCTGATTGTCTGGACTGCTAGCTTAGGGCAGCCCAGACAGAGGCAAGCCACAGGGCAGGAAGAGGGACTCCAGAGGGGTTCACCAAAGCCAAGTCAGGAATGGGCCCCAAGCAGGGGTCAGGAGGCCAAGAGAGAGTGGGAGAGTCCTGGGGCAGTAGGGACCCTGAGACACAAGGAAGTCAACTGCCCCACAGAGCAGGCAGAGGCAGAGGAAAGGTGGTGCGGGAGAATTGTCTGTATTCTGTCAATTATGTTTTAAATAAACACTGATAGGCCAGTAGCCAGGCAGGAAGTATAGGCAGGGCAATGAGAACAGGAGTATTCTGGGAAGAAGGAAGCTCTTTCTGCAGTCCTGTCCAGACACCAAAGAAGCAGGATGTGACCTGCCCTGCTGAAAAAGGTACTGAGCCATGTGGCTAACATAGATAAGAATAATGGGCTATATAAGTTATAAGAGTTAATACGAAGCCTGAGCTAATGAGCCAATTAGCTTATCACTAATATAGACTCTCTGTGTAATTTCTTTGGGACCTAACAACTGTGGGAACCAGGCAGGACAGAAATCCCAACAAGCAGACCTCATGCTACAGAAAGGAACCAGAATCTGCTCCGGGGACCCCCTGTCTCCTATGGACATATTTCCATTCTTATCCCAAACATGGACACCTGGCACTCACCATGAATCCTGACAATGGAGCTGCTGGTAGCTCCAGCAACCTCACACTTGTATCGCCCACCATCTTGTATGGTGGTGCCAGTGATGACCAGCTGGGCCCGACAGCCTTCATAGCTCAGTTGGCATCGTGCAGATGGCCTCAGTGTCCTCCCATCTTTGGTCCAGTGCACAGAGCTTTCCAGAGTGGTGGTTTCACAAACAAGAGTCAGGTCCTCGCCTTCTGTGACTGTGGCATCTGTGAGTGGCTGAGAGAAGATGCTTGGCTTCTCTAGGGGACAGAGAAAAGGCAAAGGTACTTAGGACTATGGTTCCTCTATGAAAGGACTAACACAGCAGATCATACAAGGCCTGGATCCGCATCTGTCTGTTGCCCTTAAGTGGGAGCAAGACAGAAGTGCTAAGCCAGCCAGAAAGGCAGGCTCTGTGTAGCTCCCATCCTGGACGAAGACAGCACACATCACATTACCCACAAATTCTGAATTTGGAAATTAATTCTGAAAGAACCCAACTCAGTCTTCTGAACCAACTCCTAGGAGATGGGAGATGGCCCCCATGTCATTCGCTACCTCCCTGGGATGAGAGACCCCTTTGCCATTGACAGCTAATCTTGCCTCTCCATCAGCCCCAGGACCACACCAGGCAGAGCTTGGGAAGAGCTGTCATCTGCCCCTCTTCAAGGCTTCTCTAGGCCATGTAGTGTCCCCATCATGGATGGCCCTTAGACACAAAACCCACCAGTCACCCGCAGAGCAGCTGAGGTTCGCTGGTCACCCGCCTCGAAGTAGACAGTGCCTGAGTCCTTGAGTGCCAGCTGCCGTAGGGTGAGTACGTGGTAGCCTCCTGGCTGGACAGTGATCTCGTTCAGTTCGTTGCTATGCAAGGGGGTCTTATCCAGGAACCAGTGCACGGGGCTGTAGTCGGCAGGGGAGATACGGCAGCAGAACTTGGCAGAGGAGCCCTCCTGGACGGCAGCATCCTCCAGGTCCTCAGTAATGCGCACTTTCTGACCTGCCAGGCAAGAGTCACCTCAGAGCTCCTGCAGCCTAGGGCCAGGCTTGGCTAAGTGCCAAGAGAAACAGCTTCACCCAAGACCCTAGGTGGGGCCATAAGCAAGAGATCTACTTTATTTTAACCTCAATGAAACTGGAAAGCAGATCTGAGCCAAGGAGTCCTTTGTAGGTCACCCTCTGACCCCAAACCTATATCCCCCTCTGAAGTCCTCTTGCTAAGATGGTGGAGGGCCCACAGCCAGCTGAAGCTCATGTAATCTCTCCTGCCCTTCATACGGAACTGGGCTTGCCAACAAATAAACTACCCGCTCCCAAAACTGCTTACACCAGCAGTGTTCACCATAGCATGGCGCAAGCCATACCGCAGGAAACCTCATACTGACAGATGAACGGTGGGTGAGAAAAGGCCATGGTTCCCCAACCCCACTCTGCTGCAGAGAGTCAACGACTCCAGCCTTCCTGCTCCCTCTCCATCTGGTCCCTTCCATTCTCCTCTCTGATTCCATGAGATGGGGTTCTCAGCATTCACAAGCATAAAGAATTTGTAGTATTTGACTCCCTGTGCCTGGCTTACTTCACCTACATTTTAAAGATCTCGAGGGAAAGCTTGAAGTCTCACGACATACAGAAATGATAACCACTCAAGCACAGAAGTGTCTGGTAGCCTGATCAGATCCCTACACACTGCCAACGCACACCCAGTGATCACACTGTGTCCCACAGACTCGTACGCCTCTTCCAGTACAATTCCAAGATTCTACTCAGATGACTCACAACCACCTGGAACTCTAGGTCCTCAGGTACCTACACATACATGAACACACTCAGATCCGGACACACACACGGGAGAGAATATGTACATTCCTAGAAGTAGTCCATTGTTGAATTAAAAAGGGTAGCGTTGCTGCTAGTGGTGGCTCACGCCTTTAATCCTAGCACTTGGGAGGCAGAGGCAGGCGAAGTTCTAAGTTCTCTGTGAGTTCGAAGCCAGCCTGGCCTACAGAGAGAGTTACAGGATACCCAGGGCTACACAGAAAAACCCTGTCTCAAAGAAGATGGAGTAGAAGGAGAAGAATAGGGGTAGATTGACATGGATCCTGCATACACATGATTGTACCCACAAACACCTTGGAAAGTAGGGCTCTACTCGAAAGACCCCGATACTGAATGGCACTGAGAGAAAGGGCCCTTCTCTGGCCAGTAGGCTGTCACACAGAAAATGGCTCTACTCTACCCACAGGCATCTGTATGGTTTACACTTAAGGTCTACATTTTGCTGATTTTCTTTTTTGAGACAGGGTCTCATGGACCCCAGGCTAGCCCTAAACTTGCTATGATCTTGAACCTCTGCTCCTCCTACTTCTACCTCCCATCGTCTTGATGGAGAGTTGGTTTGGAATCCCCCACAGATATCAAGATCTGAGGGCACCCAAGTCTCACATTTAAAGAATGATGAAATATTTGCACTCTACGTACGTCTGCTGATACACTTTCAATAGCTGTTTTTCAATAGCCAATGCAATGGAAGTTCCAGAGCAGTATTACATCGTATTGTTTAGGGAGCAGCGACAAGCAAAAAAACAGTCTGTGTTCATCAAAGCCATATTTTTTCCAGTTGTGTGTGCAGTGTGCATGTGTGTGCATGCATGTTTGCATGTATGGAAGCACATATGCATGCATGTGCACACACATGTAGAGGCTCCAGGCTGATGTCAGGAAACTTCCTACTAGCTCTTCTATCTAATTCAATGAGGCAGGGTCTGTCCCTAAGACAAGCCAGAGCTCACTTATATGGCTAGTCTTGATACCTAGATTGCTCTGAGATCTACCGTCTCCACCTTCCCAAGCACCTGCGTTTCCATGGGCTCTAGGGGATCCAAACTCAAGTTCAAGAGCTTGCACAGCAAGCGCCTCAACAACTGGAACATCTCTCTAGCCACACAATTCCTTTTTTTTATTAATAGGAGACTAGATCTAAAGATGCAGAACCCGCAAATATAGAGGGTAAACATTGTTACTTCTAGTTACCAATGGAGAGGGTTCTCACCACATGAGAAACACTATTCCCTGAAGGCAGACTTCAGGATGAGTGTCCCTAAATGCCAACCCCTGGACTCCACGCGAGGATTACAGAGCCAGGTGAGGGCTGTGACCAGGAGGGTCAGGTCATCTCTGTTCTGACACCATGGCACACCCCTACTAACCAGGCTGGTCACCACCTCTCTTCTCTACACACCCGAAAGGACTTCTCTCACGCTGCAGACTGGAGGGGAAATGGTGCTTCATAAGGGAGTACAAACGGAGGAAGCAAAGAGAAAACAAACAGCAACAAACTGGACTGTGAGTTCTGCAGACAACATTCTTGTTAACCCAAGGAAACCCCTGCCTGGCATTCACAGCACTTTCTCGAGGCCCCAAGAGATCCCCTCTTGCTCCACAGGCACCCCACGCTTCATACGCACAGATTGTATCAAAGTTTGCCTTTGGAGCCGGGCTGTGGTGGCACACGCCTTTAATCCCAGCACTCAGGTGGCAGAGGCAGGCGGATCTCTGTGAGTTCAAGGACAGTCTGGTCTATAAGAGTGAGGTCTAGGCAGGTATCAAAGCTATAGAGAAACTTTGTCTTGAAAAAATCAAAAAGAAAAAAAAAAGTTTGCCTTTGACCTTCTTGAGCTCTGCAGCAACTCCGAACAGATGACCTGGACAGACAACTGCCCAGCAGGGACACCCCCACCAACCACAGACACCAGCTCCTGCCCCGTGTCTGCAGGAACCCTGAGCTCTGTACCCACGCAGCTCATGCCCACCTGTCTATGGCTCCTTGCTCTGGAATGCACCCTGGGCTTTCATTTCGATGCCACGCCTTCCCAGCAGGATGATTGCTCTTTAATAACATTGTCTCTAGCCTTTCTAAACTGACACTATCAATATTGGTCAGTTCTCTAGTGAGAACACAAGAGGCTCCTTAGCTGCCAACAAGCATAGTAAGCTGTCCCTGTACAATAACTGACACGCCAAGTGTGTAAGCACACACAGAAGACATACCCTGGAACTCAGCACAGGCCCGGACACTGTAAGAACACACAGGAAGTACCCACTGTATAAATGAAGGCAGTTTGTTAGGTCCTTCACAAAAGGTCACAGTAGGAAAGCCTGAGATGCCCAGGCAACCTGCTCTACCCTTAGACATGGAGAAACTGAGGCTCAGCTGGTCCAGAACAAGCAGAGGCCGGATGACTAACCACTTCTGAGCCTCCAGAGCCCACTTCAGATCAAGAAGACCAGAGCAGCCATGAAGGAACCAAAAACAGCATGCAAGTTAGGGCCGCCTCACCATGGACGAGGAGCCGGGCCTGGGTCCGGGCTTGACCAATGTCACAGGTGTAGGTATCACTGTCTGTCCTCTCCAGGGCATTGATGGTGAGCTTCAGGGTCAAGCCGTCCTGGCTGGGGACATGCTTCCCTGAGGCACGCAGTTCCAGGAGGCCCTTGCGCCATATCACGACGGATGCCGGGTGCTCCGTCTTGCACGCGAACACAGCTGTGCCCTTCTCTTCCACCTGCAGGTCAGCCAGCTCCTCCGTGAAACGATTTGCCTTTTCTGGGTAAGTGACAAAACAGGCAGGGATGAGGGCCTAAAACTCCTCTCACCATGCAGGCTCCGTCCCCCCACAATCAGAGCACACAGGCTGACCTGAGGGGGTACCTCCACTGAAGTCCCAGGGGCGGCCCCAGCCTTTGCCGCAGGGGAGGCTGACAGGGTCGCGTGCTTACCTTCCACAAGGAGCCTGGCGGTACTTTTGGAAGCCTCTGTCTCACAGGTGTACTCTCCAGAATCCTTGAGTGAGGCCTCACGGACAACCAGCACAGCCCGCGTGCCTTCACTGAGCAGGTCGTACTTCTGGCTCTTTCGGATGGCCTTCCCGTCCTTCAGCCAGCGCACAGAGGTGCCCGCCCTGGACAGTTCACAGCTCAGCGTCGCGTGTTCTCCAAGCGTAGCCCGCTGGTCCTCCAAGGGCTTCGTAATCTCCACTGGCCTCTCTGAAATAAGTAGAGCTGGTTCCCATGAGGCCTTGGCCACAGAATCACCCATGACCTAAGGCACATCGGGACTGCAATAACCTCTTAGAAACCGTCTCAGCCAGGGCCAGGATACGAACAGGCAGACGCTTGGGAACATGCATTCTCTAGAGATCAAAACCACAAAACCTACAGCCCTTGACTCCTGGGACCTTAGACCGCTGGAGGCTCAAGACTTTGAAGTTCTGGAAGCCCTCACGGTGACAGTGAGATCTAGAAAGCGTGGGCTATAAGGGTAGCTCGTTCAAGGCTCATACAAGGGTATGGCCACAGTTTGGCTGGTCCCTGTGCAGATGCACCCACGAACACAAGCTCCAAGACACCAGAGGCTTCTTCCCTGCCTCCCTGGCCTCAATTTAAGAGTCAGACTGACTGAGTAAGCTACATGCACTGAGGGCAATCAGCCCATGGATGAGAGACTGGAGTTCTCAGCTCATTCTAGAAATTCAAAGATGTTCAAGCAGGGCTATGACTCCCTTTAATAATCAAAACTCCCCCAGCACCAGACATATTGGGTCCCCACCATGATGAATAGACAGTCCCTAGAAGCATCCCAACAGTGCCCCAGTCCACGGTACCAGGCCCCTGGCCCCAGCCACAACACCCACCTCTGACGATGAGCGAGGCCTTGGATGTGAGGCCCATCACCGAGAAGACCACCTCCCCCGCATCACTGAGCACAGCATCTTTGACCGTCAGGGTGTATTTGCGGCCCTGGCGAGTGGTCCGAAAGCGGCCAGAACCCACTGTCTTCCCGCCGACGGTCCACACTCCTGGGTCACTCTCACTCTCGTGGGACAGGACACACTCAAAGCTGCAGCTCTCTCCCTCCAGCACCTCCACTGTCTTTAGCCTCTTGGTGATGCCCACGTGCAGCTCTGTGGGATATAGGAAACAGGTCACCAGTCAGCCCACAGATGTCAACCTCAGGGAACAGTAGTCCCCTGTGCCAGGCAGTGGGAAGGATCAGGTCACACTGCAGGACCTGGTTTGTCACTGTTCCTAGCTTCACATCTGATGACAAAGAGTGCCATCACAAACTGGCACCAAAATCCTAGCTTCAAGCTGGCATGGTCTAGTGTTTGCATGATTGACACCTCTGAGCTGTCAATCAAGGTGGTTGAGAGAAGGAGGCTTCTCCACGCTTCTAACCATCTTAGAGTGCCAGGAGAGGAGGGACAGAGACCCTATAAACGATTCCTTCCGGAGAGAGCAAGTCTTGTCCTATGAAAATCTCACTGTGCTCCCTTGCCATAAGGTCATTCCAGAGCCCCAGCGAGATCATGAATGAACAGGCTGCCAGCCTGTCTCCTCCGAGCCAGGATGCCGGACCCGAGCCAGAGCCAGGTGACTGGCCAGGCTGAGAGAGGTGTGCTCAAAGGGATGTACCTCTGAAATAACAGGGCTGAGTGGGACAGCAACTATGAACCTATGGCCTTTCTGGGACTCTATAAAGAATAGGAACATAGATGGCCTGGAGGCCTATTCACCTGCAGAATAGGACATCCGCCCTTGGCCTGGGAGCCCTTTGCAGATTGTCTCCTGGTCACACCTCTTAGTGTCTCACACATGTCTGGCTGATTTCCTCCCCATCCTAACACGTGGTACAGAGCACATGCCAGAGACTTGAATGGATCCATACCAGCCCCACATTGTGAGGCTCCATAGACAATTGTTCCTTAGCCCATCTGCCTGCCCCTGGACCTCAAAGGGCTACATTAAGCCCTATGTGCTATAGACAACATCTTTGGTGCCTCCTGGATACACAGAACAACCTGACAGGCTTGAAGAGCAGCCTGGAGATTCTGGATGGAAGGAGGCTTAGCATCTTGTGGCGGTTTGAAAGAAAATGGCCCCCATAGGGAGTGGCACTATTAGGAGGTGTGGTTTTGTTGGAGGAAGTGTGTCACTGTGGGGGTTGACTTTGAGATCTCATATATGCTCAAGCTACGCCCAGTACATAGCTGCTCCTACTACCTGTGGATCAAGATGAAGAACTCTCAGCAACTTCTCCAGAACCATGTCTACCTACACACCGCCATGTCCTGCCATGAAGATAATGGGCTAAACCTCTGAAACTGCAAGCCAGTCCCAATTAAATGTGTGCTTTTATAAGAGTTGCTGTGGTCATGGCGTCTCTCCACAGCAACAGAAACCCTAACTAAGATAGCCCTCCTACATAAGAGTCTCCAGTCACTCACCATGCACACTGACCCTGGACCGGGTCTCCGCACTGCCCACGTGGCAGGTGTACAGCCCAGCATCCTCATGGCTCAGGTCATGCACCGTAAGGCCCCGAGTGCCTGCCTTGTGTAGGAAGTCATACTTGTCACTGGGACCCAGCTCCACGCCATCTTTGCGCCAAACCACACGTGCCTCAGGGTCTGAGACCTCGCAGTGCAGGGCCAGCGTGCCACGCTCTTCTACAGATACGTCATCCAGTGCTTTCAGGAACACCACCGGCTTTGCTAGAGGAACGACATGGCCAGTGAGGGGAGCCTGTGCCCGCCCAGGGGGCAGGCACCCCACAGACTCCACAGGACTCCTCACCTCTGACCACTAGCTGGGCAGAAACTGACACCTTGGGGGAGGTGGCACGCACAGTGCCTGTGTCAGCCTGACGGACGCTCTTCAGCACCAGCGTGTGGACACAGCCCTCATGGCTGATCTCGTGGAAGCTGTCGTTGTACAGGGGTGTCCCATTGAGTGACCATTCGATGTCCTCGTCCTTATGGGACAGCTCACAGGAGAAGCAGGCCCGGCCTTCCTCCGTGGCTTCAACATCCTTCAGAGGTTGAGTCACCTTCACCTCCCGAGCTACAAGGCACACACCAGCAGCTCAGCACTGTGCTCTCAGCCACCCCCGGCCCTGGAGTGGGGTCCCCTGCCCTCCCCTCCTTCCCAGCTCTCTACCTTCCACAGTAACTTCGGCACTGCTCTGGGCATTACCCGCCTGGCACCGATAGACCCCAGCATCAGCTGGAGTGAGCCGGAGTATGCGCAGCTCTGCCATCTGGCCCTCCAGCACCATCTTGAACTTTTCTGATGGGGCCAGAGGCGTGTCCCCCTTGTACCACTGCACAGCCTTGGGGGCCGGTCTGAAGTCACAAGACAGGACTACCGACTGCAGCTCACGCCCTGCTTTGGGTTCCAGTGGCCGTGCCACTACCACAGGAACGTCTGGAGAGAACAGAGCAAAGGCAGGGCTGGGAGCCGCAAGAACTCAGACGGCCCTGCCTAGCCCAGGGCTAACCCGTCTGCAAGCACAGCCCTTACAATATGTCTGGTCACCTCCCTTGGGAGGGTGCTGCACAAGCCCCTCACAGCCCACACACCTCTGTCCCAGCCAACATATACTGCCCCATGCTGCCTGCCCCAAAGCCCTGCCGTGCCTGAGTACCTATATTCCACTTTTTAGGCCTCTGACCATATCCTGACTCCCAAAGTCAGTTCCTACTAAGCCCACCCCTGTGCCACCCAGGACCCGTGTTCTGCTCCACACGCTGTCAAACCACTGAGTAGTGTCCACCCCCGGCCTTGAGCCCAAGCATGATTGCTCCAGCCCAGGCCACCTGTGCCTGGCCACTGTTCCTATGTCTTGCCCCAAGCCATGTCCCACCCATGGCCCTAGACTAGGACCACCCCCATCTCTGGGCTACGTTCAGACAGTATGCTAACCTGAGACAACAAGCTGGGCCGTGGAGCGGGACTTGCCGATGGTGAAGTGCACAGGCCCGGTCATGGTGGAGCAGGTCTTGTGCAGTGTCAGCCGGTGCACCGTGCCGTCTTGCTCCAGGCCCACATTGCCCCCGGCCTGGAGGACAGTCTTACCAAGGAGCCACTTGGGTGGCCTCACGGATGGGATGGAGGTCTCACATTCAAACCAGGCTGGGGCAGGCTCCATAACCGTCACGTCCTGCAGGCCTCGCACAATGGTGATGGATTGCTCTGTGGATGAGGAGCTGGTCACCAGTGAAACTCAACCAGAGGGACCAGTCTCCCCGTCCTACAAGTTCCTTCCTATCTCTCTCTACCACGTAGCTAAGCCTCCTTCCCCATCTGTCTGAGATGGCACGGCAGCCTCCAGAATCTCCAGAGAAAGTCACAGAAACCACACATCCTCGCCCCGAAACCCAGGAGGACTGTCCACTCTTTCATCCCATACCTTCCACAAAGAACTGGGCACTGGTCTTGACATCACCGGCATCACAGGTGTAGGTATCTTCGTCCTCGGGCTGCACGTCATTGATGACCAGCTTACGGTAAAGGCCGTCGCTGACCAACTCATACTTAGGCCCAGACTGCAGCTCGACTCTGCCCTTAAACCATCGCACCTGGGCACTGGCCCGGGACACCTGGCACTCAAGCACACCCCGGTGTTTTTCCATGGCGATCTTGTCCCTCAGTGGGCGCAGGAGGGTCACAGGCAGCTCTGTGGGCACAGTCACGTGGGGTCAGGATGGTGACCTGGATGGACTTCCTAGGAGCCAAGAGACTGACTTCCGCTCCAAACCAGCTGCCCATGCCTTCCACCTGGGCCAGCAGGTGGCCAAGTCAAGCGTTCCACCTAGGGCTACCCTAGAATCTGCTGGGTACAACTGACCACCAGCAAAGTGGAGCTTGGAGTCTTTGCACCTCCTCTTCCCACTGAGGAGACCACATTCTACCCTCTCCATGAGTCACTGCTACCTTGTCTGGAAGGGGTCCTAAGGCACCCCAGGCCTGTGGGAGGCCAGCTATCTGTGAGGCCCATGTCCAGTCCCTGTCCTCCCCTGAGCCCTCCTCACCTTTGACTCGGAGGTGGGCTCTTGATTCTGCATTTTCAGCTACAAATTTGATCTCCCCTGCATCTTCGGCCAGTACCCTCCGGAAGATAAGAGTGTACGTCCTCCCTGGAGACAAAGGACACTCTGTATTACTGAGAGAGAGGCACAGGCTGGGAAACCCACCCTGCTGCCCTGCAGCCCTCTGACCTTCCTGCCGGATGCGCACGTTGTCACTGGGCCGTAGCTTGCTGGATTCTCGGAACCATAGGCCAGGAACCTCATCATGGGACACTTCACAGGAGAAGGTGGCACCCTCTTTCTCCATCACCTCCACATCCTCCAGCGGCTTTGTAATCTGAACACTGCGGCCTAGGGGAAGGGAGGGAGGGTTGTTGTGGAGGTTTGAACAAGACTGGCCCCCATAGGCTAACATATGTGAATGCTTAGGGAGTGGCATTAGGAGGTGTGGCCTTGTTGGGGTAGGTGTGGTCTTGTTGGAGGAAGTGTGTCTCTGGGAGTGGACTTTGGGGTTTCAAATGCTCATGCCAGGCCCAGTGTCGCTCTCTTCCTACCGCCTGTGGATCCAGATGTAAAACTCTCAAGCTACCTCTTCAGCACCATGTCTGCCTGTGCCCCACCATGCTTCCCGTCATGATGACAATGAACTAAATCTCTGAACTATAAGCCAGCCCTAATTAAATGCTTTCCTTTTTAAGAGTTGCCATGGTCATGGGGTCTCTTCACGGCAATAGAACACTGACTGAGAACACTGACTTCTGGACGTGCCCAGAAACATAGGCCCCTCTCAGCACAGCCACCAGCTTGCCGTCAGGCTGTGGGGAGCTGAGGTACCAGAGAGCACTGCTCATACCTGCCAACCTTCCCTGCCATCCCTCACCAGAACTCACCCTGAACCTTCAGAGAGGCCGAGGTCTGAGCATCAAGAGCATCACACACATAGACACCCTGGTCCCCGATCTCACACCGGTAAATAACGAGACTCCTGCAGGCTCCCTGGGCCACTATGCCCACAGTCTTGCCTGCCCGCAGCTCCACACCATCCTGTGGGGTAGAAGAAACTGGTCAGGCACTAGAGTGACTCCATAGAAGGGGTTCACCTCCTGGACGCCCGCAGGGAGAAGCAGGGAGGAGGGAGAAATACCTTCAGCCAGCGCACATCCACTGGCCGTGACAACTCACACTCCAGGGTCACCTTCTCTTTTTGGGTGGCCACCACATCCTGCAGTAGCCGGGTGAAGCTCACCGGCAGCTCTGAGACGGGAGTTAGGGAAGGAAGCCATGGAGTTAGGAGGTGCTTTCTGATGCGGTGGGCTAACTGTAGCCACACAAGGGGTTTTCCACTTTCCACCTGGTCCCAGCTGCCTCCCTGGACCACTCAGGGGCCTGAAATAGGTGTGCTCGGGAGGGGGGTTGCCAGCCTTCACCTACTCACCCGTGACTATCAGCTGTGCAGACGTGTGCACGCCCTCAGCCCTGAAGGCCACCAACCCGCTGTCCTGTGGCCTCAGTGCTGAGAGGGTGAGGATGTGGACAGGGCCTTGCACGGCCAGGTGGCATGTGGGCCCAGGCTGAAGCCTCAGGCCGTCTCGGGTCCAGCTGCCCTCCACATCAGCATGAGACAACTCCACATCCATGGAGGCCGTGCCCTGTTCCTTGGCCTCCACGGGCTGCAAACCTCGAACCAGCCGGACCTGCCGCACTGCCAGAGGGACTCCAGTGAGCTAGTAAACTGAGACCCTCCAACCAGCCAGGACTCAGGCACAGATGTGGGTTCAGTCGACCACCCAGAGGCCACAGAGTAGAGGGAGGCCCTAGGAGTTAACCCCCAGCCCCCACCTCCACCCAGCTCTACCTCAACCCCAGCTGACCCCCAGGCCTGACCATCTACTTCCTCCTCCATCTCTTCCTTCCTTGGATCCACTTGCCGGAACCAGGTTGGACTGCCTGCCCCCCCCCCCCCAAAAGGCCATCTCACCCGTGGTCGGACACAATCACGGCCGACACAAAGTCACACCCCCACTTCTGGAAGAACCCCTCTCTTCCTCTGAGGTCCTGACCCTGGCTTACTTTCTACATTGACCTTGGCCTGGGTCTTGTCATCTGGTGTCTCACAGCCAAAGAAGCCACGGTCAGCGAAGCTCACACTGTGCAGCACCAGGCGGTGCCGAGTTCCCTCCGCATGGATTTCCACGTTCTCATTGGGTGCCAGGATGGCAGCGTTCCGTGTCCACTTCACCTCAGGCCAGGGGCGCGTCAGCTCCACCTCCAGGGTCACGGAGGTCTTCTCCTCCACCGTCTGCAGCTCAAGTTTCTTTTTGAAGAGGACCGGTGCCTCTGAGATACAGAAGGGCAGGGGTCATCTTGGTCATGGGGGTCCTAATCAGACGCTACCCCTAGGCCAGCCTGAGTCTAGGCCAGAGAGCCCCAGCACGCGAGCAGTCCTGTTTCAAGCAGGATAGGCCCCAACTGCACACCTTACATAGGTGCATTTTTATGGGGGAAGCTAAGGTTGTTTCTTCAATCCCATCCCCCCTGCCCCTCATCCCAAGCCCTGCTGCCCGGCTGTGATCAACTGTGCTGAACTCCTAACTATGGGCAGATACCATAATGGCCAGCCTTTGGCATCTGAGCAGGGCCACTCCACAACCCCTCAGCCACTGTCCCGTTGCCTGCCCTAACAATGCCCCACAACACCTGCTCATGTTAAGATATATGGGGAGGACAAAGGCTCCAGTGTGGGTCTCGCTGACCCATCGTCCCCCCACCACTCCAGGAGGTCCACGCATCTTCATTACTCCAGTACTCAAGAGCCTGCTGCATCTCCAAATAAAGTCCTGGCTCTCGAAGTGCACCCATCCCTTCTGCTTTTGAGCGCAGCCTCTGACCTGGTTCGCCATTGCAGACTCAACCAGAGACCACTTTCCCCAGAAAGAGGTCTCTCTGGATTGTCTCAGCCTTATCCCTGCTCCTACCAAGTACACTTGAAGAGACAATACCTAGCCCCCCCTACCACCAAATCACCCCTGTTGACAACAGACAGAGTCCATGTCCTCCAAGGCCAACTAGATCATCCCAACACACATGAGCACTATGGGGCTGCCTTATCGGTTCAGGCGGAGGAAAAGGCACCTATTACAAGGACCCACTGGCTATCTTAACAGTCCTGCTGGCTCCCAGCTCACCTCGGACCCGGAGAGTGGCAGAAGATGAGGCACCCTCAGCCTCCACTGTGACATGGCCAGCATCCTCCAGGGTCAGGCCCAAGATGGTCAAGCTACAGGTGGCTCCACTCTGTGCCATTACAAACTTCTCGCTGGGCAGCAGCCGGGTGCCATCCTTGTGCCACACAACTGCCACATCGCTGGGGGACACGACACACTGAAAGGTGGCCTCTTGGCCCTCCTCCGCAACCACGGTGCTCAATCCAGATGTAAACTTGACCACTCGGGGAACTGCAGAGGGAAAGTCTTCTTCAGGGTCCACAGGAGAAGCTCCACAGAGCCGCAGCCGAGACAGGCATGCAGAAGGACCCCTCCCCTAGGAAGCCACTTGAGCTCACCCACGGGTACCTTTGACAGTGAGCCGGGCGCTGGTTCGGTCATCACGGCTCTCACACACATACTCCCCTGCATCATCCTCTCGGAGGCCAGACACGGTAAGGGTGTGCCTAGGCCCCTCCGATGTCATCTGGAAACGCTTGCCCTGCCGCAGCTGTGTGTTCCCACAGCGCCACACGACCTCGGCCTGCTCTGGGGTCAGCTCACAGACCAGCTTCACAGTGCCACCCAATTCCCCTTCAACGGGCTCCAGGGGTTTGGAGAACTTGGTGGCCACCTCTGAGGGTAGAAAAGGGTGTCAGCCAGTGATCCGGGTAGACGGCCACATGTCCTGAGCTCCACTCTGGGGATGCTCTGGGATACTGCCTACTTGTCTCTGGGGCAGATGCAGGGACCCTGGAGGAGATCCAGACTCCTTACCTTCCACCTGCACCGGAAAGTCTTGGCCTTCCTTGCCGACACGGCAGCTGTAGACGGCACTGTCCAGCACCTGTGCACCTCTCACGGTCAGAGTGTGGGTGTCACCCTGACTGGTGACCTCATGTCTCTTACTGCGGCGAATTTCCACACCGTCTTTGAGCCAGGTCACAGCAGCCACAGAGGGTGCGGCCAGAGTGGCAGTCAGGACGATGTTCTCGTGTTCCTTGACCACCAGAGGCTCCCTGCGGCTGGGTCTCTCTGGAGTTTGGGACTCGGGCTCTGGTTCTGAGAAATAAGTAAAAACCATGTAAGAAAAGACAAGCACACACGGCTCCCCGAAAATAATGAGTGCTAGCTGCTGACCCTCTGTGTCCAGCAAGAACATAATGCCTCCTAGGGGCCATCATCACCAGTACTGTCCCAACCAAGATACCAGGAGTCCTGCCTCCGGGGAGACTTCAGCCCACAGGGCAGAATGGCATAGAAGGATAGACAACTTGCAGCCCAGGGTATGACTGGCCTGACCTGGGATGAGACTAGAAGACATAGAAGCTGCCAGAAAAGATAGCCTGGGAGCCAAACACTATTGGCAAAAATAGGGTGGGTATGCAGGAGACCAAGATGGTTCGGCAGAGCCTCGCCCAGCAACTGCATTTAGATAAACCATGTGCTTGAGATGTGCAGGTTTGTCCAGGGCCACCGCTAAGGACAAGCACAGCTAGAAACCAATTCCAGACAAACACCATGGCAACATGCTACAGCTGAACCACCAGGACTCCAAGGCCGATATAAGGCTCACGGGCCCACAATGGGAAGAGCAGGTTCCTGAACCTCGGGCCAGAACCCTGATAGCTCACAAGGACTCAGACCTGCAGGAAGGTCCACTCAAGCCCCACCTAAACAAGGCCCTTTCCCCACAACTTGAGGTTCAACAGCTCTTACACCTGAAGAAGACAGCCTATGCCAGGCAGTGGTGGCACACACCTTTAATCCCAGCTCTCGGGAGGCAGAAAGAGGTGAATCTCTGTGAGTTCTGGGCCAGTCTGGTCTGCAGAGTGAGTTTCAAGACAGGCTCCAAAGCTACAGAAAAACCCTGTCTCAAGAAGAGGAGGAGGAAGAGGAGGAGAAAGAGGAGGAGGAGGAGGAGAAAGGCCAGTCCAACAGAACTAGTGATGAGGAAGGAGGTGGACAGGGGCACAGACTGGTACAGCAGACATCAGGAATACACGAGAAAGAGGCTCTGTCCTCAGAGTGGAAGGCAGAAAGAAGACAGTAGAGAAACAAAACGGTCAGAGACAGGGCTGTGAGAACCAGACAAGGAACCCTCGTGTCTCAAAGGGGTCAGCTGCATCTCTGCCCTGAACACAATGACACCCACCTGTGACGTCCAGACGGAAGGAGACCTTCTGTCCCCCGGCCTCGCAGCTGTACTCCCCAGCATCCGCCTGGCCCGCCTGCTGCACCACCAGCCTCCTCTCGCAGCCCGAGGCCTCCACTCGAACCTTCGAGCTGGAGCTCAGCTTCTTCCCGTCCTTGAACCAGGTCACCTCAGTCTGGGCCTGGGCCACCGTGCAGCTCAGCGTGGCACTGGCCCCTGCCTCTGCCTTCACCTCGCTGGGTGTCTGCTGCTCCTTGGCAAACACCACCTTGGTGTCTAGGAACAGATGGGGACACACAGGATCAGAGACACCGTCCAGGTCAGGAAGATGGCACAGGGGAAAGAAGGGTTGGATATGGTAGCCATAGGACAGAACACCCTCCAGGCTCCATACTTGAGTGGTTAGGAAGTCCTAGTACCTTTTGACACAAAACCACAGTTCATGCACACATCCCACACTACAGGAGGGTTCTCTTAGAGTTCCTGATGCCTCACAGGTGGAGGACCATTCCTGGTTCTGGCCACTAGGGGGTGGTCTTCCAGGATATGACATTGACTCCATGGCTAACCTGCTTCTGCCCTATTGGCAGTCAGTTCTAGCTACTCTTTATGTAGTTGATGCTAAGGTTGTGCCTGCAGTGCTCACGGTATCTTCCCATCTGTCATGTGTCAGATGGAAGATACACTAATGCAAGGTCCTATCAGAGACCAGAGTGTGGCTTTTCATTTGTGTCGAGTAGTGATATTATCCCGAGATCTTAAAGAATCCATAGTGTCTGCTCAGAGCTATTTTCCTCCTCAGTAGAGTCTGACGCAGCCAGGTTACATGCCTGCTGCTCCTTGGTAAACACCAACAAGATGGACCCAAGGGGTATCAGGAAGGCTCCGGGCAGGAACAAAAGCATGACCAAGGTGAATTTCCCCAAGTACTCAAGAAGAAAAGGACCTTCCTGGGACACCCTTCCCATTCTGTGTCTTGCTCAACACTGGACTAAACACGGGGATGAGAAGAGAGGAGACATGAAGAGACTGTGTAACAGGAGAGCATAGGGTCAGCCACAGTCAGCCATGGTCAGCCATGGCCTAATACACAAAGGAGCAAAGGGACCAGACTTAACAGAAGGCACACAGGATCAGTCATGGACATGAGCCAGTCATCCCTTCCACACAAGGCTTAATATCACAACACCCACCTGTGACATCCAGACGGAAGGAGACCTTCTGTCCCCCGGCCTCGCAGCTGTACTCCCCAGCATCTGCCTGGCCCACCTGCTGCACCACCAGCCTCCTCTCGCAGCCCGAGGCCTCCACTCGAACCTTCGAACTGGAGCTCAGCTTCTTCCCGTCCTTGAACCAGGTCACCTCAGTCTGGGCCTGGTCCATCGTGCAGCTCAGCGTGGCACTGGCCCCTGCCTCTGCCTTCACCTCGCTGCGTGTCTGCTGCTCCTTGGCAAACACCACCTTGGGCTCTGGAGACAAACGGATGCATAGGGTCAGAGGCATTGTCTAGGTCAAGAAGGCCACATGGGAAAACAGCTTTCCTGGGTCAGCTAGAGGACAGTTCCTCCACGCTCCGCACTGGCTATGCCCAGGAGAGAAACGCCAGTGTTTCTCAGTACAAAATCAGATTATCCTGCCAGTCGGTGGTGGCGCATACCTTTAAGCCCAGCACTCGGGAGGCAGAGGCAGGTGAATCTCTGTGAGTTCGAGGCCAGCCTGATCTACAAGCGCTAGTTCCAAGATAGCGAGAGCTGTCATACAGAGAAACTCTGTCTTGAAAACAAACAAACAAAAATCAGATCATCCATAAAGGACACTAACACTGCAGGAGGGCATGTGGCAGAGTGTTGGTGATAAGCCTCCTTGAGGAAGGACCACAGGCTCAAAGCATACATGCCTCGACCCCTCCATGACAACAGAACTCCACCAATAGCATTGTCCAGGGAACATCACCAGGGCTGAGGGTACCTAAGGCCCCACACCCTTGCCTGCTAGGAGCGATGTCAGTTGCTATGTCAGGAAGGGGCTGGCTGTCCATGGTTAGACCTTATCCCAATGCCTCTCCAGAAAGGGCCCGATTTGGTCTTGGCTGTTAGTGCTTGGTCCCCCTTAGTGTAACGTTTATTTAGCGACCAACAGTGTTGCCAGCCTTCTCTCACAGCCCTTTTATGCAGACTACATATTTTCACATGCTAAGGCTCTGATTACTGTGAGCTAGTGTCTTCCTGTCAGCCACGGGCCTTTATTTTTCCTCTCAAGTGCTATCTTCTGATGACGTAAAGGCATAGCATAGGTCACATGGATGCAATGCTTCAGGCAAACGAAAAGCTGTTGTCCTTCGCGCTGAGGGCACCTATATTCCGTTCCAGTCATAGTCTCCAAGAGTCTTATACAACCCAGTGTTCACTGGGGTCTGCTGCTGCTAGGTGCCAGTGTCTTTCTGGTGTGGGAGGCACATCCGTCACCACTGCACTTTTTGTTCTGATGTGGATGGTTGCATGGTCGCGTCACCATTTGCCTGTGGCACTTTCTTTCCATGCCTCCAACCGGGGCTAAGGTCAAAACACACGCAAAGGAAGGGTGGGGTCCTGACTGCTGCCGGGTCTGTTTTCAGGTTCCCTACTCCATTTCTGGCTCTGTTGCCTGTACCTACAATGACATTCAGCTGTCTCCAGTACAATGGCATCAAAATAACCTTGGACATCTAGCAGATGAAATATTCTGTCTTCATGACTCCTTTGGCTCTACTTGGGTCTTGGAAACATCACGTTAATTTTGACAATACCAAAAGATCTCCACTTTGGTAGCCATCAGGAATAAATATCTCTCTTGAGTTGGAGAAATGGCTCAGAAGTTAAAAGCACTGGCTGTTCATCCAGAAGATCCAGGTTTGTTTCCTAGCACCAACAGGGCATCTAACAACTGTCTATAACTCCAGTTCCAGAGAATCTGATGCCCTATTCTGGCTTCTGTGGGCATTGCACCCATGTAGAGCACAAGTCATTCATGGAGGCAAAATGTCCATGAACCCATAAAATTAAAATAAATAAATAAACATATCTGGTTTACCACACCATTGATCTGTTCCTCTCTGTTCTCCCTAAAAAAGTTCCCCTCAAAGCTCTAAGTATGTGTCATTAGGCAGGGAACAAGAGCCATGACACATGATGTCCCTGAGTTCTTCTGAGCTATCCTTTTCCACCGTGTAAGCCTGTAACATCTGCCTTTATGACAAATGTACTTCTGCAATGTGTGCTCTTCCTCAGGGCTTCATGTTGGATATGCACTGTTACATGAAGGCCCTTTGAAACCTTTGGTGAAGAGAAAGCTTGCACGGCTGCAGTTCTTCATGATGTCTGCCGCTCTGAGGAGCACCCTTCTGGAGGTTGAGGAACTCTCTATTCCTAGGCCAAGGCCTCAGGACTGCAGGGTCAAGGCTCTACCTGAGAGCTGCACCTCCACCGAGACGAGGTTTCACAGGAGGACACGTCAAACTTTGCCTTTGATATAGGATCTAAAATGTTAGCAAACACTTTGCCCTGTTTTTAGTAAATGCACAAGATTCGTCTCTCTTTCTTTAAAACAGGCTTACTGTTCTCTTCCTTTCACACTTCCGTGTTTCACCGACCTTGCACTCCTGGGTGGCAGCCTCCATACCTGCACACTAACTCTTAGCTCAGTTCACCTTGTCACACGTTTGCACAGACATCGTCTTCAGTGCACATAAGAGAATGTCTGCCATTTGGTGTCAACACTGTCCCGTCAGCATGCAGCACGCGGCAGTGTACATTCCCTTCACAGCCTCTGGAAGAATCACTGTGATAACCACAGAATAAGCTCTTGCTAGAAGATTTTGTACAATTCACTCACAATTCACTGAACTTGACTATTTGCCTATGACGTTCTGAAGAAGGGCTGCATTTCTTTAAAAGGCTATAGGAGCATACTAGGTCAGATGACTCTGCAGATAAAGTCCTTGCCACGCATACATGAGGACCAAAGCTGGGATTCACCAGGACCCACATACAAGCTGAATGCAGTGACACACATCTGTAACCCCAGTGCTCCTACGGGGAGACAGGAGAATCCCAGGAAGTTGTGGGTCAGCTAGCCTGGCTACACCGTGGTGAACTACAAAAGACTATGTCTTAAAGAGGACTTAACCCAGGGATGTCCTCTGACCTCCACACATGCACTATGGCACACGCATGCCCACATTCACATACATGAACATGCACACAAACACACACACCCACGCCATATACGTACACATCATACAACACAACATATAATATATTAGCCGGGTGGTGGTGGCACATGCCTTTAATCCCAGCATTCAAGAGACAGAGGCAGAAGGATCTCTGAGTTCAAGGCCAGCCTGGTCTACAGAGTGAGTTCTAGTACAGCCAGAGACATACAAAAAAGCCCTGTCCCGCAAAATCAATATGTGTGAAATAATGTATATAGATATATCATATTTTAAAATCACAAAATAAATATAAAATAAGAGATTATAGAACTATTCGAATCCCTAGGATTTTTGTTTTGTTTTTTGAGACAGGGTTTCTCTGTGTAACAGCCTCGGCTGTCCTGAAACTCACTCTGTAGACCATGCTGGCCTCGAATTCACAGAGCTCCGCCTGCCTCTGCCTCCCGAAGGCTGGGATTAAAGATGTGCGCTATCACCATTCGGTTGGTTTTTTGGTGGTTTTTTTTTTTTTAGTTTTGGGGTGCTTAAGACTTTTTTTCTTAAGCTTTGTAGTCATTTTTCAGGAACTGGCCAAGAGTTTACTGAAACTGTTGGAATTTACCTACAGTAATTGATATCAGTCCTTTCAAATCATTTGTCAGAAAGATCATGGTGGGTCTTCCATTCAGCCCTTTCGTATGCTACACTAACAAACCTCAGAGGGTGGGGAGCCACACCGCTGCCCACAACACTTGAGCCTTGTCAGCTCACAGGCATGCAGTGGCCGGGCAGGGAATGGCACGGTACTGAGCTGGTACGAAGGTGCTGTGGAAGCAGCCGGTTTCCCAGTGAAGCTGCTGCTGCGACAGACACCTCGTCCCCCACAGCTCGTAGCTGTAGCACGAGCCTCACAGCCATTCCCAAACCTAAGCACACCCATCAAACTCATTCAAAGGTATAAACAGAAAATTCTGACAGAGGAAAATAAAGGTTGCTTCAGAAAGACCCCACAGCCCAGAGACATGGGTCACTGGCCCTTCCTTATCCATTTGCCTTGTGGTCTTGGTTGTACACAGACACTGCATGCAGACAGTGACACATGGGGTAGCGTCCATCCCATTCACGGACAGACTCAGCACAAAGGAGGAGAGAGACACTGTATAACAGACAGAGCCAAACAGAAGGAGTGCAGAGTCAGCCCTGGGCATGAGCCAGTCACTGAACCCCCACAAGGCCAACTTAGTGTCTCAGCACCCACCTGTGACGTCCAGACGGAAGGAGACCTTCTGTCCCCCGGCCTCGCAGCTGTACTCCCCAGCATCCGCCTGGCCCGCCTGCTGCACCACCAGCCTCCTCTCGCAGCCCGAGGCCTCCACTCGAACCTTCGAGCCAGAGCTCAGCTTCTTCCCGTCCTTGAACCAGGTCACCTCAGTCTGGGCCTGGGCCACCGTGCAGCTCAGTGTGGTACTGGCCCCTGCCTCTGCCTTCACCTCGCTGCGTGTCTGCTGCTCCTTGGCAAACACCACCTTGGGTTCTGGGGACAGATAGGGATGCACAGGATCAGAGACACCATCCAGGTCAGGACGGTCACATAGAGATCTGAGTGGGGCAGCTGGAGATCAGAACCACCCTCCAGACACAGCACTCACTGTGCCCAGAAGAAGTCTGAGCACCTCCCAGCATGAAACCACAGTTCCGCCACACTGCCCATCACTGAGGCAGAGGGATGCGATGACGGCATCTGTAAGGAGCCCCTGCGAGAAGGGACTGTATGTCAGGAAACACATGCGCTTTCCCTACGGTGACAAAAGAGATCTCCCCTGGGACCATGCAAGGCCCCTGTCTTCTCTGAGGTTCATCTGATGCTATGTAGAAGAGGTGGCCTGGACCATTATGAAAGATAGAATAAAAATAACTTTTAACATCTGGCAGATGAAATGTTCTTCCATTCTTCCTTTGTAAATCTTTTGGCTCACACACTCAAAAGACCATCTCTTGGACGGCCACCAGGACTGGGCCTCTCTGGATTCTCCATGCCTGTCACCACCTGATACCCTCTCCATTGTCTTCCATTGTCATCCTGAAGCACGACCCCCCCTCAGAAGCCTGAATATTTTTCATTAGACAATGAATTGGGAGCTTCATTTTGTTATTTGTTTGTTTGTTTTTAAGACAGCTGGGTAGTCTAACGCTCACTCTGTAGACCAGGCTGGCCTTGAACTCACAGAGATCCACCTGCATCTGCTTTCTAAGTGCTGGGATTAAAGGCGTGCGCCACCACCCCCGCAATTACGATTTTTTTATACATCACTTCCCACTCCTTTTGGCTAGTTTCAATACAGAAACGGTAATAGCACTATCTATGACATCCATCTTTCTGTAAATTATATTTCTTTAATTTGTATTCCTTAGGACTTTATGTCGGCCATGTGTTGCTCATTAAACTTCTCTGCTATCTTCAATGAAAGAGAACACATTATGACTGCGTGTTTAACATGACACCTGCTGCCTTCAATATACTCGTGGAGACATTTAGGAATCCTCTTCTTCTTACTAGTTCAAGAGATTCTCTTTCTGGAGCCAGGGTTTTAGGGAGGCTGCGTAAGGGCTGTATCATGGAACCACATAGCCAACCTAAGGATTTTTTAATACATATAAGTAGATTTAGATTTCATATCTTCTAGATAGGATGCAATTTTTTTTTCAAGACAGGGTTTTACTGCTTGTACTAGAATGCAACCCTGCTTGTACTAGAACTTGATTTTGATTTTTAGATCAGGCTGGCCTCAAACTTAGAGAAATCCACCTAGCTCTGTCCCCCCAAGTGCTGGAATTAAAGATATGTGCCCTTGGCTCCTTTTTAAAACTTCGAAAACATATATTTATTTTATTTTTAATTATGTGTACCAGTGCTAATATAGAGGTCACTGATTCCTTAGAGTCGGAGTTACAGAATTGAACTCAGGTCCTCTGAAAGAGCAGATAACACTTTTAACTACAGAGCCATCTCTTCGGCTCTAATTCTCCAACATCGTAGATTTTATTGGCTTCTACTTTCTACTATCAAGCCAATCTTGCACTCCTGGATTAAGATTATCCCAGTACACTCAGCTCTTAGCATACTTCCCCAAGCAGTTCGTTAACATTTTGAATACAGTATTTCAGCATCTGTGAGAGATTGGCTTGTACTTTCAGTTTTTAATAACGTCTATCATTTTGGTCAGTATTGTACTAGTGACATAAAGTGAGTGAGAAAGTACATACACACCCTTTGAAGTCTAGAGAAAAGACCATTGCACAAATTATCTGCTTCCAGAATATTTTTAACTCACCTACAGGCTACTGAACTTAACTCTTCTCCAATAATACTTATTTTTTTAAAAAAAAAATTTACTGTGTACACATGTGTGAGCATGTGTGTGTGATTATGTGTGAGTATGTATGTGTGTGTGCAAGTGTGGGAGTATTGTGTGAGAGGGTGTGTATGAGTGTGTGTGTGCACGTGCACACATCACTCACATAATCAGAAATCAACCTCTAGAGCTGGAGTTACAGGCAGCTGTGGCCTGCTATGGGTGTTGGGAACTGAACTCAGGTCTACCACAGTACAAAGAGTACTGTGTGCTCTGAACGGTTGAATAATCTCTGCAGATCCTCTCCTATAACATTTTTTTTAACTAGCGTTTATCGACTTAAAGGGCTATAGGGCTATTTGAATTTCCTGTTTGCTCACCTGTAAGTTTTGAAACAGCTCTAAGGAATTGACGAATTTAATGCAACTCTTCAAAATATAAGAGCATAGAGTCACATTACTGTCCCTTCAAATCCTTTGTCCTCGGGGATTCTTCATTTGGTCTTCACGGCAAGACGTTTTATGAGAACAAACCCACACTGCCACGTGGTGGCACTCTGAGGGATTCAAGCCACCCTCTTCAAGATAACCTATCTTGATTTTTTGATTTTGTGGGGGGCAGGCTACTATGTATGTGTGGAGGTCAGGGGACAGCTTGTGGCAATCCCTTCTTGCCTTCCACTGGGGGAGCTGAGGGAACTAAACTAGGTCATGGGGTTCTGTGGCAAGTTTTCTAACGTGCCGAGCCATCTCTCTAGCCCCCGAGGCTGACTGTTTCACACAGCAGAAAGAAATGTCAGGTTACAGATCTGCCAGTGCCCCCAACACACACGGAGAGACAGATGCCTGCATTCCCAGGCAACTTGCAGATATTGTGGAAAATGGCGGAACAAAAGATACTTTCCTGACAGGAACTGTCATTTGTAGAGTGAGCTTCATAGGCCTTAGAAACCTCTAACTGTACAAGACAAATTCTAAAGAGGTACAATCCTGTACAATGTTCTGCCTGAGAAGAAAGACAAGGTTTGCTGTGAAAACAGATCCCTAGCTCAGAGGCACCAAGCACAGGATCCTGAGTTGCTGGTCTTCTGCACAGATGCTGCCCAAAAACATGGATGCTGGCAACGCCACACTGGGGTGCACCACGGACTCCATGGAAAGGCAGAGAGGATTATCCAGACACCAAACCTCGGGTGACCTGAAGCCCAAGCTGAAGATGATTCTGAGCATGGTCAGGAAGTAAAACTTCCCCTCATCACAGAGCCACTGAGGCCTGAACAAGAGAATTCTCTTGGCTCCACATGGGGGCACAGCCAGTGCAGCCTGGACACAGACCCCAAGTGAGGCCACCTGGACCCACTCTGGTCAAAAAGATGGACCTAATGCAGTATCAGGAAGGCTCCAGGAAGGAACAAAAACATGACGAAGACAACACTCCCCAACCTGGGAACATTTCTGCAGGTAGCCAGGGAGGAGAGGACCTTCCTGGGACACCCTTGCCACTCAGTGTCCTGCTCAATGCTGCACTAAACATGCGGATGGGAAAGGAGGGATGTGTAGAGATAGATAGTATGTAACACAAGGACACAGAGACAGCCCTGGGCATGAACCAGGAACTGAATCCCCTACAAGGCCAACTTAGTGTCACAACACCCACCTGTGACGTCCAGACGGAAGGAGATCTTCTGTCCCCCAGCCTCGCAGCTGTACTCCCCAGCATCCGCCTTGCCCGCCTGCTGCACCACCAGCCTCCTCTCGCAGCCCGAGGCCTCCACTCGAACCTTCGAGCCAGAGCTCAGCTTCTTCCCGTCCTTGAACCAGGTCACCTCAGTCTGGGCCTGGGCCACCGTGCAGCTCAGTGTGGTACTGGCCCCTGCCTCTGCCTTCACCTCGCTGCGAGCCTGCTGCTCCTTGGCAAACACCACCTTGGGCTCTAGGGACAGATAGGGATGCACAGGGTCAGATATGTAATCCATGAGGAAGGCCGCTTGGGTGAAAGTACTGGATGGGACAGGGGGAGGACAGAGCATTGTCCAGGTTTGTCACTGGCTGAACCAAGAGGACACCATGGTCCCTCTCAGAACAGAATCAAAATAGATGCACACAACTTGCCACTGCTACATAGGCTGTTCTGGGAGAGTTGGTGTGCCTGTTCCTAGGCTCATCCTGGAAAGGTCTGAGAGTCGTGACATTTGTCTATTTGTCCCTCCCCGACAATGAAGGGTCTCCCATAGATCGTGTAAGGGTGTGTTCTCACAAGATCTCAGAGTCCTTACGGTTGCACGCCCTGTCCTGCTTCAACCATCACCAGCCACTGCATCTGCAGGGGAGCCTGGACCACACGCGGCCCTTACTGCCTGGTCCTGATGGTGGCAAGCCTCTGATCTTTCTGGCTGCATGTGCAGATGCACATGCTGTCCTAACTCAAAGTTCTTGCTCACGTCTCTGTTCACTAGATGGTGACATGTTATTAATTTGGCAAAGTGTGAGAGAGGTCTGCCCTCGGCTTTCCTCAGTGTCTCCACTGCTCTGCTAACGGTCCTTCTGAGTCAGCGTGCTCAGTTTCCACGTGCTCCCGAGCACCCAGCGTGAGTTTCAGTGAGAACATCTGTGTTCCTGGAATGCTCCCCCTGCCGTGCCTAGAGCAATCCATGACATCACAGTTTTCACACTGTCACTTCCTATCCTTTGCTGTAGCCCATCTGGATTCAGACACAGGATCTGAGCTGCTACTCCAACCGTACAGTCTTTCCCATGCGCAGTAGGATGGTTCACATGCCGTTTGTGCTTTGCGAACCATACAGTCTTTCCCACGCACAGTAGGATGGCCCACGTGCCATTTGTGCTATGCTAACTGTACAGTCTTTCCCACGCACAGGAGGATGGTCCACATGTCTTTTGTGCAGATGCTGTCCCTTTCTACAAACTCCACACAGATGTAGAAAGCTAAGGGGTGGCAGATGGACACTGCTCTCTGTGATGCTCGCTGTGAGGCTGGCCCCAGAGGCTGATATACTGGAATGCTTGGTTCCAAGTTGGTGGAACTGTTTGAGAAGGATTGGGGGCGTGGTCTTGTTGGAGGTGTCTGTGTCACGGGAAGTGTCTCTGAGGTTTCAAAAGCCCACACCAGGGCAAGTTTCAATCTCTCTGTCTCCAATTTGCAGATAACATATAAGCTCTCAACTACTGCTCCAGCGCCACACCTGTCTGCTGCCATGCTCCCCACGATGATGGACATGGCTCCCCCAGATTAAATGCTTTCTTTTCGAGGTTGCCTTGGTCATGGTGTCTCTTCACAGCAACAGAAGAGTAACTAAGACAGCTCCTTCTACGTGCATATATATTCTTGTTATCTGTTAACCACTCTGGCATTAAGAATATGTTGTCTCCTTGTATTAAACTGGATTAGATCTGGTCTAGAGGGTTTTGCTGCTGTTGTGCAACTCTAATTTATCTTAAAGTGATCAGGCTATAAGTTACTCGTGTGACAAGACAGGCGCCCGCTGAAAGCAATCTGGCTGTCTCCACCTCACCTCCCTTTGGTATGTGTGGCTCCCTCTTCTCTGACTGTTAATATAAGCTGCCTGTGTTCTGGGGCAGAACTTTCCCTGGACTAAATTGCTGTCCAAGTCTAGGATTACAAATAGATCCGCTGCAATCCTGGGGGTGGGGGGGTGGCATTTTTTGCCTGCATGTTTGTCAGGGCACTATATGCATGCAGTACCGATAGGTGCCAGAAGAGGGCACCATATACCCACCACACTGGAGTTAACAGATGGCTGTGAGCTACCTTGTGGGTGCTCAGAATTGAACTGGGTCCTCTGGAAGTGCAGCAAATGCTTCAAACCACTGAGCCATCATCTCTCCAGCCATGTTGTTCTCTAACTAAAGACATTCAATAGCTCTGTGGTGGTCTTGTACCTGACACGGCGACTCTTCATCACCAGCTCTCCTCGCGAGTGGGCTGGCTGCAGCTAGCTTGAGAGATTCAGTCATTATCAACCCATCCCACAGCAATGCTCAGATGGTGGTGGGGACTGGACACCTGCAAAATCCATCTTATTTCCATACATGTAGAACTTGCTGTCTCTCAAAAAAAATGTTTAGTGATCCACAGCCAGTCTCTCCACGTGTGGTGTCAGACTTGGTATTATGAACACAACACTTTTAACACTTAAGGCTTTAAACACGTTTTGCAACATGCTCATTGCTAGTAGATGGTGAGGAGTGTTCTTTATACTGGCCTTTGTGTGCAGGATTCTTTCTCAATTGGTACTAAAGATATTCATTTATCTTTTGAATAAATGCTATCCTCTATGAATCTGCTGGGGTATTCTCTTCCTAACTTTTGTGCCTTTTGTGAGGTGGTCTCGCTACTTATGCTGTGGGGTGTGGTGACAGCTGGCCTCTTCACGCTGCTGCTGATCTCGGAGCAGAGCACCGCAGCCCTCGATGCGCACGCAGCACTGCTGGCCACGCCTAGAAACAGTCTGTTTAAAGACATTTGGTACAAATTTTATGGCATGACCGATGATAAATTTTGTCAAAAGCTTCTTTCTAATTCACATTGCTGGGTTTTATCCTTTGTTCTGCCCTTACTGAGATAATTTCACATTTGGGTCGCTCAGATAAGGTCAGTCTGTACTCATTTTGCAACATTCCAGACCGAATGTTCCTGGGCTAGAAATCTCCTCACAGGGTATGACCCTGTTGGTGGCCCTGAGTTCAGCTCACTCCTACTGTGTCTCACAAATTGCCCTTGATATCCATAATAGATTGACCTAAAATATGAGCGGACTTTAGTATGCTGTGCTGTCTAAATAGGCAGAGCTACAGGCTCTTCTCCCTGCTCTGTTCTTTAAGGGATCAGCTGTAAGCACAGAACAGGTAACTCTCAGAACGTTTGAAGGCGACTACTGTCACCTCTCAGGGCCTTGGGACTTGGGCTCTTGTGCCAGGACTGAGCCACACGACACTCACTTTGAGTGAGCTGTGAGTTCCTGGGTTAATCTTTTAATACAGAAATTATTAGGTTAGCACTTCTGTCTACACTATCCCTTGTTTACATATGTTTTTAAGTGATTGTACTTTTTTTACATTTACTGTGTGTGTGTGTGTGTGTCTGTGTGTGTGTGTGTGTGTGTGTGTGTCTGTGTGTGTAGGTCAGAGCACAATTTAGAGTTCTCCCCCACCATGTGGGTTCTAGAGATTGAACTTAGTATGCCAGGCGTGGCAACGAGTGGCTTTATCTGGTGAGACAACTCCCCTGCCGATAAAAAAAAAAAAGGCAATTATTTTGTTCACAAGTCTGGTTACAGTTCCTGTTCTGTTTGTTGGGTTTATGAGACAGTCCTCCTCAAGTTGTGGCAGCTACCTGTGTGACACCCCACTTTGTGTGTTCACACTTGGCTCCTCCTCAGTGGCTGTTGGTGGCTCTTCAAATCTTCTGAAAGTCCAACTCCCCAAAAAAGACATCCATTTGGATTTTTATCAGACATAAACATATTTGGGTCTCCCATGGATTTCTATGCACTATGATCTTCTTACTATCTTCCAAAAATGTAACAACTCTTCCTTATGGATGTCTTAAAAAATCCCTTTTAGATTTGGAACTATAAATGGACTCTTCGTGTTGTTAAAAGTCCTTTAAAATCTCACCTTCCACCGGTGTTGTCAGTACAATAGACAATGAAAAGAAATGCTTTCCACATAATGATTTGGGTTTTTACTAGTATTTTAACTTGGAATCATAAGTGTGCATTACACACATGTATGTGAGAATCCAGCTGCTGCCCGGCCATCACACTCTACAGCGGCTTTCCCCTCTCAGAGACACTAGCAGGCTCCCCACTGAGACACTGTCTGTAGGTGGCTAGCTGAGGACTGCAGGTGCAGGGTTTCTCACCTTGAGAAGTGAGTTTTCAATCGTAGGGGCGCTTGGTTGTCATGCCCTCTGCCCCTAGTTCTTTTCCTAGCTCCGTCCGGTTGCAGGCACCTGCTGTAAAACCTCCCTCTTCCTCAAAGAGCTGTAAGTAGAGACGCCCCCTCCACCATGTGACTCCGATTCCTCTGCAGAGCCTCCGCCATGTTGTCTGTCTCTAGTACTACGGTTCGAACTCTCTTCAGAGCGCCTGCCAAGCTGTGTCTGTCTGTCTGTCTGTCTGTCTGCAGTTTAAGTAAATCTTAATGCCTCAAAGAACAACTTCCGTCTCAGTGTCCTCTGCTGAATCTAAATTCTCTCGTACACATTTATGGAGCACAATATGGCATCTTGATGTATGTATGTTACAGCATGGAACAGTTAAGTCAAGTTAGATAAAATATTCATCATATTCTGGCTTGCTTTCTACTGTGATGGAACACCATGACCAAAAGCAGCTTGGGGAGGAAAGGGTTATTTGGCTTACACTTCCATGTCACAACCACCACTGAGGAAAAACAGGGTAAGAGCTTGAACAGGACCTGGAGCAGAGGCTACAGAGGAATGCGGCTTACTGGCTGTCTAGCTCCATTGCCTAGCTGTTTTACATAGCCCAGGTCACCTACATAGGGAGGGTGCTACCCACAGTGGGCTGGATCTTTTCACATCAATCATCAACCAAAACCGTTCCTCACAGATGTGGCCACATGCAATCTGTTCTGGGTAATGCCTCTTCCCAAGAGATCCCTGCTTGTACCAAGTTGACAATTAAAACTAACTATGAACCATTTCCACATGCACATTGTTTTCTGTGCACATTTGGAAAGCTCTTCTCGAGCAATTTTTTGAGCACATGGTACGTTATTATTACTTTGGTCACCTGATTCTTCCTCCTGTGCTTTGTTGGGATGCCGTGTGCTTCCTAAGGTTCATGTGATGGGAATTTGGTCCTTGATGTGGAGCTACTGAGGTCTTAAGGCCTCAAATAGGTGAGACTGACTCCCTCAGTCCCAGGATCAAACTCATGCCATCAGACTTGGTGGCAAGAACTTCTGACCCAGGGCTGGAAAGATGACTCAGTGGTTAAGATCACTGGCTGCTCTTTCAGAGGTCCTGAGCTTGATTTCCAGCAGCCACATGGTGGCTCACAACCATCTATAGCGGGATCTGAGGCCGTCTCCTGGCATAAAGTCATACATGCAGACAGAGCATTGGCATGCATTAAATAAATAAATAAATAAATAAATAAATAAATAAATAAATAAATCTTTAAAAAATAAAAAAGAACCTCTGACCCATCTAACTGGTTCCTCTTTCTTATTTTTAATCAAAAAATAATAAACTATTGGATACAATGTAATGTTTCAACAACCTATCTACATTGTAATCAAACATGGTAATTAACATAGCTACTGCACCAACTGTTTATCATTTCCTTGTGGTGAGAACATTTTAAATCTTCTTAGCTGTTTGGAAATGCATTGCACATTATTGTGAACTATCATCATCTTACTGTGCAGTAAAGCACAGGAACTACTAATTACCTTCTAGGACGTTTGATATGATTTATCCATAAGCTCCTGCATTAACACCCTTTCCTATGATGAATTGGTCTTTATGACTCTGTTTCAAAAAGACATTAGGATTACTCAAAGTTTCTACTTCTTTTTGTGTCTCTTTTTATACAAATTTCTAGAAAATAGCCAAATGGTTTCCTTTTTCTAATTTCACATTCTCTAAAAATAAAAAATAGTAGAGATACAAGATTTCTTTCTTGTTGTTTTGTTTTATTTTGTTGGTGTGTTCATTTGTAAACCATTTCCTAGTAAAGGAACACTTAAAACGTGATGTAGTGACACCCAGAGGTAGAGAAGACCCCTGAGTGAGGGGAGACGGATGCACATCTGGGACTTCTGTCTGGTGAGTGGGGAAGGCACAGAGGGATGAACTCCTAAGGAGCTCTGTGACATCAACACTGACTGTGAGTGGAGAACCCCACTAGAGGAACTTACCTTATGGGAAAGAGCTCATAAGCTATTTCTCTCTCTTTTCCTAAAGGTGCTGAAGAAGAATCCTAATACTGGCTTGTTTTCTAATCTGCTTTAGAAAATAAGGCTTTCCCTGAGGAGAGCGTTCCGCCTCGCAGCAGTGCATCCACAAGCCTCCCGCTCTCCCCTTACTTTACACAGACACCACCATGCAGTGTGGACCTACAACCTCAGTACACACAGACACCTCTGCACCTCAGAAACTAGGCGGGAGTAGCCAGGTACCTGAACTCACAATAAGTCAGCTTCTGTTGCATGAAAATCCAGTTATGATTAGGGAATCCAAATTTTCCTAGCTTTATTTAAATTGAATGGAAATGCTTCTTGTGAACACTGTCGGGGCCCTAAGAGTTATAGCAGGTGGCAACTAGTGTTCAGATGTCAGCCCACTAGAGACAAGACTGTCTCAGCAGGGTTATGGCATGGAGGACCTTTAGACACTTGAACATTCACAGAGCCTAATCCTTAGTTCACCCTAATCCTAAACACAAGGAAGAGCCACGAATGTCCCTGGGCACCAAGAACCAACACAACAAACCCCTGGGATGTTTTGGGGTAATAAATGCTACCACATGGAAATAAGGACGGCTCCTTCGACTTAATCACTTTCATTTCTGCTCTCATAAGCAAGCCCTGTGTGTAGAAACAGAGGGCAAGCTCCCTGCCAAAGTGCCAGGGTCCTTCAGGTTATTAGTCTTAGCATTTCATCCAAATGAGTAAGGTTAGTACCCTCCAACACCCACCTGTGACATCCAGACGGAAGGAGACCTTCTGTCCCCCGGCCTCGCAGCTGTACTCCCCAGCATCTGCCTTGCCCGCCTGCTGCACCACCAGCCTCCTCTCGCAGCCCGAGGCCTCCACTCGAACCTTTGAGCCAGAGCTCAGCTTCTTCCCGTCCTTGAACCAGGTCACCTCAGTCTGGGCCTGGGCCACTGTGCAGCTCAGAGTGGCACTGGCGCCTGCCTCTGCCTTCACCTCGCTGCGAGCCTGCTGTTCCTTGGCGAACACCACCTTGGGTTCTAGGAATAGACAAGGCCCACAGGGTCAGAGACATTGTGTAGGCCAGGAAGGCCACAGCGACAGAGTCTGAATAGGTGGCCAGACGGCAAAACCTCCCCCGTGCTCTCACTAGCTATACCCAGGAGAAGCCTGAGTCTCTTAGAACAAAACCACTTCACCCACACACCCTGCCGCCTATTCAGGGGCTGCTCCAGCGGGCCCTCTGTAACAGAGTCTGAGCAAGCCTCCGAGGAGGAGGAACTGTGGCTCAGCACACGTGTGCACCTGCTCAGCAGTGACAGAGGAAAGTCTCCCGCAGGACGGTGCACAACATGTTATCACAGAGCCTCCCAAACTCCGCTCCCTTGCCCGCTCCAAACACCCTCAGCTGTTCCACTCAGAGGACACCCTAGACTACCTGTGGACCTTACTGCCTGGTCCTGGGAGTGGGGACCTCAAGTCTTGGGTCATTAGTGTTTGCTCCTCCACGCTGCCGCTCCAGTATTTTGCCTAATTTCAAAGGCCCTGTGGTTTTTATGCTCCCTTCAGAAGCCGTTCGTGTAACTCCCTGCTAATGTGTCGGCACTATATTTGTCGTGGTTACCGTGATCATCGACTCTTGCAGTATATTCTGAGAGAGCAGCTGGTGAGCTCTCCATTGCAGGCAAAGATACCCCTTGTCTTTCGGCTAACACATCTGCGACCCGCTCGAGAACCTGCTGTTACCCTGGAAACAGCAGAGGACCAGAAACACCTGCTCTGGTCCTGCTTACTTCACTTTGGTGACTCTAACCCCCCGCAGTTGGCTCCTTGGCGTGAGGAGGAAGACGTCAAATATGATTCTATTTCCCTCTGTCTCGTGCATCTCACAGGGCACTGGGGTTGGGGGAAGGGGAAGAGGGTGGATCTGCTTCTACACAGGCTGCTCTGAGCTCACCGCTTAATTGTTTAGGTCTCATTATTGGTGCCTATCTTTAGACTCAATTAGATTCAATTTCTGGGTTATTTTAGCTTTTGAAGAATCTTGGCACCCGGTATAGCCAGTGCCCCCCAGTTGATCTTTGACAGTGGTTTGGCTCAATGTTTTCCCACTTGGACAGAGGCGTCCCTTGGTGTATCTGAACCAAGAACGATGGCCTGCAGTCCGTCCAGACTGTATCCATCTAGTTTACCTTCTTCACAGAGTGTGGCAGCACAGTACGGAGGGTTTGGAATTGGGAAGGTGATGACTTTGACATGCACGTGGATCTAAAAATGTCACCTCTCATGCAAACATGGCAGTGCTTTCCCTACACCATTCCATGGCCTAGAAGTTACTCTCAACCCTCTTACAATGACGTTGGCATAAAAGGGGCACACAAAACCACACCCCAAAAAAGTCATAACTCCTCGATTAATGAATTCAAAGACACCAAAATGGCTGAAATGCCAGAACACATAAATTTAAGCTCTACATGTAAAAATAGCTAATGATTTCAAGTAGGAAACAAACGAGCACACGGATGAAGGAACGAAATCAGCTCAGGGTGTAAATAAGAAAATCAGTAACACAGAAGAGACGGCCAACAGCATGCGTAAGAAACTGAGAAAGACATCGAGATCATGAAAAAATGTAAGTGATAAAAATGAAAAGCTCAGTAAAATTAAAAACACACTAGAAAGCATTAATAATAGATTAATCAAGCATATGAAAGAAAGATTATCACAAATGGAGGACACAGGGAAAGACTGTGGCCAGGCAGCAACAAAGAAAAGAAATGACAAAAGCTTGACCACGACATCCGGGAACTCTGGGACACAGTCAAGAGCTCAAGCCTAAGAGTCTGTGGGACAGAAGATGAGACACAAACTAAAGGCATAGAAAACCAGCTCAATGAAATCAGAGAATGTCCCACATTTAGAGAATGAAGAGGGCACAGAACACATGGGTTGTTCACAGCCCCAAATAAACATGGCCTGAGAATCCCCATCAATACATTATAAGGAACATGCTAAAACTCAGCAAATAAACAATGTTTATTTTAAAAGAAACACTATTAAAAGTGTAAGAGGACCAGTAAAATGGCAGTGCAAATTAAGGTACTTGCTGCCAAGCTTGGTAGCCAGAATTCAGTCACCAGAATGCGTGTAGTAGGAGACAGCTGACTCTTGCAAGTTATCTTCTGGCTGCCACCATATGTGCTGCGCAGCCATGCACATGTATGCTGTGCCACCATGCACATGTGTGTTGTGCCGCTGTGCACATATATGCTGCGCCACCATGCACGTGTGTGCTGCGCCACCATGCACATGTGTGCTGTACCACCATGCATGTGTGTGCTGCGCCACCATGCACGTGTGTGCTGCACCACCATGCACATGTGTGTTGTGCCGCTGTGCACATATATGCTGTGCCACCATGCACATGTGTGCTGTGCCACCATGTACATGCACACATACAACTTGAAAATTGTAGTGATTCTTTGTTTAAGGCAAACCCATCAGAATAACCTCAGACATCTCAGTAGAAACCCCCAAGCCCAGGAAAATAAGAAACGCCCTGAGAGAAATAAGCAAAGCTGCCAGCTAAGAGGACCATTCGAACAAAGTTATCTCTTAAAATTAACAGAAATAAAGATAGTGCAAGAGAAACGAACTAAAGCAACGTATAACAACCAAGCCACCCCGCCTGCGACATATTCTAACAGGAATCCTGAACTCGGGGGAAGAGAAAAGTCTTAATCACAGCAGCACATGAATTAATAAATAGGAGACTAGGTGACCAAGGATGACTTTAAAAGACTCAGTTGGGACCAATTCAGTAATAAGGGGGAAGAAAGAACAAGAGACTGGTGAGGTGACTCAGGGGTTAAGAGCACTGGCTGCTCTTGCTGAAAATCAGGGTTTGGTTCCCAGTACCTGTCTAACAGTTCTAGGGGGTCTGATGTCCTCTTCTGGCCACTGTGAGCACTGCAATATGTAATGTACATACACGCATGCAAGCACTCATAAACATAAAATCAAAATAAATCATTTTTAATAATGAATAGTAATCCCAGAGTCAGGCAGTGGTGGTACACACCTTTAATCCCAGCACTCAAGAGACAGAGACAGATGGATCTCTGAGTTTGAGACCAGCTATATCTACAGAGCAAGTTCTATGACAGCAAAGAAACCCTGCCTCTAAAAACAGAAAACAAACAAAAACAAAAAAGTACACTAATCCAACTAAACCAAAACAACCATGAAAATCATCAATAAAACTACAAGAATCAGAAAACACCTCTCAATAATAATCCTAAACATAAATGATCCTAACACCCCAACAGAGCACTGGGTTAAAAAGTAAGATCCAGGGACTAAAGAGAAGAGTCAGCAGCTAAGAGCACTTGTTGAGCCAGAGGACCCAGGCTCAATTTCCAGCATCCACACAGTGGCTCATAACCATCTGGAACTCGATATGAGTTACACCAGACATCCACACAGTGCACAGATACACATTCAAGCAAAATGCTCACACATGTAAAATAAAATAAATAAATCTAAAGCTATTTTTAAGTATGTCAATAATTGGCTTAATATGGAGTGAAGGAGTCAAACAAATGGAAGAATAGCAAGAGAGGTAGCTATGTTTGCATTTCATGAAACAGATTCCAAGCTAAAGTTAGTCCGAGGGACAAAGAAGTTCACTACACTTTAGTAAAGGGAATAGTTCCTCAAGAAGATGTCTTGCCAGGCGGTGGTGGTGCACACCTTTAATTCCAGCACTCTGGAGGCAGAGGCAAGTGGATCTCTGAGTTCGAGGCCAGCCTGGTCTACAGAGCGAGTTCCAGGACAGGCTCCATAACTACTGGAAAAGCCTGTCTCAAAACCCCAAGATGGAAGATTAAAGATGTAATAATTATGAATACACATGTGGATTGTCCCAGAGGACTGACCTGTGACGTCCAGACGGAAGGAGACCTTCTGTCCCCCGGCCTCGCAGCTGTACTCCCCAGCATCCGCCTTGCCTGCCTGCTGCACCACCAGCCTCCTCTCGCAGCCCGAGGCCTCCACTCGAACCTTCGAGCCAGAGCTCAGCTTCTTCCCGTCCTTGAACCAGGTCACCTCAGTCTGGGCCTGGGCCACCGTGCAGCTCAGTGTGGCACTGGCCCCTGCCTCTGCCTTCACCTCATTGTGTGCCTGCTGCTTCTTGGCAAATACCACCTTGGGCTCTGGGAACAGATAGGGATGCACAGGATCAGAGACACAGTCCATAACAGGACGGTCACATGGGGAAAGACATGGAGCAGTTAGAAGGCAGAGCATCACCCAGCCTCTGCACACAGTGTCCAGGGAAGCCCAGGGCCTCTGCCTCAACGCAAAACCCCAGTTTAACCTCATATCTTGTTGCTGCTGCAGGGTCGCTCGAGGGGAGACATGGTTACACTCCTCCATGGACAGGCTGCGAGTCAACACAAGCATGTGTTCCACAGTGACAAAACGGAGAGTCCCCCAAGACTTGCTAGGCCATGCCTCACAGAGGTGAGAATCCCCAAGGCTCCATACCCTTCCCTACTCTGTGTATTATCAGTTGTAGCACCTGCAAGGGAGAGCCTGGGCCATCTGGGGCCCTCTGCTCTCTGCCATAGTGATGTTATTGGCCATCCATGTGTGTGTGTGCGTGTGTGTGTGTGTGTGTGTGTGTGTGTGTGTCCCCTCCGTATAGCTGATGCTCAAGTAGCCCCTACTCTCAATAAGACTGCTTCTTCACATTTATTTCAGGAGTCTGTTTACATATTACAGGACTTATCTTCTCTCATTGTCTGACCTGTGGGCCTGATCCCAGTTACAGATGGTTAGATGTGGCTGGTACCCACAAAAGTTTACAAGTCGCAAAGCTGGATTCTCACGTGGTGATGCTGAGGTGGAGAACTTTTGACAAGGTAGAAATTAGTGGAAGTTCTGGACCATCGGAACCCCACTCTCTTATGAGTTAACGCTGATCCGGAGACACAGGCTGAGTCTTACAGAACAAATGGCCACCCACAAGAGCAGAGCTTCAAATATTCCTGTGTTTGGTCCCTCTTGTTCCTAACCTGGCTCCTTTCTACTTCTCCATCATTTTGTGGAATTAGATCCCTCACGAGGACACCAGTAGGACCATGTCATCCAAACCTTCATTAGTCACTGATTTCTAAGTTGCACGGCCTCTGTTATTTTGCAATAGCTGCACACAGCAACCCCATCTAATCGCTCTGATTTTCAACGTAATTTGGCTAAATGGATCATCGTTGCTCCACTGGGGCTAGTTCGCTTGATTCCTGACAACTCTTTTCTTATCCTGAAAACCTGAAGCAACACACATCAGGACTACGGTTTACCTGGGACCCTGGTGTCTCCAATTCACCTGGAATTGACCTCTGGGATGTGAACTAGCAGATAACTCTTCCTTTCCATGTGTTTTAATGCCCCAAAACTCTCATGAAAAGTTCTTTCTCCCTTCCTGGCTAGGTCTAAAAACCAGGGAGGAAGGAGGAATGGGTTCACACATAGGTGCATTTCAGAACCCAAGGCTCTGCTCTTCCTATCTATTGCTATCTCTGCAGTGAGGGCCCCGGGTCCGGTTGCTATGCTGTATAGTAAACCCAAAGAAGACAAGAGGAAAATGCTTGCACTTTCTTTAAGAGTATAGGATGCTGGGCTGGCTCAGTGAGTAAAGTGTTTGCCCTGCAAACCAGACAACCGAATTTGATCCCTGGAGCCCACAGAAAGGTAGAAGGAGAGGACAGATGCCACGAAATTCATCTCTGATGCATAGTGAGGAATGCGTGCCTGCACATGCGCAAACAAGCAATAACAAAAACAGTGATTAAAATACTTCAAATGTGGAACTTCCCCCTCCAGAGTTCTCAGCCAGATCACAGAGTGCAGGTGGTCTGACTGACCCTCGAGAGACATCTGGACCACCACATGTCAGATGCATCCAGAGTCTACCATGTAGCATCGGGGCCCTGGACTGCAGGTGTTCTGAAATGAACGATTAAGCCCAGTTTTGTGGAAGTGAGGAAAGGGAGACAATTAAGGCCCCTCAGGGTTCTGGTTCTGAGGCCCGAGTCTCACTGGCTGACAGTTAGAAATTCTGACAAAACTGATCAGATCAATTGCAAACAAACAAACAAAACCCAATACTGCCCTTCTGACAAACATGGAGAAAAAGACTCTGAAAACAGCCAATGACCTATGCCTCAAGTCACCTGTTTGTGACCCCTGTGTCCCTAGAGAGTCCTTTGGCTGAACGTTTGTGTTTAACCAGATTTCCCCCAGCTGCAAGCCTGCATAGTCCACTTAGGACAGTCTCCGAGGTCAAGAACAAAATTCTGTGGGTTTGAAAAAAAAAAAAGAGGAATACACCAGCACATTCTTTGTCTAATATTTAAACTTCATTGCAGATAACGTAGATTCGAGAGCCCCAAATCACATACGCAGCACCAGGGACTGTGCTCCTCTGCCTGCACTTGACTCTCCATGTGTCCTGTTCTTACTGCTCTGACCACCATCAATCAGCCGACTAATCCTGCTTTGGTCTGACTGGACCTGGACACTCTTCTGTGGTGGATGCCAAGGACCTGGCTGCATCTCAGCAGAGGTCCCCGGGGGATCTGAGGAGGATGGTTCAGGACACACTGCCCACAACATTTCCTAATGCAGTTCCTAATGCAGTGATGGAAACAGTATTCAAGCTACAGGAGGCCCTCTCTCTTCTCTCCAAGCTGCCCTGAGCTCAGCTTAAAGAAGGAAAATCAGAAGCAGAAGGAGGGGCTGAAGGATGAAGTAGAAAGAGGGACTAGCAAGAGCTGGGAAGATGCTTGGCAGTTAAGAATACATAATCCTCTTGCAGAGGACCTGAGTTTGGTTCCCAGCACCTAAATTGGGCTACTCACAGCTGCCTGTACCTCTAGCTCCAGGGGAGCCAATGCTGCCCTCTTCTGGACTCATTTGTACCTGCACTCATGTGCACATACCACACACAAATACACATAATTTAAAAGTAATAATGAAGTCAATCTCTAAAGGGAATAGTACCAGGAATCTGTCCAAGCCATAGCCAACCTCCACCACCTCCACACAAGGCTAACTTCATATGGCAGCACCCACCTGTGATGTCCAGATGGAAGGAGACCTTCTGTCCCCCCACCTCGCAGCTGTACTCCCCAGCATCCGCCTGGCCTGCCTGCTGCACCACCAGCCTCCTCTCGCAGCCTGAGGCCTCCACTCGAACCTTCGAGCTGGAGCTCAGCTTCTTCCCGTCCTTGAACCAGGTCACCTCAGTCTGGGCCTGGGCCACCGTGCAGCTCAGTGTGGCACTGGCCCCTGCCTCTGCCTTCACCTCGCTGCGTGCCTGCTGTTCCTTGGCAAACACCACCTTGGGCTCTGAGAACAGACAAGGGCACACAGGGTCAGAGACACTATCTGGGTCAACAAGGTCACAGGGAAAAGAGCCGGCTTGGGCAACGGAGGACAGAACTGGTGCGGGAGAATTGTCTGTATTGTCAATCATGTTTTAAATAAACTCTGATTGGCCAGGCAGGAGGTATAGGCGGGAAAACCAGATAGGAAATGGAAATGATGCAAGGAGAGCAGGAGAATTCTGGGGAGGAGGAAGTTGATTCCTCCCACTCCTGCCCAGACCACTGAAGCAGCAGGATGTGAGTTGCCCCACTGAAAAAGGTACTGAGCCAAATTGCTAACATAGATCAGAAAAAAGGGTTAATCAAGATGTGAGAATTAGCCAATAAGAGGCTAGACCTAATGGGCCAATCAGCATTATAACTTATAGAGGTCTCTTGTGTGATTTTACTTTGGGACTAAACAGCTGGGGGAACAGGGCAGGACAAGAACCCCAACAAGCAAGCCGGCCCTTCATGTTACATAAAAAAAGATTTTTCTTTTGTTTCCACAGAAAACGAGAGGCTCTGGATTTATTCAGAGTTAAGAAAAATCATCTTTGACCAAGGGAGACCACCTGAGCAATCTCCAGTAGGAACAGATGGCCCAGATGTCTGAGTTCTTCATCCAGAACAGGTTCAAGACTGCTGCCTGAGATGATCAAGACTCACAGGATACTTCAGTCAGGACTTGATCAAACTCTAAATTTTTCGTTAGGTCCCTATAAGATTATCAGCACCCCCAACCAGCTGAAAGTAGCCTGAAATACTACGCCCACATTCCCAAAAAATGGACTATGGATATTTTCCTTTGTTTTTTTAAAAAAAGAGGGGGAAGTAGTGTGGGAGAATTGTCTGTATTCTGTCAATCATGTTTTAAATAAACTCTGATTGGCCAGGCAGGAGGTGTAGGTGGGAAAACAAGACAGGAAGTAGAAATGATGCAAGGAGAGCAGGAGAATTCTGGGGAGGAGGAAGTTGATTGCTCCCACTCCTGCCCAGACCACCGAAGCAGCAGGATGTGAGCTGCCCCACTGGAAAAGATACTGAGCCGCATGGCTAACATAGATCAGAAAAATGGGTTAATCAAGATGTGAGAGTTAGCTAATAAGTAGCCTGACCTAACGGGCCAATCAGCATTATAACTTATAGAGATCTCTTGTGTGATTTTACTTTGGGACTAAACAGCTGGGGGAACAGGGCAGGACAAGAACCCCAACAAGCAGGTCCAGCCTTTTCATGTTACACAGAACTTTCTTGGCCTTGATGTGAAGACTATGACCCTCATCACAGTGCCTCTGCTGTGTTCACTCCACCAACACTGTCTGTAGACTTCAACTGTGACACTCACGGCAGATGGATCTTTGGTCCCTGCTCTTCCCACCCTCCAGTCAGATCTGGAGGTCAGTGCTATGCTGACTACATGAAATGACCTACGGGTTCACTTCCTTTCTCTGGTCTCTGAAAAAGTCTCTGCGATCATGGAATAACTGTTTCCAGGACTATTTGATGTTTTCCCAACAAAATTATTTGAAGATTTGGTTGCTGTTCCACTTATTTAAAAACACATGGGATTTATTGAATTTTTCTGTCAGTTTTCACACAGTTTGCTAGTAACTGTCCAAACTGTCACAACTTTTCAGATTTATTACCATAAAATGTCTTATGGTAGCCTCTTAAAATAACATTTCTGCTGGGAGGTGATGGAGCACGCCTTTAATCCTAGCACTTAGGAGGCAGAAGTAGGTGGATCTCTGTGAGTTCAAGACCAGCCTGGTCTACAAAGCAAGTTCCAGGACTGCCAAAGCTGTTACACAAAGAAACTTTGTCTAGAAAAACTAATGATTATGATGATGATGACGATGGCATCTCCATGAAGACGCTAGCTCATTTCTCAATATCTAAACATGGACAGCAGCTATGCGTAAGACTGAGAGAGCCCTGCAGTGTGGCAGTGCCCGAGGCCAGCTGGGATTGCAGCCCACCATGTAAGTCCTCAAGGCTCCACCTGCACACAAGACAAATGGTTGTCAGTCTCAGACTTGTCCCTCTGAGGACCTGGAGCCAGGTGCCAGCATCAACAGAAATGTGATGGCGGGAGACGCTCACCCTTTACCATCCCTGAGTTCAGGGCAGGAACCCTATGGGAATCCCTGGTACACTATTGAAACGGAAAGTAAAGACTAAGTAGTATTTGCCTTAGATTATACTCTTTGTGTAAGAGAGGACAGGGGATTGAGACCATGCACAAGGTCCAGCCAGAGTCCCAGATGCCATACAGAACAGCAAAGAGGGTTCTGGGAACGTGAGACTCTGGATTACCCCATAGTAACGCCACCCAGGGCTCACAACATGGAGCCCTCTTCCACCTTATGTATTCATTCTCAGCCTAGCTGCAGGGGAGGAGGAAGGATGGGAAATGTGAAAGATGAAGGTCAAAGCGATAAATCAGGCCCTTGCCCACTGTCTCATAAGGCCAAATAGGTACCTGGCACATCCAGACGGAAGGAGACCTTCTGTCCCCCGGCCTCGCAGCTGTACTCCCCAGCATCCGCCTTGCCCGCCTGCTGCACCACCAGCCTCCTCTCGCAGCCCGAGGCCTCCACTCGAACCTTCGAGCCAGAGCTCAGTTTCTTTCCGTCCTTGAACCAGGTCACCTCAGTCTGGGCCTGGGCCACCGTGCAGCTCAGTGTGGCACTGGCCCCTGCCTCTGCCTTCACCTCACTGCGTATCTGCTGCTCCTTGGCAAACACCACCTTGGGCTCTGTAAATAGATAGGGATACAGTGAGTCAGAGACACTAAGTCAGGAAGGCACCTGGGGAAACGTCTGATGGTAATGGTAGCACCGGAGGGCAGAGCATCATCCAGGCTCCACAGCCACTGTGCCCCAAAACCCCTGTGCCTCTCGGCACAGACTCAGACCAGGCACAGACCCTGCCTCTGCTGCAGGAGCTATTCTGGAGACCATCCCTTCGATGGCTACTCCAGGGGCTCTGTGGCGGAGACCTGACGTCTTCAGTCCCTTCGGTGGTCCGTTGTTCCAGGTTGTCCCCATTTACATGTTGCATTGTCTTCAGATCCTAGGGGCTCTGTAGGTATTTGAGTACCGGAGTCTCACCAGCTACATTTATTGTCAATATTCTCCCATCTGTGTGCTTCAGCTTCTCATATGTGTGTGGTGGGGGGAGGTGTCTCCTGGTTCTCTGTAAGCCATGTACTCACGTACTAGCTCTGAAATCGCTCACATGGTAATGCCGTGGCCCACTCAGCTCTCAGTCATATCGGTTTTCTCCGTGGTCGTCACCCAGCACACTGTTGACGACAGCGAATGCTTTGCAGGGCTAACACGATTTCCAAATGTGCACTGCCCTTAGGGGAAGGCGGTCCTAGCTCTATGCTTCACACTAGTCCGTAGGGGTGGGGCCTACAGTGGCCGTCAGTCAAGAGCTGGTCCAGAAGCCATTTTCCTTCTGCTCTACTCTCCTGTGGCCACATCTGGTACCGCTGTCCTATAAATCTGGGCTCATGCTCTCAGACGTCCATCCTCAAGAGAACGGAGAGCCTTTGCGATCAGCTTGTCACTCATTACCACACTCAAAACAAATACGTTTAGATCCTGATCTAGGGATGAAATCAAGTCTTCTGTGGTTTCTAGTAGTTTCTTCTTCTTCAGATGTCCATCACAGTCCTTCAGAAATATCTGACCATTTCTTCACTGGGCTTCCAAGGTCGTTTGTTGGGCATCGGGTTAGGAAACAATGTGCCTGCAGTTCCTGTGAGTTCTGTAGGATTTCGTTTTCCAAGCCTTCGCTGCGGAGTTTGGAGGGAGCAACGCCTCCTGCAGGCTGGGTTTCTGTGAGAGGCGTCCTTCCCGGGCCTCTCACTACGCTGTTGGCCTTAGGCACAGTCTTAACTGGTGGCCGTCAACCTTACCCCTGCTGGCCTGCCCTGCCTTGTCTGGTTGCCATTTCAAAGGTAAAGCTCTCGCCCTAAGTGGGATGTTAGCTGCTGTTTCCTGCAGTTCTGTCTTTCACAGTTGGAGAGGGGGTGATTTCTGTAAAGAATTCATGATGAATTTTACTGAAGATTTTTCAGGATATGAGATGGTGACTGATTTTTTTCATTATTTGAGTGTGTGTGTGTGTAGGAATGTGTGTGTCACACCATGAGTGTGATCAGAGAGCAACCTGCAGGAGTTGGTTCTCTCTTCCCACCCTGTGGGTCCAGGAAACCAGATCCTCAGGTTTGGCAGCAAACACCTTCCTCCACTCAGCCACCTCACTAGTCCCAAGAGAGTCAATATTATGAAATCCTGCCACTCCGCACTCGCTGGATCTCTGTGCATTTCCCTCTCAGTGCCCAACCTGTGCCTTGGGTTGAGCCAATGCCTCGTGCCTGGCTTCCCTTTCCACACAGCCCTCAGTTACTGCAGAGCAGTTTTCTACCAGGCATTCAGTATCCTTGAGTTCGGCATCTTTTCCCTGTCATGTTTGGTTTGCATGTCACACTGTTGCCATAAAATGATCCATCTTGCATTCCTCCTGTTTCCCAAGAGAGCTTCTGTAAGTAATTTGTCCCCAGAACTTCGGGAATGATGTCCCTGCTGGCTGCACACCCTGCCCCTGAAACAGTTCTTAGACTCCTGCTTCCATTTCGTTAACACTTATGGCGTTGTCTGAGTTTTCAGTTTCTTCTTCTGTCGGCTTTGGCATGATTCTGCAGGAATCAGCCAAACTGTCGCAACTTGCCAACTTTTTAAACCATGAAATCAGCTGTCATATTCTCTTCAAATAATGCCCCACAAAGAAACAACAACCGTCCACCAGCAGGGGTGGACAGACAGCTCCTACAGACAGAGGTGCAGGAGGCTGGCTTCCAAATCCCCAGAAAGGGAGTGAAGGGGAGCACAGGAAACCAAAAGCTGAGAATAGCAAGAAAGCCTTGAGACAGTTACAGGTGTGACCGAGTACCGGGCCTGTGACTTGTCCTTACCCTGAGTAAGTGGCAGCTCTGGCTATGGAGACACACACATGGCTCTGGAAGAGACCCTGGAAGTTTCCAGTGCCCCCAATCCAAGAACAATCACTCTCCCGGGTGAAGGTTACAAGGTCACCTTCAACCAAGAACCGAATAATTCCAACAGAAACAACCAAAAGATGCTGGTCTGGCTCTCGGAATACACAGTTATCTACACCGTGTGGACACCATTCAAGGTATGTAAGAAGGCCTACACCTGCCTGTTTTCCTCACGGATATGAGAGAGCAGGTGGGAGGGCAGAGGATGGTAATAGACAAAGTGTAGCAAGAAAAACTCAGTGGTCAGCGATGCACCTGATCCAATCATCATCTCTACACAAACAAACTGATATCTCAACACCCACCTGTGACGTCCAGACGGAAGGAGACCTTCTGTCCCCCAGCCTCACAGCTGTACTCCCCAGCATCTGCCTGGCCCGCCTGCTGCACCACCAGCCTCCTCTCGCAGCCTGAGGCCTCCACTCGAACCTTCGAGCCGGAGCTCAGCTTCTTCCCGTCCTTGAACCAGGTCACCTCAGTCTGGGCCTGGGCCACTGTGCAGCTCAGCGTGGCACTGGCCCCTGCCTCTGCCTTCACCTCGCTGTGAGCCTGCTGCTCCTTGGTAAACACCACCTTGGGCTCTGGGGACAAATGGGGACACAAAGTCACAACACTATCTAGATCAGCAAGGTCACAGTGGGAAAGACCCTGGGTGGGTCAGCAGGACAGCAGAATGTCATCCAGACCCTGCACTCTCTGTGCTCAGGACAAACCCCAAGGCCTCTGAACACAGGGAAAGTCATGCTCCCTCATCCATCCAGAATACAGTCCAAGACCTGCAGAAGATGCCTCAGATGCAGATAGCACCAGATACTGCATATGTTTTTCCTGAAGGGCCCTGAAAAAGTTTAGTTAACAAATTAGGCTTGGTAAGAAACTCATTAACCAGACATGGTGGTGCGTGACTTTAATCGCACCACTCAATAGAAAGAGAAAGGCAGATGTCTGTGAGTTTGCTGCTAGCCTGGTCTACATAGCAAGTTCCAGGCAAGGCCAGTCAAGACGGCATAGTGAGACCTTATCTCAAAAAAAAAAAAAAAACAAAAAACAAAAAAAAAACGGGTGCTGTGGTACACACCTTTAATCCCAGCACCTGGGAGGCAGAAGCAGGTGGATCTCTGTGAGTTCGAGGCTGACCTGGTTCTACATAGTGAGTTCCAGGACAGCCAGGGCGATGTAGAGTCTGCCTCAACCCCTCCTCCCCAAAAAAATCATAACAGCTAGTGATAAAATAGAAAAATTAAAGAAACACAGTGTAACAAAAGGCCATGCTCTAAACCATTATCAAATAAAATAAGGGCCAACAGAACAGAAGTGAAGTGATACCTTGGCCTCTACCTGATGAACTGCTTTTTTCTGAAATTTTCCATATATTTTAGAACCATGGATAACAGGGGTTAGCAAAACACATGGAGTGCTATGCGGAGTAAAAAGAGTGACTGTCACAATTTAACACACACCCCATCACTCCTTTCTGGTGCCACGAGGCAGTTTTTTTTTCCTGCCAATTTTCTGCCTAATTTCCAATTGCACTCTCTTTCTTCGAGGCAGCCACTGTAGGATCTCTGTCCATATCTCCTGGTCTCACCGTAGCAGACTGACAATGGCACACACTCCGGACACTTCCCTTCTGCCACCTGTCTTCTCGCCGCTTCTGGTAGGCTCTGCTGAGTCGCTGGGCTTTGATTTTTCAGCTAGTATTACTGCTGTACATGACATGGCCAGGAGGCTCTCACACGCCACAGCTCTCAGATGGAGGCCAGACGACAACATTGTGGGTACGTTCTCTCCTTCCACACTTACTTGGATTCCAGGGATTGAACCCAGGTCACGAGGCTTGCTCACCCAGCTCATCCGAACCTGCTGAACCATCTCACCAGACCTAACTCGCTTTTCAATTTTAAAGTATTCATATGTGTTTTATGGTGGTCGCCGTGTTTGTTCTCTTGTTCCTGAGCACCGAGGTTGCTCAGCAGGAGAGCTGTGCCTGGCATGCACAGAGCTCTGTATTCCATGCCCAGCGTGTGTGTGTGTGTGTGTGTGTGTGTGTGTGTGTGTGTGTGTGTGTTCCAGAAGTGTACATGTATTCTCTTGGCACATACAGTCATCCCATAATTCTGATGTTCACCTGCACATGCAGAACAACTTAAGTACTTCATGATAACTCCATGAGAGGACTTTGAATGTTTCCAACAGAAACACGATAAGCATCAAAGAAACTGAAAACACGGACTGCCCGAGTTTGATCAGTGCACTTCATTGACATGTTATCAGATTCCACGCTGCACCTCATAACCACTCTGTAGAGCATCACATGTTAAATATGTTCAAAATGATGAATACAGTCCTTAAGTGGCGTCACAGGAATACCTGCATGTCACCTTGAGGATTCTGTGCTTCTCTTTCTATTCTAAGTCTGGAAGCCAATGACAGTTGGATTTGTATGTGGTGATCACTGGTCCAGTGTTTCTTCAGTATGGTTGAATAATCTCTCATAATCTCTCATTAAGCAATCATACTGTCTGCAGCTGTTCCGTGAGTCCCAGAGGGGAGAGGAGAGATACAGGTGGGGCGGGGTTGGGGAATCCATTGCTGTCAGAATCCAACCTGAACTCTGCTATCTGCTCCGTCAGTCTGGTTGTCTATCCTTGCACTGAGACACCCATGACTTCATTACGTGATTTTAGCATAAGCGAACCCGTGGTGCAGCAGAGGCTCCCTGCTTTTCTTCTTTGGATCTACTGTTTGGATCAGAAATGCTCCCCAAAGGCCCATGTGTTAGCGATTTGGTTCCCAGACTGTGCCGCTGGGAGGTGGGGGAAATTTTAGTATTTAGGGGTCTAATGGGACACTAGGTCACTAGGATTGTACCCTCCAAGGGGACTGTGGGACCCAAGCCCCTTCCTCTCTCACACACACATTCCAGCATGAAGCAAGTAGTTCAATCGGAGAGGGAGCCATGTACAGAGATAGTTTTTCTAAGGAGAAAAACGCTGGGACCACTGGGGTCATCAGCCAATTTTCCATTACCTGCAAACAAGCCACCTTGACACATAAGCACTGACCTGTGACGTCCAGACGGAAGGAGACCTTCTGTCCCCCGGCCTCGCAGCTGTACTCCCCAGCATCTGCCTTGCCCGCCTGCTGCACCACCAGCCTCCTCTCGCAGCCCGAGGCCTCCACTCGAACCTTCGAGCCGGAGCTCAGCTTCTTCCCGTCCTTGAACCAGGTCACCTCAGTCTGGGCCTGGGCCACTGTGCAGCTCAGTGTGGTACTGGCCCCTGCCTCTGTCTTCACCTCGCTGCGTGTCTGCTGCTCCTTGGCAAACACCACCTTGGGCTCTGGGGACAGATAGGGATGCACGGGGTCAGAGACCCCAAACTATACATAACCCTTCTTCAGGGCCTGGGGCTCATCAGAGCCCAAGCATGTCCAGGGCAACACTTCCCATAATTGACAGATCATCATGTGATCATAAACAAGGTTCTGTGTCACATGGGACCCAAGCTGCATTGCTGAAGCTTCATGTGTGGAAGGTCTGGGCATGCAGGGTCTTTTCACTGCCCTAAGAACCTGCAGGACCACTCTGATGCTTGCTGGCAGGTGAGCTACTGCAGCCCTTAAGGCCATCACTGCTAGTGTCCCTTAACAATGCCTATCCTGACAGTAGAGGACAGAACTCTGACTCTTCCCTGCCTTGGAACCACCAGAAACTTCAGGCCATCCATGGCTTCCCAGCTTTCCTACACACAGAGACCACAAACAGCAGGAGGAAGCACAGTTGGTAGGAACAGGCACCTCAGTCCCAAGCCAGAAACCCACATCTTTCTGGACCACAGCTGAGAGGAAGTACAAGACAGCAAAATGCAATAAAAATCGAGCAGGAAATAATGGCTACCATGTGTGGCCTTTTCCCAAACTCAAGGACAGGGTGGAGAGGTTTAGACACACATTCATGGTCTCATGGGAATTATGACATGGTCAACAAGGGCTCCCAGAACCCTGGGACAAACAAACACTGAGGTCTAAGGACAGGGAGAACACCGGCCCAAGATAGCCGATATGTCCTAGGATAACCCCATTGAGCACAACCCTGGCACCCACCTGTGACGTCCAGACGGAAGGAGACCTTCTGTCCCCCGGCCTCGCAGCTGTACTCCCCAGCATCCGCCTTGCCCGCCTGCTCCACCACCAGCCTCCTCTCGTAGCCCGAGGCCTCCACTCGAACCTTCGAGCCGGAGCTCAGCTTCTTCCCGTCCTTGAACCAGGTCACCTCAGTCTGGGCCTGGGCCACCGTGCAGCTCAGCGTGGTACTGGCCCCTGCCTCTGCCTTCACCTCGCTGCGTGTCTGCTGCTCCTTGGCAAACACCACCTTGGGTTCTGGAGACAAGGAGGGGCACACGGTGAGAGATACAATATGTTACCTACTTCACAGACACCAATTCTGCAAGGTTCCATAAATTGTGTCCTTGGAGTCATAGACATCAGGTGTCCCGTGAGATGTTAGACTGTCTTCACAGACACAATGTCTTGTCTCAGTGGCTCAGATATGCATTTGGAAGTTATCCTGACTCAAGATCCAGAAGAAAGAGGCTGGGCTATTCCAGCTCTCTACTTATGTGTCTACTGTCTCTGCCATGTTTGCAGCAGACTCCCTTGCTTGGTGATACATCCCAGAGCTGACACACTGTGTGTTCTGCGGACTATAGCCTTGTTCTCTGCTGGTTTGATCCATTTATAAAGTATGCACAAGCATCTATTCAGCTCAGTGAACCCTAAATGGATCTCACTCTCCACATAGAACTCAAACCCATGAACAAACAGAGCATTTCAGCTCCCCATCCACAGACTGCCACCACACAGGCAGGCACACACACACAGAGAGAGAAGTACACAAAAACACACACATACACACAGTCTCTCTCTCACACACACACACATACATGCACACTCACATACATACACACTCATACACATATACAGGTGTAGGCACACACACAGGCTCACACACACACACATACATGCACATTCACATACATACACACTCATATACATACACGGGTGTAGGCACACACACACACACACACACACACACACAGAGCCACTACTCTGATTTCTGTCACCATCAGTTACTCCCGCATGGGCTCTGACTTCACTCCCGTTAGGCCAGTTACATGCTCTATAGTGTTGCTCCACTCAGTGGCAGACTCCAAAATTATGAAGATGGTCCCTTCAGGTAGTATTACCCAGCAACATTAGAGTTGTCTCCATTTGTGGGACTGTACTCTGTGGTACCCACACAAGGGGAAATCACCCAACAACAAATTCTTCATCACGTTTATTTTGTTACATCTGGAGGGTTTGTGTACTTCGCTTGGCTTGTCTGAAGGACCCATCCATGCCTTGTATCATTTGTTCAATAGGTGAGGCATTGTGGTACACGACTTTAACTGGGGAGGAGGAAGCAGGTAGACCTCTGTGAGTTCCAGGCCAGTCTGGACTACACAGTGAGTTCCAGGTCAGTCAGGGCTACACAGTGAGAGCCTGTCTTAAAAGCAAGACGCTTGTTCCTTTACGCTGCTACATGTACCAGCATAGGAGTTGTGTACCAGTCTGTGGGGTTGCACCACATAAAAACCGTATCTGAACGACTTTTCCATTCCTTCTTACGGCTTCTTTGGGCCGTTCACCTGGAGATACAATCAATAAAGCTGCTATAAACATACTTAGTGTCCACGGAGACGGCCCAGTGGTGAGGAACTCAAACTGCTCTTACAGAGGACAGAGTTCAGTTCCTAGCACCCACTGAGGTGGTTTGACTGAGAATGCCCCCTCCCCCAGAATTGAATACTTGGTCCCCAATTGGTAGAAGGTCTTTTTGGGAAGGATTAGGAGATTTGGTCTTGGAGGAGGTGTGTTGCTGGCAGGCTTTGAGGTTACAAGGGTCTCCCACCCTTCCCTGCGTGTCTCCCTTGCTTTGTCTCCTGCTTGAAGATCAAGGTAAGTTCTCAACTGCTCCAGCCAACATGCCTGCTGCTTGCTGCCACACTGACCCACCACGATGATCCAGTTAAATGCTTTCTTTATGAGTATTACTCGGTCACGGTGTTTTGTCATAGAGGTAGAAAAGTAACTATTTACCCATGTTGAATGGCTCACAATTGCCCATGACTCCAGCTGCAGGGGATCCAACACCCTCTTCTGGTCTCCGAGTCCATCTGCACTCATATGCACATACCCGCATACAGGCATATACATAAATAAAAATTTGAGCATCTAAAGAACATCCTTGACTACATCTTTGGTGATGGAATCAGCACAAAGGGCTCTCTGGCTTTAAGGGACACTGTTCTATTAACAGGTTCTCCATCTCCCACCCCATGTCTGCTATCATCCATGTTCTTAACCTGTGCATGTTTCATCCGTCTCTAATGAGAACCTGTGTCATAGTCATACAGCACCAGCTTCCAGGATTCTGCTCATTTCCGCATCTGTAAGATGCTTTCATTTAAAATTAAAATGGTTTGTCCATAAATTGCAAAGGCAATTTAATTACATTAAATTCTAAATGAACATTTTATTAAGACAATTTACATAGGAAATGCTGTAATTTTTTTCATTAGCATAAAATCTTCAAGGGCATATGATATGTGGAAAAAATGCAGGTGAAGAGAAAATGCGATCCCAGGCTGGGGAAGCACCTCGCTGATTTATTCACCTCCACAGGCAAGGTTAGCAGCAGGCCTCCTAAGGGGCAACCAGAGCTAGGAAGCCTGCAGTGAACCACAGAGGCTCACACTTCACCATCTCATGGACGGGGCACAAACATACCATGAAGATGAAGGTGCACCCATCCACGAAACAAGGTTGTTATCAAAGCTGGCATGGTAAAGGAAGGTGACCTAGACTTGGTGGTGAGTGGTATTTAAGGCACGCACAGCCAGGGACCTTGGTGTGCAGTAGTATTTAAGGGACACACAGCCAGACAAGTAGAACACTGACATACAAAAGATCTACACCATTGGTAGGAACTGTGAGCAAGAAAGTAGGTGCCCAGCACTCAGGGAGGCAGAGACAGATGGATCTCTGTGAGTTCGAAGTCAGCCTGGTCTACAGAGTTAGTTCCAAGACAACCAGAGACACACAGAGAAATCCTGTCTTAAGAAAGAAAGAAAGAAAGAAAGAAAGAAAGAAAGAAAGAAAGAAAGAAAGAAAGAAAGAAAGAAAGAAAGAGGGAGGGAGGGAAGAAGGGAAGGAGGAAAAGAGAGAGGGAGAAAGGGACGGAGGGAGGAAGGGAGGGAGGGAGGGAGGGAGGGAGGGAGCGAGGGAGGGAGGGGGTGCCTGAGTTGTGGCACACAGAATGCTGGGGAAAAGTGTCTGTCACACCTGACTACTCCCACCTCTGTCTTTCTATGCTAGCTAGAGTGTGATCATGAAACCAGACCTGAGTCTAGGCACAGGGTTTCTACAAGAAACAGGAGGTGGGAAGGGCCAAAAAGTAAACAAACAAACAAAGAGGAAAGCAATCAATGAGGTGGCTGACGTCTCCTATAGACAGAAATCAAATTTATGAGGACAAAACCCCCAATGAATAGTGTGGGGCAAGGGTGCACACTCTAGAACTTTCTTTTCCATGATGGGTGAGTTGTGAAGCTGCCTAAGAGGTTACAAAGCTACCCAAGTCAGTTTGTGTTGCTAGAATAAAAAGCCTGAGGCTGGTACTTCACCAAAACAAACAATTAACTAAAACGAGTTTGTTCAGTTCATATTTCCAAAGGTTCAAGGAAACAGCCCTGGGACTGGCTTGGCTCTAATGAGGACCCACAGAGGAGAGCAGCAGTGGGAGGAGACTAAGAGGGAGCTGTGGAGCAGTCTTTGTGCACTGTAAAGATGCATCACTCTCATTAGTTAATACAGAGCTGCCTGGTCTATAGCTCGGCAGGCTCTGGGTGGGAGAGCCAGAGCAGGAGGATTCTGGGAAGAAGTCTAAGGAGTCTACCGGAGACGCAGAGCAAACAGGATGGGAATCTGTAGATGAGGTAAACGGGTCTCTGGCAGCACATAGATTAATAGAAATGGGTTAACTGAAGTTAAAGAGCTAGCCAAAAACAAGCCTAAGCTGTCGGCTGAGCATTTGAAATTAATATTAAGTCTCTGTGGTTATTTGGGAGCCAGCTGATGGGACAGACCCGGCTGGTGGTACCAACGAAAAGCTCTACCTATGGGAAAGGGACCCGAGAGGTGACAGACACTCAGGAGAACCCATTCTCACAGGAACCACACCAGTACCACAAGACCTGGCCCACTGCATTAGCTATAATGAAGCTAGAAGTTCCATGGCCTGCAACTCCCACCGGGGCCCACCCTGTAAATGTCTCCCATTTCAACACATGGGAAATCAAATGCCAGTGCACAAGTCTATATGAGAAGCCAGCCACCCAAACCCGAGCAGAGAGCAGCAAAGACGCTCAGAGCTGAAGGGTGGCTGGCTACAGGAGTCCTAGCAGGAGTTTGCCTAGGACTCAGGATAGATGAGAGATAGGCAACCATGAGCAAGCTGCACCAGGCCTGTAACGGCTCCAATGCTGAGTGCTCCCCACCTGCCAGCAGTTGTGGAATATTTAACTATATAAAGATGTGTTACATTTGTCTATGCTGCCTTTGTTAACAAAGTAAAGATGATCCAGGAGGTGGTGGCACACACCTTTAATCCCAGCACTCGGGAGGCAGAGGCAGGCAGATCTCTGTGAGTCTGAGACCAGCCTGGTCTACAAGAGCTAGTTCCAAGACAGCCAGGGCTACACAGAGAAACCTTTTCTGGAAAAAAAAAGGAAAAAGAAAGACAGAAAAAGGGGGGTGGAAGAAAAGAAAAAACTGTTACATTTGTTTAGTTATGTAAAGATCTGTTGCCACCTTGTCTGCCTAAGGCACCTAATTAGATTAATAAAGAGCTGAATAGCCAACAGCTAGGCAGGAGAAAGGCTAGGTGGGGTGGGCAGGCAGAAAGAATAAATAGGAGAGGAATCTAGAGAAGAAAAGAGGAGAGAAGGTAGGGGAGAAAGGGAGACTTCTGGAGCCAGGCAGTCGCCAGACAGACGGACATGGAAAAAGCAAGAAAAGAAAAACATACAGAAAAAAAGATAAAAATCCCTGAGGCAAAGGTAGATAAAGAGAAACCAGTTAATTTAAGATAAAAGAGCCAGCCAGAAACAAGCCTACGCTAGGCTGAGCATTCAAACTAATGAGAAGACTCCGTGTCATGTTTTGGGAGCTGGTTGGTGACCCCAAAGACAAAGCCTGGTGCACCCAACAAGCAGAGGGACTAGAGGACATCATCCCAATCAGTAGACGGAACATAAAATGTGTGCAAGTCAATAAAAAAAAAATTCTCTGTCACACCAGAACAGGAATGGATATGAGAAAAGCCCCCAACTGCAAAAATGGTGGGGTCTAGTGGGACATGACTGGGTCATGGGGCTGCCCTTTTTCAGGAAAAGCAACAGCATTCAGTAGAGCTGTTAGACAAGGGTGCAGTCACGGAAGGAATAAAACCAAACGTGGTGACGTAACTGAGGATAGAGCTCAATGGTGGAGGACGTAAGTAGGTTGTAAAAGGCCTTGGATTCAACACCAAAAGGTGTATGTGTGTATTGTGTGTGTGTGTGCGCACATGTGTGTGTGCACAAGAATCCATAGATTCTGTTCAATCAGACAGAAATGATAACGCTGGAAAATGCAACAGTAAAAAGCACACCTACTTCCGGGGGTACTGGTAGTCATTATGTGTACTACAACGTAAGATCAGTGAGTCGGAAGCACAGAGGGACGTAACTGAGCAGAGAGAAGCACGTGTGTGACAGCAGGTAGAATATGAAAGGGTCAGCCAGAGTCACAGGAGTCCCTCCAGGGACAGATGGCAGATGGGACAAAACAGCCAAGACCAAGAATCCCCATAACAGAGAGGCATAAACCCACAGGCTCAAGATGTTCCAGCCCTCAACATTAAGCAAACCATATGAGGTCCTCACTGGAACACTACTGTCTTAATCAGGGCGTCAATTGCTGTGAGACACCATGACCAAAAGCAATGTGGGGAAGAAAGGGTTTATTTCAGCTTACACGTCCCGAGCGCAGTCCACCATGAAGGAGCTCTGGGCAGGAACTTAGGGCAGGAACCTGAGGCAGAAGCTGATGCAGAGGCCATGGAGAAATGCTCCTCATGGCCCGCTCAGCCTGTTTCCTTCCTTGCTCCCTTCTTCCCTTTCTTCCTTCCTTTCTTTCTCTTTCCTTCCTTCTTTCCTTCAACTGTGTAAAGGGTTTTCTTTTAATGTGTAAAACTAGACAAACTTATTTTGGGGGATTTCACCTGTGATCCCTTCACTGTCCATTGAGGTCACTTGAGTTCCAGATTTCTGAAACTATCCTATTCTCAAAGAAAGATCTTTAATCTAGTTGTGTTATCTGCCTATGATTCTTTTATTCTTTTCTCTCTCTTTGAATTAAAGACACACTCAGGACAACCCTGAAGTTCTCCACCAGAGGATCTCTGGCAAATCCTTCAAACAACTTACCTTAGGACTCCTTCTAAAGCAGGTCTGCTCTCACTTGCTGACGCCCCTTTTCTCTCAAGAGTGAGTTCATGTCATGTTCCTCCCTAACACACTCAGGATGCTAGTATGTATGTAGCATACGCCAGTGCTACACTGAAACAAGCATCCAACCACAGGGATCTTCCACTCCAGGCTCATGTTCAAACTTCATCACGACCACAGGCATCCCTGTTGAGCCGCCTTGGGTACGAAAGCTCATACTGGACAATCAGCTCTGGGTTGCAGAAGAGGATTTATTCGTGAACCTGCTTCCCATGCCAACCTCCTTTCTTACCCACCCAAGGCCACTGGCCCAGGGGTGGCACTGCACACAGTGGGCTGGGCCCTCCCACATCAATCACTGCTTAAGAAAATGCACCACAGACCTGCCTAGAAGCCAGCCTTGCGGAGACATTTTCTCAACTTACAATCCTTCTTCCCAAATGACTCTGGCTTATGTCAAGTTGACATAAAACCAACAAGCACAACTGCCAAAAATCAGTATTTTCAAACAAGTTTCGAGACGCTACACACCAGGAGACCCACTGCAGCAGACACCAGGAGGCAGAGGTCTTTAGAGGGAAACCAACGCTGACCCAAACCTTGGCTCTGCAACTTAGCTTAGCA